ATATATCTTGATCCATGCATTCCTCCAAAGCTCACTATTCGGTGTTAATGGGAAACTAAACTAGGCACAAGGGAGAACGGTGAACTGAAGGTAGGGAAATTCAGAATAGGCCAACGGAATACAAGAGGCCAGCAACTGGCAGACTTCGTAGAGAAAGAGGGACTCTTTATGATGAACTCTTTCTTCCAGAAGCGGCTCCAAAGGAAGTGGACGCAAGTCGAGCCCCGAAAGTTCGACAATAAATGAGATTGACTTTATTATGATGACTAGCCCGCAACTGTTCAGTGATATCTCAGTGATTGCGAAGGTGAAAGCCGGCAGCGATCACCGAATGGTGAGAGGCACACTGAACCTAAAACTTTAATTGGAAGGGTCTCGCCTAATGAAGTCAAAGCTCCGTCCCTCTCGTGCTCTAATCCAAAGTCCCCAAACCTTTCAGCTCGAGCTACAAAACCGTTTTCAGTGCCTAGAAGATTGCAATGCAGTGGACGATATGAATGAAAAGATTGTGGAAACTGTCCATGCGGTCGGAGCTAAGTTCTGCAAGACCCAGCACAGAAGAAGGCAAAAACTTTCCGATCACACTCTTAATCTCATAGCTGTTAGACGGGAAAGGAAAATACAGTCTTCAGCAGATTTGACAGCATACATTCAGATCTCCAATTGCGTGCAGCGGGACTTACACGACTTCAATACGGCTCGTATAGAAGAAGCGATCGAGCGGAACCAGAGCTCCAAAGTATTTGCCAGAGATATGTGTGGCAGCACGGCCGTAGCTGTTGACCGTTCGGCAATCGTCGGGAGCCCTCGGCTGCGCTGGAGCAACCGGCTCGTTTTTCGCCGCCTTGCCAGTCGATCTGACCGTCCGACGCCGTGAGGCCGCTCGTCCGCGCTCCGATCCGCCGCTTTAAACTTCGTAGAATTAAACAGTAATTTAATATATGTGGTGTGTTGATTATTCGCAACCCCACATATGTCTGTCAGAAAGTCAGATAGGTATACCTCAAAACTTTTCAAGTTTTGAGGTATTCCTGACTAAACTCAGAAATGAGGATATCCGTAGTAGAACTAGTGACCGAGATAGCCCAACGGATAGTAAGCAGTGGTAATGGGCCGGCAATATAGCTCGAAGAACACAAAGGAAAAAAGATTTTCGTGTGGCACCCTCGTACCGGTAGGCGAAGTGTAGGCGACATCCCACTAGATGGATAAGACATGCAGGAAGTCGTTGGATGCAGACTCAGGACCGTGCTTTGTGGAGTTCCTTAGAGGAGACCTATGTTCAGCCGTGGACTTGTGAAAGGCTGTAATGATGACCCTGAAGGTAAAGCCTACTTAATAAAAAAAATCATTCAATCTGTCCACAATCTGCAACGATATCGCGTAACATACATACAAAAAAAACATACACATGAATTGAGAAGTGAGGACCTCTTCTTTTTTAAGTCGGTTAAGAAGTGTGGCAGGAAGAAGGAAAAGGGGAGAACTCCCGCCGGGCAAGGTGTTCTGCCCGGGGAGCAGCCAACGCTCCAAGTGGTAGTTGGGAGCTATTCTATATATATATACTGCTTTAATTTCGGAACTTTTTTAGTGCAATTAGGCTTCGATGTGTTTCGCCTGTGGCGCGAAGACAGCGCCGCCACATCAATCCTTGCTCAGACCGGAGGTCGATAGTGCAGTCTAGATGTCGACGAATTTGCAAGTGCCAGGGATTGCCTTGTAGTCTGCGGTGAGTATAGAAGAAGGCAAGTGAACTGCGAGAGTGCCGTGAAGCAGAGGCGAGCAGTAAGGCTCAGAGCCGTGCCGAACACTGTAGCGCAGAGAGTAACTTGAAGGAACAGGAAACATTATTATTCCAGTGATGCGATGAACCTTTGTAAAGCTAGATGGCTAGACAATATCTGCTCGGGAGCGAATGAATGGGGTACTTGAGGATGATGAAGAAGGTTTGAAGCTGTAGTTTCCGAAGGTTATTGGTTGCGTGTTCATATCACGTCGGGGTCACCACTGTGGCGGGTGGAAGGAAAAGGGGAGATCTCCTGCCGGGCAAGGTGTTCTACCCGGGAAGCGGCCAACGCTCCGAGTGGTAGTTCGGAGCTTTCTATATAATATATACTGCTTTAATTTCGGAACTTTGTTAGTGCGATTTAGGCTTCGATGTGTTTCGCTTGTGGCGCGACGACAGCGCCGCCACAAAAGCAATATTACTCACACTTACCATATATCGATTTTGGTCATGGCAAGGAAAGGGGTAATCCTGCCGGGCGAGGTCATCAACCCGGGCTAGCGGTCAACGCTTCGTGTGGTATATTTTTTCTGAGATGTTAGTGCTGTTAGCTTTTTGGCTTTTACAGCTTCATATACGTGGTAGTATATAACTATTCTATATATACCGAAGTACTTAGGAATTTCGGTAGCGTGATTTAGGCTTCGGTGGGTTTCGCTTGTGGTGCGATGACAGCGCCGCCACACTATATCGGGGCGGTATTGTTACATCCCTAGTTCTCATCTATTTGAATAATACAAACATAGTTCAAATATAATTTTATGAAATCTTTGCTGATTAAAATAACATAGCTTTTTTAACATAAAGTGGTACAACAAAAGATATATGATTGAAAACTGTAGATATCAATGCTATAATAGTGAACATTTTCCATTATAAAATATATTACAATGCAACTCTGAAAAGCAAAGAAAAAAATTACATAACCTGTGGAATAAAAATATGATTTAAAAAAAAACAACATAGTGTCAATTATTTAAAAAAAGGTGTAACAATAAAGACTTATTTCATAAGATCTTGTTTTAATGCGTGCTTATTTTTCTATTTTAAAATAGTACATGTGGTATTATTATCTGTGCCGAAAAGTTTCTACAGATTACATCGATATATATGTACTACGAACTAGATTTCGCAATCCGAACATTGACTATGTTCAACTGAACTGTACTGCAATCCGTACACTAAACTAAATATTGCATAAATTGAAGATTTGTGAATTCCATAAGATAATTATTATTACATTTTATTTAGAAATATGTTTGTTTAGATTAAAATAAAAGTATTTTATATTAAATTCTTATTTTTATTTTATATTAATATCTTATTTTATTTTAAATTAAAGTCTTGGCGCCTACGCGACTACTATCTCCCGTGCATGCGCGAAGACAGAGTAGCGCACAATTTTTGTTTGGAATAGCTTCTCTAGTACGTAGTACATATAACTCGATGACAGATTATATTTCAGAATAATTAAGTAGACATTTTTCTCTATAACTATAGCTTAACTATAACTAATATCTTTTCAGGCCCCTGCAAAATGAGTCATTCGAAACCATCCCAATCTTTTTTTAATAACATATTCTTAGAGATCTGTCATATATTTTTTTAAACTTTTTCTCTATTGTACTTAACAATTACAATTTCTAATTACAGCTTAAACAATTATTTATCATAACATTTTGTGTAATACTTAAGTAAATAAATAAAATGATAATACACAGTCCCTCTATATACATGCAAAGCACCTTTCATTGAGGGATTGTTTTAAATTAATTATGGTTTAATAAAATCTATCACATCGTAGAAAACAATTTATGACGAAAGGCAACAAACATTCATTTTAATATCATCATTTGTTATTGAAACATATTCCTGGCGGGTTTGCCATGTTGACTTTTTCCTATCGGTAACTAACCATAATAATATTAAATTGAAAATTTCAACCCCCCAACCCCACCCCCGAAACAAAAGAGCAGATGATCTTCAAACGACTGAAAAGATTTTCTTGAATCATAGCTTAGAACACTCGATGAAGTCAGCCATTGTTTTAGGGTTTATATTATTATCGATAGATTATGTCATCGATAAAAGTGTGACTGAATTCTGTACCCACGATTACAGCCTTTATCTCTATTCATGGACATTTGTCACGTACATTTTAAAAACTTAAACCAATGTCTATAATCGATATTTATTTGTTATTCAGTCAACGGTTATATTTAAGCGGAAATTTATTGAAATCGTAAGCCAGTTTTAATTACATATAGAGCTTAGTTATCTTAGTGGGGTACAACCATACTATGCACATATCTTCACCTGCAACTATCTTTGAACAATCGATTCGATGTGAATGTTGATAGATAAACAAAACATACGTATTTAATATAGCACAACGCGTTTAATCTAGAAGAGGCCAAAATAAAAGCAATCTTCCGAGTTTTAAACGTATGTAGTTCTTGAGTAGATTACTAACCTCGTTGGTTAAAAGATAGCTTTAATATCAGGAAGATGCTGCTGCCGATCTCCTATTTCAGTTTCTCTCCGTCGCCTCTGACGATACATGACGACATAGGGTATTGGATAGTGTTACACCAACACTACACGGTAACAAACGCTAAGACTAGAGCCGCTGCCTAAAAACTGTCACAGTTTGCCAGATTGGTTTTTCTTAATGGCATTGAGCACTGAATAAAAACAGTAAGGCCTGTTCTTTAGCCTTATGAGTTAAAGAACATTGTGAACAACATAAATGAATGATCGCTAACTGAGCTGACTCTATGGTCATGATGCCGACCATAGAGAATAATTTAAAATTAAAAATATTGTACAACCGACTTTAATACAACTTATTAAGAATGACTCAAAAATTATTGCTCAAATTTTGATCAAATTTATATGGGACCACATGAGAAGTACCAGCTTTCAAATAAAAAAGAGTCATCGAAATCGGTTCACCCAGAAAAAAGTTATGAGATAACACACATAAAAAAAGGAAAAAAAAACATACCGTCGAATTGAGTGCCGTCTCCTTTTTGAAGTCGGTAGAAAATAAACAGGCCGAAATATAACCTTGAAAAGCGATAGTGAATTTAGATATTTTTTTTCAATAGATGATTATATTTTGCCAGTAGATTCACCTTAGCAGAAGGTTAATACTAAATACTCAACACCAAAAGGATCTTAATAACATTCCCTATCAACTTCAAATAAGCAACTAAACGTTCAAGCACTGCAATAAATATTCCAAGCAATCGTTGCTCTCACACAACTCCTTTAACCTTTCTAATTGAGATCCGGAGAAGTTAGAATGCGTTGCAACAACGCACAGCAGCCTTTTATCTGAAAAACACATCGCGCCATTCGTCGTCAAGCAGTCGTTGAAAACGCCCCAACTTTCGTCCTTTTGATGATGAGAAAAACCTTTCCTGAAGATATGGTAGCACAGGGGCGATATCCGTCTAACGAACCGGTTCGAACTGGCCGAAACCAGTAGGGTCAGCAAGCAAGAGGGAAGTAAATTTGTGGAAATTTTGCCAGTTAACAGATGGCAGAGGGCTTCGAAGATCCAGCCGCTTAACACGGGAAGCTGATCTTGTGTTACTGCTGTTTCGAACACCTGGAAAATTTCATTGAAATTGAATTTTGGCTCTGTCAATATATTAACTATATATTAGTATTCCACACTAATTGTAAAGAGCCGTGGTAGCTCAGATGGTTAGCGCTCGCTGTAAGCTTCACAGTACTCGAGCAACCCGGGTTCGATCCCCGCTGGCACCAATGAAATTGTTAATTGCAATTTTAAGTGCTGATTTACCACGTGCTCGGCGGTGAAGGAAAACATCGTGCGGAAACCTGCATGTCTGAAAAATAAAAAAAAATATTTCGAAGACATGTGAAGTTCGCCAACACGCATTGGGGCAGCGTGGTGGACATTTCCTTGCCCTAAAAACCCTCTCAGAAATGAGAGGAGGCCTGTGCCCAGCAGTGGGACGTAAATAGGCTGCAACTTTACTAGATGTAGTGACGACCTAGTAAGATATGCAGGAAGTCAATGGATGCAGGTGGCTCACGAACGTGCTTTTCGGCATTCCTTAGCGGAGGCCTATGGTCAGCAATCCACTCGTGAAGGTCCGTAATGATGATGAGTATTAATTCCCATGTTTTATCATCTTACTTCTTCATTATCATCAGCACGTAAAAGCCCACTGCTGGCCATAAGCCACATCTTTTGTAGTGATGATTTGATGGATCGATGGTCGTAGTACCAGACGTCTCGCACCATTGACTGCTGTCGTTGACATATCTCAAACAACCGACAATTGATGGGTAAAAAAAGAGTGTACGGCGGTCCCACTAATTGGAGAGACGACCTTGTAAAATATGCCAGTTGTTAGACGCAAGTGGCTCAGAACCGTATTTCGTGGCATTCTTTGGGGAACCCAATGTTCAGCAGCGGACTTGTGAGGGAATGTAGTAATGATGACGATCATGGTTTGAATTTGGTAATCACTTAGTGGTTGTGGTGAGTTCGTGGTAGAGCCACGCTGCAGCACAGATGGGTCAACTCGACCGGGGAAAGGCCACAGAATACCAGCTTGATTAACATTATGCTTCTGTATGAAGGGAACCGGTGACCCTTGTTTCTAATAACGAGACATACCATCTTAGTCCTCAGGAGTGAAAACAATTTGCTTAATTGTGGATAGATTTGTTTAGGGAACACAGCATCCACTTACTATCAGGTGGACTATGTTAGCTTGTTAATCTTATTTATTTTTTAATAATATGGTGGCGGATTAAGCGAATTCATCATCTACTCTTGCATTTTTTTTTATAGAATAGGGTGACAAACGAGCACACAGTCCACCTGATGGTAAGTGGTTGCTGCGGTCCATAGACATCATCATTTATCCTCAACAAGGAATCAAAATGCAGATGCGTCGTTACCTGTGAAGACTAAGATGGAATGCCTCTTTTCCAGTAAAATGCGTCTCCGGTTCTCTACACTCACCATACGAAACACAGCAGTGTCAAGCTGCTAGTTTACGCAAGTATTCTGTGAGAGCGTGGTCCTTCCCCGGTCGAGCCGACCCATTCGTGCTACAACTACACTACTAATATAGCTGCAGCATGGTTCTACCACGTAACAGTTAGTGTAGTAAAAGACAACAATGAAAATCTCGAAGATCTTGCTATATAACTTTCGCTTCTACTAGCAGTCAAATAAGACCAGCGGTAATAGGATAAAAGTGCGATTGTCTGGTGCTTGGATGCCTTTCTATCCACATCCTGATAAACACGGCGATTACCTCGAATTCTGTTTATTATAGCTTAATATAGGGCTGTGGTAACTTAGAGTCTAAGCTGTTCGAATCTGCCGACACCAATGAAATTGTTAATGTTGACTTACCACGTTCTCGGAGGTAAAGGAAAACATCGTGAGTAAGCTTGAATGTTTAAGGAATAAAATTATTTTGCCGATATGTGCAGTCCACCAACACTACTGGAGCAGATCGACGGACAAATTGCTCCTCTCAGAAAAGAGAGTAGCCGCGTACCTAACAGTGGGACGCGTATAGGCTGTAATTTTACTCCTTTACTTTTTATGATATAGTCAGTCACAGTTCCTGATTTTTTTTAAACTAGCTTTACGGCTCTGGGTTCTAGCCCTTCTGAGCCTTCACAGTTCCTAACATAATGTATTAGTCACAGGTTAACATAGTTTTATAATGCAATCCGTAGCCGAAACAACTTTCTATTATAAATCTAAAAACTTAGGGAAATGTTTAAGTGCAAGATAACTACGTACCTCATAAACGACCTCGGCGTTTAGCACGGTGCATTGAATCCACTTTTCTCTGTCGCTCAATATCCCCACTCTCTTCTTTTCAGTCTCCTTACAGCACTCCAGAAACTCAATCACTACTCTACTCAAAGTCGCAGCCGGCGGTAAAGTCTCCCGCAGGAAGTATTTCAGAGCAGACGCTAGTATGTATTTGCTCTCTTTGGATTTTGAGTTTTTGAGGGTTTTATAAAGTAGAGTTATTCTCTCCATGGAACTCATTAATACATCCGGGTCCATGTTGGACACGTCTGCGGTTAGCTTTGGACTTAATAGCCTACTATCAGCTGGAAAAATAACACATTTTAAATTAGTAGCTGTCTGCGCCTAACGCTTTTATTGAGGAATACATCGGCCCGCTATTTGATATACATAGTTTATTTAATTCTATAAGGCATCTACGTTAAGTGTTATCTCCCCCACCCCTACCAAATAAACACACAAATCATTCATTCGTCTTCTAACGGACTTTGTTCTCATTTATCTTATATTTCAAAATTGTAAATCTCCGATATAGAGCTTAAAATCAATGATGAAGCGGTCACTGCATAAAATAAAGGCAAGATTTAAGATTTTTTCAAGTTTATTATATGAAAACCAATAGGTAGCGTGGAATGGCTTTGTCACCGTCGGCTGTGGTCACTGTGAGCTGAAGGCACTATGTACACACACAGCACATCACTCTGCTGAAGGTGCGTTGCTACCACTGGGGACCAAAATAGAACGATTCGGACGAACGGAGACTCTTTTTACATAGACATTCCATCTTAGTCTTCAGGAGTGATATCTGCAGTTTAATTATTTTTAATAAGATTTTTGACTTGGATGCTTGTCTTTTAAGCCATGTCTTCATTTATTTCAGTATCAAGTGATAATAATCTTTTATAGTAGTCTGCTTCACAAGATGTTGATGCGTCACATTGCGAAGCCCTTGGGAAATTTTGACCGCAACTTGATACAGCAGACAGTTGCCGATAGTGACTCAAAGCGCCTAAGCAAACAGACACCTTATATTGAGATTCACATCACCGTCGGCAATTGTTTCACAGTCTCCACTAATAGTTCACATGCGGACATTTAATACACAAAATCGCACCACTTTTACATATCAACATCCACTTAAAACCATTATTTAAACAATAATATAGGAGCAACAGTACACCGCCTGTCTATTTCCCACCCAAACTCCACATTCTGATTCTTAATCGAGGATAGATATCTATAGGCGTCAGCTTCCACTTCCAGATTGAAATTTGTCAATGAGACATTATCATTAGTGTGCTTTGCGTTAGTATTAAGAACTCGATATGGGTCTCAAACATTTTAAAACTTACCTGAAAATAGATGCACCATTAGTATCTGAATACCATGATGCTCTGAGTATTTGTTCATGTTGTCTAGTAACTTCTCTATTATAGTTTTCTTTAAATCTTTAGACAAAATCTGTTGTCGGAGTATTAAGGTTATTCCCTGGAAAATATACAACTTTTTTTAACAATTTAGTTTATCCTTATTCGTGATTAAGAAGCGGTTATTTGTAGAAAATTGGATAAGATAGCTCTGAAGTGAAATAAACATTTTATTAGTAATCTCCAGAACTACAAAGAAAGAAAGATGGAGCACTGTGTACATTTTCAGTGATGCAAAACCAAGCCAAAACCATGCTTAACTTATTTAAAGAACACGCACTCACCTACCTACGCATATACATCTAAAATCATTTGCATTTTGCAACCAACATGGTTTTAGATGCATATGTGGGCATTTAGCAGTGAAGTTTTACGGGCTGATAATGAAGGAAAGAAGAAAAATGTGTGAGTGCATGTCAAGATATTGAGCATGAATTTGGCATCGTTTGAAAACGACATTTTTTTCAAATCAAGAATGTTCTAACACAGAAACTACTGTATTGAGAAACTACTGTATTGATTATATGGAATTCGTCCCGTCTTTGTCGAATAAGCCGACTATGGAAAATGCCCGAAAAATCTTATGACATCTGATAGGTGGCGGTGTACCATCTCGTTTACGGCAGATGTATGGGAGAGACGTCTGGTACTGCGCTCTTGCAAAGTGTGACTATTAAGGGGGAATTACAAATGGAGAGCCCGTGTCATCAGTGGACTATGGGCTCATAAAGAAGAAAATACACATTGCAAATAGATTTCTAAAATTTTTATTTCATATTTCTATATATGTTACGGCTAATAACTGAAGTTTGAATACATCAAGTTTAACCGGCAATATGTGGAGCCGATTAGTTAAACTTAGGTATAACCTATAAATAAAATAAATATCGACGCCTTTAGGCCTTAATATACTGTTTCAGATATTACTTGCAATGCCTGGCCAAATCTACTTTTATCAATTACCATTATCACTACATGCTATCAAAAGTCTACTGCTGAACATAGGCCTCACCCATAGATTGCCTCATATTTGGGATGTTTGCCGTAGTTGCCTCACTTAGCAAGCGGCTTGACAGCCGCAGTACTTTCATTGAGTTTATTCAGGAAGGTGATTTTGTCTATCTCTTTTTTTATTTACTCTGTCGCCTCTTACGACAGCCAAAGGAGAATATTATGGGTGTTGCAGCCGGCGGGAGAAGCCGCCCCCCACGGCCCTTCACGGCCCGCACGTGATATCATCACGCCACGTGTCGCGACCAACCGCCTTAGTACGTCGCGTCGCGTGGGAATAAAAGGAGGGATATAGTGGATATTCTTACACCGTTATTACACACAACTACTAACTTTAACCAACCGCCATCGGTTGCACCTAGTTATAGACAGTTAAACTTATATGTACCCGCACTTCAGCTTTTAGCTGTGTCATATATTGTAATGAACACAACATAATTTAACCTTACTTAGATTGTTGAATGAGAAGATTAATTCGGAATCCCAGTATTTTTTTAAATATCATCTCAAAAATATCTGTACCCTACTGTACAACTTTGATTTTAAGGCGTGCTTTTACACATATTCGAATAGGAAGATTCGGCATTATTTGCTAAATAGAAAATCTGACTAGTTGCTACAATGAACAAATGATAAATAGATTGACTTGGCCATCGCATGAAAACGCAATGTATCTCTCAAGTAATACATATTATATTAAATTAGATTGTTTAGTGCGATTGCCACGTCAATTTATTTATTTAAAACAAAATATTTTTAATATTGATATGATCACTATAAGATGTTGCTAGGTTAGCTAATTACGTAATAACTTGAGACAGAAGAACCCTGAAGTAGGGACTGAATAAATTAACCGACTTGTTATTACATGGATCCCACAACTTTTTACGGTAGAAGAACTGAATTGCGAGACTTGGTATTTTTACAAGTTATGTTTTTGATGGCATCTCATTTCTTTTTGTGGATGGATATATCTAAGTACCTATTTAAACCTATTAATTCATTATATTATACATATATAGGTTCACTGATTCATTCACTGCAAATGTAACTTTGTAATCCTATGTATTTATATGGGATTAAAAAGTTATTTATGCAGTTGGTGTATCTCGAAAACTTGATTTATATACTAAACACTAATTGTATTCTAAATTTGAAGCTGCTACGTCTGCTAGAAGTGCCTTAGAGTTTTGATGATCGGTCAGTCAGTGAGTGACTGAATAAAACACCAACATTCATTGATGAGATCAGAACATTTATTTCTATAACATATTTAACTTGTGATTCCGAAGAGAATCAATTGGTTGCGCGATTTACAAAGGGATAGCGCCATCTATGGAGAGTTTTTATAACTAAAATAATCGTACTGTATACCGTGTTAAATGTTGTTGGAAACTATGAAGCTATCTGTTTACAATGAATTGCTATTAGTTTAATCTACAATAATGTGGATATTTATTTAACAACTAGACATTCCGCCCACCATGGCCAGAATGGTCATTATTCCCGCCCACCATGAATCAACAATCAACGAAAGTGGACTGTAAATAGATAAGGTAAAATATGAAAGTGGGTAGATCCAAATGGTTGAATCATGGTGCATAGGTAACAAAAAACAAATAGGTAAATAGGATCTTTAAAATCCCTAAAATCTTATTAAATAACGAATCCAAAGATATTTAATTTAAACATTTACATTTACAACATGCTCATTTCAACAAACAAAAAACAACTTAAGCTTGAAAATAACAATAAACGTGTCAAGCATTGACTGACACGAAAGAGAATAAAAAAGTAGGTATTATTCGGCCACTGGCAAGACACACAATTTTACAATAGGCCTTTTAATTATGGCATCTTTGCATTTGAGACTCACAACCCGCGTAATATTGTCCACACCCTTATGTTTTTCTATAATAATACCCATAAGCCATTTCGCTGGAGGAAGATCATCCTCCTTAACTAAAACTAAGTCCCCAATTTTAGGTTCTGGTGTTTGGTTTGCCCACCGGTGACGTTGCAGAAACTGAGTCAAATATTCGCTAGACCACCTTCGCCAGAAGTTCTGTAACATTTTCTGGGTTAGTTGCCAGCGTTTCAGAGAAGATATTGACGAAGTTTCATAATTGGCATCTGAGACAAGCACCAAGGGTTCACCGATGATAAAATGTCCCGGTGTGAGCGGTGTTGGATCTTGTGCATTGGTGCTAACCTGTGACAACGGTCTAGAGTTAAGACATGCCTCAATTTGATACAGCAGAGTAGATATCTCCTCGTAAGTTAGGGTCTCTGTGCCGATCACACGCTTCAGGTGATGTTTTGTGGACTTTATCCCACTCTCCCAAAGTCCACCGAAGTGAGGAGCTCTCGGTGGGATAAAATGCCAGTTGGTCCCAGCAGTAGCTAAACTCTCAGCGATTTCTCTCGTCATGGTTGAATTTTCCTGAGCTACTTGGGTTCTTAGCTCGCGCGCAGCACCCACAAAATTTGTTCCATTATCGCTGTAGAGATCAGCGCAATGGCCCCGTCTAGAAACAAACCTTTTGAAGGCTGCGAGGAATCCCTGTGACGTAAGATCGGTTACGGCTTCCAAATGTACGGCTCTTGTAGCCATACATACAAATAGGCATATATATCCCTTGTACGCTCGATGACCTCTTCCTTTAGAAGTCCTTATCTGGATGGGTCCAGCATAATCCACGCCGCTTAGATAGAATGGGCGGATTGGAGTGACCCGAGCTACAGGTAGTTGTCCCATGAGTTGGTGTCTACATTGTGCTGCATATCGTATACATGTGACACATTTGCGTACAAATAATTTGGTACGATTTTTTACATCGAGGATCCAATATTTGGATCGTAGGTAATTGATCATCAATTGAGGACCTCCGTGTAGGGTTCTTTGATGGGCATCTGCAATGATAAGATTTGTGAAATGCGATTTCGATGGCAGGATAATCGGGTGTTTTTTATCATCACTTACATCAGCTCTCTCAAGACGACCACCAACTCTCAAAATTCCTTCACCGTCCAGGAAAGGGGTCAAAGTGGTAAGTTTGCTTTTCTTATTAACTGCACCTCTAAATTTAATATCTTTAATTTCCTGTGCAAAGTACGTAGCTTGACACGCCTTTATGCTGATTTGAATTGCTCTTGATAGTTCTCTGCAAGTTAACCAACCCGGAAATGTTGTTGCTTCAGTAGATTTTTTCGTCTTTGATATAAATCTCAAACAATAAGCTATAACTCTGGTCAATTTCTGTAAAGACGAAAACTTAATCCATAATTCAAATTCATCTTCCCTGGTCACATGACAAACTTTCTTTACTTTCTCTTCCAAATCCGTGTCGCTTAACTCCTTCCTGTTATATTCCATATTCGTGTCCTTTAACCACGCAGGTCCAGCTTTCCAGAGGGGAATTGCTTCACATTCCGACGGGTTGACTCCACGGGAAGCGCAATCTGCCGGGTTGTCAGTAGATGACACATGTGACCACTGATCTCTGTTCAAAATGTTCAAAATTTCTGAAACTCGATTTGCAATGAACGTCTTCCAGCGGCTTGGATGACTGCTCAACCAAGCCAAAACGATTGTGGAGTCCGTCCATGCATGTAGATTTGTCTTCGGTACTTTCAAAACTTCAGAGACTTCCCTTAATAATCTCGCCAAAAGAACGGCGCCGCACAACTCTAGCCTCGGGATAGACACTTGCTTTATTGGGGCTACCTTGGTTTTACACGTAATGAGAGTAACCCTGACAGTTCCAGATTCATCTACCACGCGGGCGTAAACTACAGCAGCATACGCATCCGCAGAGGCGTCACTGAATCCGTGTAACTCCAGTTTCATAAATGTCTTGTTCATACCAATCCAGCGCGGCAGACGAAATTGTGTAAGTGCCGTAAGTTCACCTCGATAAGAAATCCAATCATTGAGTAGTTTCGGTGGGAGCTCTTCATCCCAACCGATTCCCGCTAGCCACAGCTGTTGAATGAAGATTTTTGCTTTTATAATGGCTGGAGCAATCCATCCCATAGGATCAAACAGTCTTGCAATATCTGATATAACCTTTCTTTTTGTTATAGGTTCTACGAGTGGCGGTAGCTGCACGGAGTATTCGAAGTTGTCGGTACGTCGATTCCAGGTAAGTCCGAGTATTTTAATGATTTCATCTATTTTGAGTTCCAAATTGCTTTCTGTTGTTTCTATTTCTTTGCTTATTTCCTTTAACAGAGTTTCATTGTTGCTTGACCATTTCTGAAGTTCAAACCCCCCTTTGCTCGGTAATTCGTTGATCTCTTTATAGATTTGTTTTCCTTCCAGGACTGTTTCGCAGCCAGTAAGTAAGTCATCCATATAAAAATCATTTAAGATTCTTTCAGATGCTAATGGAAACGGTTTTCCGTCATCATACACGAGCTGGTGCAGTGTTCTAACTGCGAGATATGGGGCTGCAGCAGTGCCAAATGTGACTCGCAACAATCGAAAATGTTCAATAAGTTGTTCCGTCGTGGCTCGCCAAACCAATCGCTGGTAATCTATATCTTCACTAGAAATCAATATTTGGCGGTACATTTTAACTATGTCGGCGACCAAACATACAGGGTGAAGTCTCCATCTCATCACCAAGTGACGCAGATCCGATTGAAGAGTTGGACCTATCATCAATTCACTGTTGAGAGATACACCGTTGTTATCGCGACACGAAGCATCGAAGACAACTCTCAGTTTGGATGTTGTCTTGTTAAGCTTCACTACGGCGTGATGAGGTAAGTACACACTATCTGATTTGTTGATCTCATCTTTTGGTACCTTTTCCATGTGGCCATGTTCCAGGTACTCATCAATAACGTCGGAATAGAGATCTTTAAGCTGTGGTGACCGTACTAAACGCTTTTCTTGCATAAGGAATCTGCTCACTGCAATTTCCCGCGAATTCCCTGATTTGCAGCTCGGGTTTTCCATCTTGAATGGTAGTTTGACGATATATCGTCCTGAAGGGTCTCTTTTGGTGGTTTTCTTATAGAATTCCTCACATCTTTGTTCCTCAGGTGTGTGGTGAGTTTTGTTGAGAAGACATTGATCAGATTCGATTTCCCAAAATTGTTTAAGATTAAATTCTTCTTCGATAACTTGAGTGTGTAAAGTGGTTACGGAGTTACTACAGCTTGATTCCGTTTTACGACCTTTAGATACTTGGCCCGACAAAATCCAGCCGAATCTAGTGTTTTGCGCTATAGGGGTTCCTATTGGACCTTTAAATAACCCTTCTAATAATATTTGACAATAGACCTCTGCACCCAACAGCAAGTCTATTTTGTTTGGAACGTTGAAATTTGGATCTGCCAATCTCATTTTTGGCATATAATATAGCTGTATGTCAACCTGTCGTTCAGGAAGAAATGTGGTAAGTTTGGTGAGCACGTGTGCACTCACTTTAATGTTGAAGGTTGGATCATGGATCGATTGTAGTTTGATGTGTACTACATGTTTAGAGTTGCACTCACTCCCTACTCCAAATATGACACTTTTGCTTGTTTCCTTCTTCAGCCCAAGTAATTGGACTGCAGACTCCGTTATAAACGAAGCCTGTGATCCTTGGTCCAGTAAAGACCAAGTGTCATAAAAGATCCGTTGTTTGTTTCAGCTTTTACTAAAGCGGTTGCTAAAAGCACTTGACTCTTGTTGTTAGAGAAACAAGTGGTAATGTTGGTCTGATCATTTTCGTCTGATGCTGTCGCTGTTGCCGCGACAACATTGTTACTATTCGATTGAGTGGTTACCTTTACATTATTTGATTGAACGTTGGTGGTGGTTGAATGCAATAGCGAGTGGTGTTTCTTTTTGCAAATTCTACATCTGGTGGGCAAACGACACATTATGACCGAATGATTTGCGCCTAAGCAGTTAAAACACAAGTTGGAGGTTTGGACAAAGTTACGGCGTGCTAATAGAGTTTCATTTGCGAACTTCTTACAATTTCCGAGCTTATGATCACTAGCAGAACAGTAGGAACATGGAACAGATATCTTGTCACTATTTTTTGTGGCTACATGATGGGATTGAGTACATTTTGTGATTTTAGGATTCAAAAATTCGAGTGATCTGTACCTGTGTTCTAAAAACTCTAAAAATTGCTTTAATGTGGGCAAGTCGTTTGTACAGTCACAAATTTTTGCTTCCCACTGCTTGCGAGATTCACTATCTAATTTTGAGGACAAAAGATAAATCACAATAATATCCCAATTTTCAGTGTTCACACCCGTATTTTTCAACGCATTTAAACACTCGTTAGTAGTATCAAACATTTCTTTAAGAGCACTTGAATTTTCATGAATAATATTTTTTTGGCTAAAAAACCTTTTTAAAATACAGCTAGTTACATATTTCTTATTGTTAAATCTTTTCTCCAAAAGATCCCAACACACTGAATAATTGTCACTTGTTATTGGTAGATTTCGCAATAGTTGTTCCGCTTCACCGGTTAAATAGCTTTTTAGGTAGTGAAGTTTTTGCACTTTTTGTAACGAATTATTATTGTGAATGAGTGATAAGAAGAGGTCACGAAACGTGGTCCACTCTGAGTACCTTCCGGAGAAACTAGGAATAGAAATCTTTGGAAGCTGCACACTAATTTGTTCTTCATTGCTACGCAACGTGTCCTGCATTTTGGTCGGTACGCGAGTACATTTTTCCAAGCTTGCTTTTAATTCTGTTTTATAATCTGCGTATAAGTCTTCTGTTTTGGTGTAAAAATCCTCGTTAAAGTAATCTAATTCTGCATAATCAGCATCACTGACTTCACTAATAAGTTGTTCATGTACTTTGTTAAATGTTTCCCACTGTCCATTCAAAATGTCAACTCTAGTTTCTATGTAGTTTGAAGTTAGCCTATCTTTTGGAGATTTCTTAAAATTGACTCTGGCATTTTCCATTCGGTGGTACATATCTGACTGAGCTCTTATTTTGCTTTCCATTGTTACCTTTATTTATTTGAAATATGACAATTTTTTTTTTACAAGTCCCGTTGAGTGGATAGAGCAAGTTATTTTTTCTATGTCCAGTATGTGCGTGATTTTTCTAAGTGTTTGGGTTGTACACACTTAGGCAAAATCGGGCATGGATTCCCCGTCTCAACCACAATTCAACATAAAATTTTACAAGTCCATGTACTACCAATAAATCTTCAAATTTTTCTAAGTTGAATATCTCTTTGCTTTAAGGTTCAATTTATTTTCAATTTCAAACTTCTATTGCCAATACTGATTTAAATGTACTTACAGTTTTACGCCCATACAAACTTGCTCTCCTCAGTTGCGTCTGCTGCTCAGCTCCGTACAATTCACCAACCGCTAGGTGCCGCCACTGCTCACTGGTTCACTTCACTCTACATCCGGCTCCGAAGGCCCATGAATAAAACACCAACATTCATTGATGAGATCAGAACATTTATTTCTATAACATATTTAACTTGTGATTCCGAAGAGAATCAATTGGTTGCGCGATTTACAAAGGGATAGCGCCATCTATGGAGAGTTTTTATAACTAAAATAATCGTACTGTATACCGTGTTAAATGTTGTTGGAAACTATGAAGCTATCTGTTTACAATGAATTGCTATTAGTTTAATCTACAATAATGTGGATATTTATTTAACAACTAGACAGTGACAAAATTAAGAAACTTTGACTAGTTATAATTCTTAAACTGCTGGTTCAAATTTAATGAAATTTGAAATATACCGAGTTAATACAATGCCTACTTGGTTACTGAAAATTCACGCTTCTAATTTCATCCACAACGAAGTTATAGTGTTTCGAAAATGGCCTGAACTGCTTCGAGAAAAGGATGATACGGCCGTGCCGCCCGTGCCGCTTTTTTGCTCGACTTGGCGGGGGCTTTACCGTGCCCCCAGATCTGACTAGTTGCTACAATGAACAAATGATAAAACGGCTTCTTGCGTTAACGCACTTTCATCGAATCATCATTCGAATCCATTCAGTACTATTCAGCAATTGTTCGGTTATTTATTACTAGTTAAATCGTGTCTAAAACGTCGATAGACAAAACCCGATTGATAGACCACAGTTGATTCCTATCGCTCCGTTTAACGATTGATGCTAAACGAATATGTGTAAATCTGAAAATGCATAAAAACTAACCGCAACTTACCCTAACTACAAGATCGGTGCAATAATGTCTCGGATTTTTCAAAACGAAGTCCACCGCAAAGTTCATCAGATCGGGATGTCCCAGCTCTACCAAAGTGAAAAGCACCGTCCAATAGAGACTCTGCTCGTACAGTGATATTCTGAAACAAATGTTAAATAGTACAATCTAAAAGGGCTCTTATGACTGCATGGAGCAACGATCTGCGCCAGTGGTAGAACTGGTAACTGATAGAAACTGCAGCCGGGCAAGCGACGCGCAATAGGATAGGCCTACATCCAGCAGTGGACTGCCGCAAGCTAATGATAATGATGAAAGTTTTCGTAAGCGGGTCAAAAATTTAATCTTACTGGAAATCTTATTGAGAATGTAGTCGCAACAATATTTCCAGCGACACTTGCTGCAATATATTATTGTGAAAAACTTTGCAAAGTATATTTTAATGTTGCTTGTTGCTTCAAGTGTATCGCCGAGCAACTTAGTTACATTACATTCCCTCACTAGTCCGCTGCTGGACATTGGGTTCCCCAAGGAATGCCACAAAATGCGCTTCTGAGCCACTTGCGTCTAACAACTTACATACTTTACAAGGCCGTCTCTTCAATTAGTGGGACCGCCCAACGCTCTTTCTTTACCCATCGATTGTCGGTTGTTTGAGCTATACGACTGGTCCCTTACTATTTCTGTTTTCTGACCCTGTAATGATTATATAACTAGAAGTGTAACGTGAAATACCTACACCAACGACAGCAGTCAATGGTGCGAGACGTCTGGTACTACAATCATCGATCCGTCTGCCAAATGTGACAATTAAGGCAAATTATCAATACAAAAGGAGTGGCTTATGGCCAGCAGTGGGCTTTTACGTGCTGATGATAATGAAGAAGTAAGATGATAAAACATGGGAGTTAATACTCATCATTACAGACCTTCACGAGTCCACTACTGAACATAGGCCTCCCCCAAGGAATGCTGAAAAACACGTTCCTGAGCCACATGCACGCATTGACTTCCTGCATATCTTACCAGATCGTCACTACATCTAGTAAAGTTGCAGCCTATTTACGTCCCACTGCTGGGCACAGGCCTCCTCTCATTTCTGAGAGGGTTTTAGGTCAAGGAAATGTCCGCCGCGCTGCCCCAATGCGTGTTAGCGAACCTAATAGTTTTGAGTTATTCTTAATAACTTATATTGAAGTCGGCTGTACAAAATTTTAAATTTTAAATTATGTTGTTCGAGTTTTTTATGTTCTAAATTGTTGATAATCGTGATAACATTTTTTTATGGAAAGATAAGTAGCAAGTGTTGTACAGTTTATATCATCGACAGTTATAAAAGTTCATTTACTTGGAATTCGGCACCAAATACTGACGCACGGCGACGTTTAACTGCGTCACCAGCTCGTGGTAAGGATTGTGCGTTTGAGTGGTCGCATGTTTAGTTCTCGCTGTCAACTGCAGAAGGCAGCCCTGTAGTGCCGCTTGGCGTAACGGTGCGTAGCTAGAGGTAAGCGATTTCAGCAACTTCTGGTGGACTGTTGACAGCTCCTGTCAAACATTAATTGATTAATAATTAACGATTTAGAATATTGAACATTTGTACTTTCGAGACTGTGTACATACGTGCGTCTGTGAGTTTGTATGTATGCATGTGTTTCACCAAGGGTAACACAAAAGCACGCAGTCTATATTACATAAACATCAAACATCTATTACCTACCGTTACCGTTACCCCCTGTTAAATTCCAGTGCTTAACAAAGGTCTCCCTCGTAGATTGCCTCATAGGGGCGACATTTGCCATAGTTGGCCACGTTTGGAAAGCAAGTTGGCAACTGCAGTTTATTTTTTATTTTTAGTCGTTATTAGGGAGACGCAACGTCAATTACCGATTAAGAATCAAAATGCAAATACGTTATCAACCCTGACGGCTACGCTTGAATGCCTCGTTACTACTAAAAAGGGTCTTCGAATTTCGTCACTACCTGTACGAAACACAGCAGCTGCTCAATGACCTTGAGCTTTCTGATGCGGTCAGCAGTAAAGGACCATGTCTCAAATTCATATATCCTCAGAGTAACCTAGTCGGCCAATTCACTATAGGTAAATTTATGTGGTAGAGCCATGCCGCAGCTATATTAGTAGATAGTTGTAGCACGAATGCTCGACCGGGGAAAGACCACGCTCTCACAGAATACCAGCGTAAAATAGCAGCATAATACTGCTGTGTTTCGTATGGTCATTTTTTTTTTACTTATTATAAGCCAGTGCTTGGCCACAATCCCACCTGGTGGTAAGTGGTGATGCAGCCTTAGATGATAAATCGCACTGTCTTAGTGTAACAAAAGCCTATTCACTCTTGCCTTGAAAACGTCCAGATTGTATTCGGACGGAAAGATAAGACGCCGGCAAATTATTCCACTCCTTTGCTGTACGCATTTCAAAAGTCGAAGCAAACCACTTTGGTTCTAATGCGTGGAATATCGACAACAAAGGGGTGAAAGACTCGCCGACCGGCCTGGCCGTCCAATGGTGGAAAGGAGAGGGAGGAATTACAGCGTGTAATTCCTGTGCACACTCATGGAAATGCATCCTATAGAATACCGAGAGGCTGGCTACTCTGAGCCTGTGCTCGAGGCTGACAAGGTTGGTTTCAACCAAACAAAAGGTCACCAATGAACCTCTTAGCACGTCTCTCCACTGAGTCCAACGCTGCCAGGTGGCATTTTGCAGCACCAGCCCATATGTGACAACAGTACTCCATGCACCACCGGACTTTCGCTTTATATTGCGTGTTTTTAGCTGCATGAGAAGTTTCGAAGGTTGTTGTCTATGGTTTTACAGTTGAGAATGTTAAAACGTATTGACATTTCTATTCAGTAAGGTATGGCAATTCATCATGAATCGTTTAATAGCAGAACAACGCTTTCAAATTGTGGAAATTTACGTTGAACAAAATAAATCTATTCATGAAGTTCATAGAGCACTTCGTCCATTTTACGATCAACGTAATCGGCCTAGTGAGCAAGCAATTCGTGCAATTATTGATCGTTTTCGCATTAATTTTACTCTTCTCGATTCAAAGCCATCAATAAAATAAAGAAATATGCGTACTGAAGGGAATATTGCTGCTGTAGCGCGAAGTGTTGAAGAAGACGCCGAAATGTCGATTCGTCGCCGTTCTCAACTTGTGGAACAACTACGTGGAAAATTTTACGTAAGGATCTCGGCTTACGTTTTTTTTTTATAAGATAAGGGTAATGTTTAGGCCCAAACATGGCCATCCAATCGCGTTTGGCTGAGCGCATCGCCCGATGGTGTGAGGTGACGTGCGCGCCGCCGGGGGGCGGGGGGGGAGCAGCGGTATGCCGCTTCCCGGCGTTCGGCCTTATGGGCGAAGTCAGTAGCTTGACAGCAGCGGCTCTGTCTACTAGCGTAGTTTATTTGCGACCGCTGGATCGGTAGCTCCCGGCCGGTGTTGATTTGAGGGTCTAGAATTTGAGTCATTGTGCGAGCCTAATTTACTGGTGAATATTTGGGGTTTCGTGTAGACCGTCTCGAATTAGTTTGTCTAACTTGTACGTTCGTGACAAGTGGCTTGTATTGAATTTGAGTGATTAGAGTAATTTCGTTGCAATTGTGCCATATGTCACGTGTTTGATTTCGATGAACGTTGAATTGCTTGACTTTGAAGTTAATTATATGTACAATAAAGTTGATAGACTGGAATATTGTGAACAACTGCCGGGCGAAAGGACGTGTAGAATTTACTATTGGAGTTTTCGCTTCTATTTTTGGTTATCTTTAATGCGTTCACGCGATAACGAAGCAGTAATATTTTGATTGATTAATCTAAATTCGTTGGCAAGTACTTTACGTAAATTGTAGTATAGTGATTGCCGGTTGAAGTGTTTGACAATATTAATTTGCGTCGACGAGTTGCTTTGTGGCATTTGATGTAACTCGGAGATCTTTTCCTGTGTCGGTTAAAAACGCTAAACTTTGTGACCCGCGAGAAACAGCAATCGTATTAGATTATAGATTTGTGCTAAGGGACGCTAGACTTTGAGTGACATCGAGGTGACGCCGCTGGAGGATACCACACTGTGTGGCGGTGCCAGAGTCAGGGCTACTGCCGCTTAAAAGGGTTAAGTCAGGTTTCAAATTTTACACACCACTAAACACCACTTACATACACTACACCTACCGCCTGACCGAGCCTTGTGGCCAGTCTTCGCTTCTGAACCAGGTACGTTCTTATTGATTACCTAGCCTTATATCTATTGTGTAGAATAATAAGTCTCCATAGGCCGTTTGGCCCAACCCTTAGTTGTCCGTCGTTTTTCAGAAATGAGCGTCATCACTAAATACAATTCTTCTATAAAAATGCTCATCTTGTACCCGTTTCAAATTAGCCCAATCAGCAAAAATGCAACGTAAAGTATGGTCATTTGGCTTTAATTCTTCCACGAACTGTATTTTATAGGAGTCATGTTGCAGCTATATTACTAGTATGGTTATAGCACGAATGGGTCGGCTCGACCGGGGAAGGACCACGTTCTCAGAGAATACCAGCGTAAAATAGCATCTCAATGCTTCTGTGTTTCGTATGGTGAGTGTAGAGAACCGGAGACCCACCCTATATACAGAAAACGAGGCATTCCATCTTAGTCCTCATGAGTGACAACGCATCTGCATTTGAATTCGTGGTTGAGGATAGATGTAGATTTCTATGGGCCACAGCAACCACTTATTATCAGGTGAACTGTGTGCTCGTTTGTCACCCTTATCCTATAAAAAAAAACCTAAACGTTAAGTTGGAGAGGTCTCGTCTAATGAAGTCAACGCTCCGTCCCCCTCGTGCTCTAATCCAAAGTTCCGAAACCTTTCAGCCCGAGTTACAAAAACGTTTTCAGTGCCTAGAAGACTGCAATGCAATAGATGATATGAACGACAAGCTCGTGGAAACTGTCCATGAAGTCGGACCTAAGTCCGTGCGAAAGAAGCTAAGTTTTGCAAGACCCACCGCAGAAGAACACAAAAACTCTCCGATCATACTCTTAATCTCATGGCTGTTAGACGGGAGATTAAGCTGCAGTCTTCAACAATTGAACAGACAAATCTCCAAATGCATGCGGCAAGAATTACGCAACTTCAATACAGCTTGTATTATGTTATAAGGTGATCACCTTATATAATAAGGTGATCGCCACCATGCTGGTTCTATGAAAATTCATTTAAAATTGTATAAACAAAATTATTGTTAAGTGAAATTATGTTAAAAAAAAAGTCCCGCTGGGTTTCTTGCTGGTTCTTCCCAGGACAGAGGTATTTTCCGAACCAGTGGTAAATAAAATAATGACTTTCAATAAGTATTATGTAATAATCCATATTGAATAAAAATCATTCTATTCTATTCTGATCTGTCTGCCAGAAAGGGCCAACTGACAAAAATGAAGACCGAGTGTCGCAGCATCGTTTCTGGGATACCTAAGATTTTGAGTGAGATTGAAACGTTCTATGGACAGATGTACACATCATCGTTGGAGCCACATGCAAGTATGAGTAACGATCCAAGAGCAAGTTTTATTCGACACTATTCCGTTGATATCTTGGACATCAGTCTGAGCGAGATTACAATAGCTCTCCAGCATTCCAGCAATTAAAAACGGCAAGGCCCCAGGCAAGGATGGAATTACAGCGGAGCTTTTGAAAGCGGGTGGAAAACCGCTATTTGAAGTCCTTCAAAAGCTCTTTAATTCCATCCTCCTTGGTGGGACAACTCCGGAGGCGTGGAGCAGAAGTGCGGTGGGCTTGTTCTTCAAGAAAGGCGACAACGCTCTCTTTAAGAACTATAGACCGATTTCCCTTCTGAGCCGCGTCTACGTGTTGTTTTCCAGAATCATTACGAATCGGCGGGGTACAACGCATCTGAATTTTGATTCTATATTGAGGAGATATAGATGTCTATGGGTCACAGCAACCACTTACCATCAGGTTGACTCGTTTGTCACCCTATTCTATACAAAAAAAACATTCGTCAACACTTACGTCGTAAGGGAATGTCGAGTCGTTTATGATGGCAAACAAATCTCTACAGCAGAGTAATTAATAGATCGCTACCAGGGCTAGCGAACCCATCGGGGACTGGGGACCATTTTCTATGTCGTATCTTATGTCCATACATAAATGTGATATTTGCCTTAGCAGGGGGTTTTGATACCGCAAATTTTTGTTGCTGTTGTTAGAAAGACACTGCTACTCCTCTTTTGTTTCCCTCCATTTATGTCACCATTTATGACGTCCATGAGACGATATCAGGTAGTCGATGATATTCATAGATTGCCACTGCGCGGTAGAGATTGTGCATGGCGGCGAGCCAGTGCGCGCATGTACAATACGTGTAGCAGTATGTAGTATAGTATAGTGTAGTGTAGTGTAGTGTAGTGTAGTGTAGAGTAGAGTAGTGTAGAGTAGTGTTGCTCACGTGCGTCACGTCGGCGTGGTGCAGCACGGACAGGCAGAGCGCGAGTGCATGTGTACAATACGTGTAGCAGTATGTAGTGTAGTATAGTGTAGTGTAGAGTAGAGTAGTGTAGAGTAGTGTTGCTCACGTGCGTCACGTCGGCGTGGTGCAGCACGGGCAGGCAGAGCGCGAGTGCGTGTGTACAATACGTGTAGCAGTATGTAGTGTAGTATAGTGTAGTGTAGTGTAGAGTAGTGTAGAGTAGTGTTGCTCACGTGCGTCACGTCGGCGTGGTGCAGCACGGGCAGGCAGAGCGCGAGTGCGTGCAGCAGCGCGCGCATGGCGGCGGGCCAGTGCGAGCATGTATTGTGCAGCAGTATGTAGTGTAGTGTAGTGTAGTGTTGCTCACGTGCGTCACGTCGGCGTGGTGCAGCACGGGCAGGCAGAGCGCGAGTGCGTGCAGCAGCGCGCGCATGGCGGCGGGCCAGTGCGAGCATGTATTGTGCAGCAGTATGTAGTGTAGTGTAGTGTAGTGTTGCTCACGTGCGTCACGTCGGCGTGGTGCAGCACGGGCAGGCAGAGCGCGAGTGCGTGCAGCAGCGCGCGCATGGCGGCGGGCCAGTGCGAGCATGTATTGTGCAGCAGTATGTAGTGTAGTGTAGTGTAGTGTTGCTCACGTGCGTCACGTCGGCGTGGTGCAGCACGGGCAGGCAGAGCGCGAGTGCGTGCAGCAGCGCGCGCATGGCGGCGGGCCAGTGCGAGCATGTATTGTGCAGCAGTATGTAGTGTAGTGTAGTGTTGCTTACGTGCGTCACGTCGGCGTGGTGCAGCACGGGCAGGCAGAGCGCGAGTGCGTGCAGCAGCGCGCGCATGGCGGCGGGCCAGTGCGAGCATGTATTGTGCAGCAGTATGTAGTGTAGTGTAGTGTTGCTCACGTGCGTCACGTCGGCGTGGTGCAGCACGGGCAGGCAGAGCGCGAGTGCGTGCAGCAGCGCGCGCATGGCGGCGGGCCAGTGCGAGCATGTATTGTGCAGCAGTATGTAGTGTAGTGTAGTGTTGCTCACGTGCGTCACGTCGGCGTGGTGCAGCACGGGCAGGCAGAGCGCAAGTGCGTGCAGCAGCGCGCGCATGGCGGCGGGCCAGTGCGAGCATGTATTGTGCAGCAGTATGTAGTGTAGTGTAGTGTTGCTCACGTGCGTCACGTCGGCGTGGTGCAGCACGGGCAGGCAGAGCGCGAGTGCGTGCAGCAGGGCGCGCATGGCGGCGGGCCAGTGCGAGCATGTATTGTGCAGCAGTATGTAGTGTAGTGTAGTGTTGCTCACGTGCGTCACGTCGGCGTGGTGCAGCACGGGCAGGCAGAGCGCGAGTGCGTGCAGCAGGGCGCGCATGGCGGCGGGCCAGTGCGAGCATGTATTGTGCAGCAGTATGTAGTGTAGTGTAGTGTTGCTCACGTGCGTCACGTCGGCGTGGTGCAGCACGGGCAGGCAGAGCGCGAGTGCGTGCAGAAGGGCGCGCATGGCGGCGGGCCAGTGCGAGCATGTATTGTGCAGCAGTATGTAGTGTAGTGTAGTGTTGCTCACGTGCGTCACGTCGGCGTGGTGCAGCACGGGCAGGCAGAGCGCGAGTGCGTGCAGCAGGGCGCGCATGGCGGCGGGCCAGTGCGAGCATGTATTGTGCAGCAGTATGTAGTGTAGTGTAGTGTTGCTCACGTGCGTCACGTCGGCGTGGTGCAGCACGGGCAGGCAGAGCGCGAGTGCGTGCAGCAGCGCGCGCATGGCGGCGGGCCAGTGCGAGCATGTATTGTGCAGCAGTATGTAGTGTAGTGTAGTGTTGCTCACGTGCGTCACGTCGGCGTGGTGCAGCACGGGCAGGCAGAGCGCGAGTGCGTGCAGCAGGGCGCGCATGGCGGCGGGCCAGTGCGAGCATGTATTGTGCAGCAGTATGTAGTGTAGTGTAGTGTTGCTCACGTGCGTCACGTCGGCGTGGTGCAGCACGGGCAGGCAGAGCGCGAGTGCGTGCAGCAGGGCGCGCATGGCGGCGGGCCAGTGCGAGCATGTATTGTGCAGCAGTATGTAGTGTAGTGTAGTGTTGCTCACGTGCGTCACGTCGGCGTGGTGCAGCACGGGCAGGCAGAGCGCGAGTGCGTGCAGCAGGGCGCGCATGGCGGCGGGCCAGTGCGAGCATGTATTGTGCAGCAGTATGTAGTGTAGTGTAGTGTTGCTCACGTGCGTCACGTCGGCGTGGTGCAGCACGGGCAGGCAGAGCGCGAGTGCGTGCAGCAGGGCGCGCATGGCGGCGGGCCAGTGCGAGCATGTATTGTGCAGCAGTATGTAGTGTAGTGTAGTGTTGCTCACGTGCGTCACGTCGGCGTGGTGCAGCACGGGCAGGCAGAGCGCGAGTGCGTGCAGCAGGGCGCGCATGGCGGCGGGCCAGTGCGAGCATGTATTGTGCAGCAGTATGTAGTGTAGTGTAGTGTTGCTCACGTGCGTCACGTCGGCGTGGTGCAGCACGGGCAGGCAGAGCGCGAGTGCGTGCAGCAGCGCGCGCATGGCGGCGGGCCAGTGCGAGCATGTATTGTGCAGCAGTATGTAGTGTAGTGTAGTGTTGCTCACGTGCGTCACGTCGGCGTGGTGCAGCACGGGCAGGCAGAGCGCGAGTGCGTGCAGCAGGGCGCGCATGGCGGCGGGCCAGTGCGAGCATGTATTGTGCAGCAGTATGTAGTGTAGTGTAGTGTTGCTCACGTGCGTCACGTCGGCGTGGTGCAGCACGGGCAGGCAGAGCGCGAGTGCGTGCAGCAGGGCGCGCATGGCGGCGGGCCAGTGCGAGCATGTATTGTGCAGCTGTATGTAGTGTAGTGTAGTGTTGCTCACGTGCGTCACGTCGGCGTGGTGCAGCACGGGCAGGCAGAGCGCGAGTGCGTGCAGCAGGGCGCGCATGGCGGCGGGCCAGTGCGAGCATGTATTGTGCAGCAGTATGTAGTGTAGTGTAGTGTTGCTCACGTGCGTCACGTCGGCGTGGTGCAGCACGGGCAGGCAGAGCGCGAGTGCGTGCAGCAGCGCGCGCATGGCGGCGGGCCAGTGCGAGCATGTATTGTGCAGCAGTATGTAGTGTAGTGTAGTGTTGCTCACGTGCGTCACGTCGGCGTGGTGCAGCACGGGCAGGCAGAGCGCGAGTGCGTGCAGCAGGGCGCGCATGGCGGCGGGCCAGTGCGAGCATGTATTGTGCAGCAGTATGTAGTGTAGTGTAGTGTTGCTCACGTGCGTCACGTCGGCGTGGTGCAGCACGGGCAGGCAGAGCGCGAGTGCGTGCAGCAGGGCGCGCATGGCGGCGGGCCAGTGCGAGCATGTATTGTGCAGCAGTATGTAGTGTAGTGTAGTGTAGTGTTGCTCACGTGCGTCACGTCGGCGTGGTGCAGCACGGGCAGGCAGAGCGCGAGTGCGTGCAGCAGCGCGCGCATGGCGGCGGGCCAGTGCGAGCATGTATTGTGCAGCAGTATGTAGTGTAGTGTAGTGTTGCTCACGTGCGTCACGTCGGCGTGGTGCAGCACGGGCAGGCAGAGCGCGAGTGCGTGCAGCAGCGCGCGCATGGCGGCGGGCCAGTGCGAGCATGTATTGTGCAGCAGTATGTAGTGTAGTGTAGTGTTGCTCACGTGCGTCACGTCGGCGTGGTGCAGCACGGGCAGGCAGAGCGCGAGTGCGTGCAGCAGGGCGCGCATGGCGGCGGGCCAGTGCGAGCATGTATTGTGCAGCAGTATGTAGTGTAGTGTAGTGTAGTGTTGCTCACGTGCGTCACGTCGGCGTGGTGCAGCACGGGCAGGCAGAGCGCGAGTGCGTGCAGCAGCGCGCGCATGGCGGCGGGCCAGTGCGAGCATGTATTGTGCAGCAGTATGTAGTGTAGTGTAGTGTTGCTCACGTGCGTCACGTCGGCGTGGTGCAGCACGGGCAGGCAGAGCGCGAGTGCGTGCAGCAGGGCGCGCATGGCGGCGGGCCAGTGCGAGCATGTATTGTGCAGCAGTATGTAGTGTAGTGTAGTGTAGTGTTGCTCACGTGCGTCACGTCGGCGTGGTGCAGCACGGGCAGGCAGAGCGCGAGTGCGTGCAGCAGCGCGCGCATGGCGGCGGGCCAGTGCGAGCATGTATTGTGCAGCAGTATGTAGTGTAGTGTAGTGTTGCTCACGTGCGTCACGTCGGCGTGGTGCAGCACGGGCAGGCAGAGCGCGAGTGCGTGCAGCAGCGCGCGCATGGCGGCGGGCCAGTGCGAGCATGTATTGTGCAGCAGTATGTAGTGTAGTGTAGTGTTGCTCACGTGCGTCACGTCGGCGTGGTGCAGCACGGGCAGGCAGAGCGCGAGTGCGTGCAGCAGCGCGCGCATGGCGGCGGGCCAGTGCGAGCATGTATTGTGCAGCAGTATGTAGTGTAGTGTAGTGTTGCTCACGTGCGTCACGTCGGCGTGGTGCAGCACGGGCAGGCAGAGCGCGAGTGCGTGCAGCAGCGCGCGCATGGCGGCGGGCCAGTGCGCGCGCGAGCTCTGCGCGGCGAGCTGCGCGGCTGCCCAGCCCCACTGCGCGCCCGTAGAGAACACCGCGCTCGCGCCGCATATACTCTGCAGCAGCGCAGTGCGAGACGCCACGCCAGTGCCAGCCTGAATGAATTTTACAACACTTTATTAGCTTTATCCTCAAATCAACAAAGAAAATTAAACGACGTAGAATTGTCCATTTCACCAACTGAACCGTACATTCTTAATAGTCCTTCGAGCCTGATATAGCGACATAACAATAAAGAGTGTACGGTTTAGTGTTTCGTATATTGGAGTAATTAGTTCTATGTATATTTACAATAGGCCTCCCCCAATGAATGCAACGAAGCACGGTTCTGAGCCACCTGCATCCATCGACGTTCTGCATATCTTATCAGGTCGTCACTCCATCTAGTGGGGGGGGCCCTGCACTTCGTCCGCCGGTATGTGATACCGGTATCTGATGTGTCGATGGGCTGTGGTGGAAGGGGTGTCCTCTCCCCCTGCCGCTGCAGCCGAGATGGAGTCGCGGAGGAAGAGAATTGTTTGTATGGCGATCCACTACTCGCCCTATCTTCCGCGACTCAGACGGGGCCGCACCGTTGATGCGGTGGTGGTGGGGCCGCGGGGGGGAGAGGAGTGTCGGTATTACGAGGCGCCGTTCTCTCTACCCTCCGCAGCCGAAACTTGGTTGGCGGCGGAGCCAGAGACCAGATCCGCCCCTGAGGTCGGGAAAGCGGGTGCTACTAAGCGCTCGATTTTCCTAGCCCTATAGCCTCCGCGTATCGGACTTGGGATGGTCCGATACGCAGGTGAAGTTGGAGGCCATGGAGGGGCGTGCCTTGTGTTCCTGGTGCGCCTTACCCGAGAAGGAGAATGGGGAGGAGAGGTCCTCCCCCGAGAAGGGACTTCCATGCGGCGGCGGGCGCTGGTGGGGCCGCGGATGTGTGCGAAGGCGTTCCCGTAGCCCTGTCAATATGCGGCGAAGGTGGAAAACCATAGGGTTTTAGTCGGTGCGAATCCGACATAACCCGTCTTTGCCCCCGCGAGGCGGGTATGCGTAGGCATTGCCCCATGTAAAAAAAGGCCTGCCCCAATGAATGCAACAAAGAACGGTCCTGAGTCACCTGCATCCATCAACTTCCTGCGTGTCTTATCAGGTCGTCACTTCATCTAGTGGGGGGATGCCTTACACTTCGCTTACCTGTACGAGGCTGCCACTCGAGAACCATTTTCCCCATTGGTTGTCGGTTCTTCGAGCTATATCGCCGGTCTATTACCACTTCAGCTTACTAATCCGTTGGGCTATGTCGGTCATTCTGGTTCTACGGCGGATATTCTAATTTCGAAGTTTATCACACAGAGAAACTCCGAGCATAGCCCTCTCCATAGCTCGCTGAGCGACCTTGAGCTTCCTCATACGGCCAGCAGTGAAGGACCACGTCCCAGTTCCATAAGTCATCACTGGCAACACGCACTGGTTGTACAATCTCGTTTTCAAGTTTTGAGGTATACCTGGTGAAAAGATGTGTCGTAATTTCCTGAACGCTGCCCAGCCGAGTTGAATCCGTCGATTGACCTCTCGGTCAAAGTTGGACTTGCCTACTCAGACAACTTGTCCCAGGTAAATATACTCGTTAACAACTTCGAGCTTCGTGCTCCTAACAACTATCGGCATAGGTTTGACATGGACGTTTTATACATGATCTTTAATTTTCCCATGTTCATCTTAAAGCCTATCTATTGGGAGGCAGTTGGCTCTTTCTGGACAAACCTCAGGCAATGACTTTAGAGCCATGGTTTCAGTCGATCGCTTCTTCAATACGAGCAGTATTAAAGTTGCTTAAGTCCCGCCGCATACATTTGGAGATCTGTCTGTTTAGTTGCCTGTATGTTGTCAAATCCACTGAAGAATGCAGTTTCATTTCCCGTCGAACAGCCATGAGATTAAGAGTGTGATCGGAGAGTTTTTGTGTTCTTCTGCGGCGGGTCTTACAAAACTTAGCTCCGACCGCATGAACAGTTTCCATGAGCTTGTCATTCATATCGTCCACTACATTGTAATCTTCTAGGCACTGAAAACGGTTTTGTAACTCGAGCTGTAAGGTTTCGGGACCTTTGATTAGAGCACGAGGGCGCCGAGCGTTAACATCATTTGACGAGACCTCTCCAACTTAACCTAGAGGTTCAGTGTGCCATTCGATGATCGCTATCAGGTTTCACCCTCGCGATCACTGAGACATCACTGAACAGTTGTCGTCTAGTCCTCATAATGAAGTCAATCTCATTTTTGTCGAACCGTCGGGGTCGACCAGGTGCTCTTCCTGTGGGGCCTCTTCTGGAAGAAAGAGTTCATCATAAAGAGTCCCTCTTTCTCCATGAGCTGCTGGCCTCTCGGGTTCCGTTGCCCTATTCCAAATTTCCCTACCCTCAGCTCGCCGTTCTCTCTTGTGCATAGTTTTGCGTTGAAGTCTCCCATTAACACCGTATAGTGGGTTTTAGAGAAATACATGGCTTTAGAGATATCTTCATACATTTCCTCTACCTCCTCATCGGGATGTGCCGACGTTGGCGCATAAACCTGTATGACCTTCAACGAATACCCTTTGGTGAATCTGAGTATAAGGTACGCAGCCCTCGTCGGCGCAATCCCAATTTTTACAACGTTGTTAATGAGAGACTTGTGGACGATAAATCCGACACCTCCTTGGAACAGATGGTCGCCCCCCCGGTAATAGAACAAGTTGCCAGATTTGAGGATTACCGTGTCTTCCCACTCTCGTCGGACCTCGGATAATCCTATAATATCCCAGCGCAACTTGTCTATCTCTTCTTCCAGTTCCACGATCTTCTCGTCAGTCCTCAGGGTGAGTGCTTTGTACGTTGCCAGATCGAGTCGTCTTAGGTGGCAACTGAACCTCCACCGGAGATTCGTTTATAGACCTAATTCAGTGTCAGTAAGAGTAGCACAGTTGGCTGGTGAGTAATCAAGCTCCAAAGACTGCAGCGAAACCCGGATTAACGATTAACGGAAAGGTGTACTGTGTTTATGGTGGGATTAAAAGGGATAATTTATTGTGAGCTTTTACCGCCGGTCTAAACCATCGATTCGGATCTCTACTGCTAACAACTAATGAGAGTCAAGCAAGAAATTGATAAAAAACGGCCGTAATTGATCAGCAAAAAAGGAGTGGTCTTATCATGATAACGCCAGATCACTCACTACTTTGGCCACTCAGCAAAAATTGAGAGTGTTTGTTTGGGAAGTGTTAATTCATACACCATATAGTCCAGACCTTACGCCCTCAGATTTTCACCTGTTACGGTCTCTTCAGAATTCTTTGAGTGGTGTTAGGTTAACATCAAGAGAGGACTGTCAAAACTACCTGTCGCATTTTTTTGATCAAAAATTCCATGATTTCTACAGCAACGGGATTATGTCACTACTCTCCGACTTATAGTAGGACACGGAGTAAATGGAGCTTTTCACTCTATTTTGAGAAATCAGAATGTATAAAAAAGACATGTATGTGTTACCGTTACAGCCACGTAACACGTAACGTATTAAAGTCCACTGCTGAGCATAGGTCTTTCTCATAGATTGCCTCATAGGGGGAATATTTGCCATAGTTGCTACGCTTTGGTAAGCAGGTTGGCAACCGCAGTTTTTTATTTTTAGTCGTTATTAGGAAGACGCTGCTGCCCATCTCCTGATTTATTTGCCTCTGTCGACGTTTACGCTACCCACGGGATGGCATGGGGTAGTGGATATTCATAAACTGCCACTACATGGTAAACTATATTAAACAAAAAAATTCTATTATGTTCTATTGTTATGTTCTGTTCTGCTCTCTTTCGTGCTGTTGCGGGCTGCTCTGTTCTATTATATTTTGTTCTATTCAATTCTTGTTCTTTTCTATTTTTTCTTACGGATGAATTGTTACCCTTTAGGACTAAAATCGAATGCCTGAAATTATACTGACTCTATTAACGGGAACACTACTACATGTAATAAATAACTGCTACTACGTACTTTGGGCTCGAGCATATCAGTGGTAACATCCATTAACAACTGCAAACAACTGTTGACATCAATGTCCTTGTTCCGTCTCTTTCTTTTTACTGCATGTCGTACTTTGAAAGACGCCTCCTCTGATATATCTGTAGAGAAATAAAACCATACTGTTATAAATATTAAGTAAATATCTATTTTTATATTTTTTTGAAACTAAAGTGATAACCAAACTTAAAGTACAAATTATGGTAGGTCATTACTGCAGTCAATGGACAATTGCAGCCAATATCTAATAAACTAGGGTACATATGCGTTGTCACCTCTGAGGACTAAGATAGAATGCCTCACAACTATTTATTTTTTTATTTATTTATTTATTTATTTATTTATTTATATCCAACTTATATCTAACATTACAGGTTTCTACCCAATGCGATAGATAAAGCACTATCTACAATCATATATTACCTATATTACTACACTACCTTATAACTAATTATCCATAAAGCAAGTTTTGTGAATTCGTTCAGAGTACAAAAGAATAAATCTGATTTTCTGTCGATCAGGTTTAATGTTCGAAAAGCTCGCGTCAAGGGTGCCTCTCGCAGTAAGTTAGTGCGACATCTAGGGACGGCCAGTAGGTCTGGCTGACGCCGCCGCCATATATATCTATCCGGAACATAAATATTAATCTTCTTCAACATATTCTCATTAATAATTTTACTCCTAAGGACCATAAAAATATATGAAACCAGTCTAAGTTCTCTCCTTACCCTGAGCTGATTGTATCCTACCATACCCAGAACAAATAATGTGGGGTATTGCAGTGGGTAAAAAGGATACACCCCATATAACTTGAGATACAAATACCTTACAAATTTGTTTTGTACCTTCTCTAGCATTAGATCGTACTTCTTCTCATGTGGAGCCCAAATTATTGAATTACACTCCAAATGACTCCGAACTAGTGTGTTGTACAAAGCTATAATAGCTTGCACATTTGTGAAACCGTTAACCGTTCGTAACGTAAAACCTAGAGTTCTAAAAGCCTTTTTACATGTATCAACAATATGATCCTTAAACGTTAAATCAGCAGAAAATTTTACTCCTAAATCCATAACTTGCATTACCCTAGACATAGGTGTCCTGTCAATGTAATATGTATACCCTATGGGCATATGTTTGCGCGTGAAAGATATTGTTATGCATTTAGCGGTATTAAATTGTAATTTGTTGTCTTTGCTCCATTCAACAACTTTATTTATATCGTCTTGGAGACGATCACAGTCCTCCAAACTACCTATATTCATCGATAACTTAAGGTCGTCCGCAAATAATAAACATTTTGATTTCTTCACAACATTGGGTAAGTCATTTATCATGATTAAAAACTCCAAAGGTCCTAGATTCGACCCCTGACTCACACCAGACCAGGTAAAATATGGTTTTGTCTTATGACCCTCATATGCTACATACTGTTGCCTATCTGTCATGTAGCTAGCGAAAAATCTCAATAAGTGTGGGGTGAAACCAAATTTTGCCATTTTTTTTAGTAATATGTCATTATTTACCAAATCAAATGCTTTTTTGAAATCAAAATAAGCAGTATCAGCTTGTCCCCCACTATCTACTACTGGTATTATATCGGCCATAAGCTCTAGAAGGTTACTCGCAGTGCTCCGAGCAGGTCTGAACCCGTGCTGCGCTTCCGATAGCTGTGTGTTTATCTGTTGATATAAGCTTTTGTATATAGCCGACTCAAATACCTTGGCTGGAGTAGACAGCACTGCTACCGGTCTAAAGTTCTCTACACTGGTCGCTATATTTCCTTTTGGAACGGGAACCACCTTCGTTATTTTCCATTTTTCCGGAAACCTAGCTTGGTTTAAACAGTTATTGTAAATGTGAAGTAGTGGTTTTGCTAGCGCAGAATGGCAATCTTTAAAGATAAAAGGTGGTATCCCGTCTGGTCCTGCAGATTTCTTTGGCTTTAGTTGTTTAAGTGCGGTCAGTATGTCCTTAAGTTGCAACTGACTCAAGTGAATTCGCGCTGCCCCGTTATCCCCTCCGGCGTCAATGATAGCCTTACTCACATTCAAGTTTGGTCTGTGTGTAGTATACACCGAATGAAAGTATTTTGCAAACTCAATGGCACAATGCTCGTTGGTCAAAACCTCCCCATTTTTTAAAATTTTTTTTGGATTTAGATTACCTCTTTTGGAATTAACAAAATTCCAAAAGGATTTTGGGTCTCTTTGGAGATTATTTTGCACGCAGTGCTTATACTGGTTATGTGCAGTTACTAGCATATTTTTAACTTTAGTTCTCAACTCAGCGAATTTTATATAGTCAGTGACTAATCGTGTCTTTTTATATTTTTTATGGGACGTAGCTTTATATTTTATTAAATTAATAATATCCCTAGTATACCATTCAGGGTATATAACTAGTTCTCTATACCCTTCAAACCAGAACAAAACTGTGCAGAAATAGCAAATTTTGGCATCAGAAATAGCAAAGAGAACAAACTAACTAACCTCGACAAACTCCTAGACAGAAGAGATGTCCTACCATCTAGTAAAGCATTTTAAATAATTATAAAGTTCAAAATTCGAATTTACGAAAAATATAGAATATGTGGAAGAAACGACTACACAGTCCACATGGTGGTGAGTAGATATGGCCCATAAACATCTACGTATATCTCCGATTAAGAATCAAATTGCAGATGCGCTGTTACCCCTGAGGACTAGATGAAATGCCTCCTTTCCAGTAAAAATGGTCACCGGTTCTCTACACTCTCCATACGAAACAGAGCAGCATTGAACTGCTATTACACGCGTGTATTCTGTGAGGGCGTGGTCCTTCCACGATCGAGCCAACCCAAATGTGCTACAACCATAATATAATTGCAGCATGGCTCTACCACGTTAATTATGAACAAGAAATATAAATACTCACCCGAAGCAAGTTTCAAATACTCTGTACTGAATTGCGCGTAGTGATATCCGTCGAAACTGTCATTCATCAATGGGACACGCTCTAAGTTTACGTCATCAAACATTTTTATCGCGGATGTACCAACAAGGAGACTTCGGAGTCGTTGCATTCTGTAAAAAAAACGTAAACTTTAACGTGGCTCGGCTTCGAGTTCAGGACTTGGTACACAGGAGGTATCTGACAATTGAGTTTCCTGATTGCATTACTGATGTGACTCATAGGATAGAATAGCATAATTTGAATTCAACAAAAATCACCCAATAATTTCTTCATGAAAGTCACTTTTATTCGTCTACTACTAGTTCAGTAATAAGGTCTGTCCTAGGAAGAATCAGCAAACCACAAAACGGGTAATATTATGCGGTTATTACGTTACGTTACTACCGTATTCCAATACGACTTAGATAGCGGTTTAACCTTCTAATTTACCATCCATCCATCCATTAAAGCCTATAAAAGAACACTTCTTAAAATAGGAGTCCTTACTGCTCGCTTCTGCTTCACGGCACTCTCGCAGATTACTTGCCTTCTTCTCGGCTCACCGCAGACTACAAGGCAATTCCCTGGCACTTGCACATTCGTCGACATCTAGATAGCACTGTCGACCTCCCGTCTGAGCAGGGTGATGTGGCGGCGCTGTAATCGCGCCATAAGTGAAAATACGTCGAAGTCTAAATCGCGCTATCAAAGTTCCGAAGTAAAAGCAGTATATTATATAGAATAGCTCCGGACTACTACTCTGAGCGTTGGCCGCTCCCCGGCAGCACACCTTGCCCAACGGTAGATCTCCCCTTTTGCTTCCACGGACACATTTCCTGTTTCAATTTTCGTCCGTCACCTCTTACGACACCCACGGGATAATATAATGTAGAGGATATTCTTACCCTCCACTTTACGGTTATACAGAAGAGGGCTATAAGAGCAGTCTATGATTTAAAATCTAAAGAATCGCTCCGACAAAAATTTAAGGAAATATTTATATTAACTTTGACCTTATTATATTAACTTTGGCCTCAATTTTTGAAATTTATGAAAATGTACACAAAAATAAAAGTTGTTTTACAAAAAATAAGTGATATTCATAATGTAAATACTAAGAACAGACACAAGTTAGTAATACTAGTTACTTGACTCCACCGAGTCAGTAATTCATTCTCGGGGCGATGTATACGCTTTTACAACAAAATCCAAGAAAGCATACAAAATTTGACCTGCTCAAAATTCAAAACCTTTATTAAACTAAGTTTGTATAAAAAGGGTTATTATAATATTAAAGAAATTTTTGGATGATAATAACCCCTGGGAATGAGGTGATCGCTACCAAGCTATTTCTAATTCGTTTTGTATTGTTAATTGTCTAACATACATGATTGTAAACTGTTATTTTTTTAAAGTCCCGTTGGATTTCTTGCTGGTTCTTCCCAGGACAGACGATGTTTTTTTTTTTAAATTTAAACAAGAGTGATTTTCAATAAGTATTTTTATAATCTACATTGAATAAAAAAGTTTCTGGTTCTGTTTCTAATTGACAACACATAAAATACTGATACTAGCGACGAGCAACAGTGTCAATCTGGCAATGCAACCATCAATTCGTTTGCCAAGGGTGGAAATTAAGGCAAATCCCTCCTAATAGAAGAGGTTCAGTATATCCAACAAGAGACTTATGAACTGACGAATATATTTACATCAATAAATACTCACCCATCAGCGACATACACATTTGTACGGGGCACATGTAAAATCCCTTTCCTCCTGACGTAAGGTGCAGTACTGATCAACAGCTGGGTGATTCCTCTCACAGCCCAATGGGTACCGTTCCCTTGTAAAGCACCCAGCAATCCCACCCATATCTCTTCAAACTGCTTCTTCGAAGACCAACCTATAAGATTTACTCTGAAAAATTGCTTCATTTTTACAAATGACTAAGAAAAGTTTTCTGCTTTGTTTTTTCTGTTCAACTGGACTGGTAAAATGTCGACACACAAATGCACACAAAGTCATATCACGTATTTACAGCTGAAAATTCCAATTAGTGATTTCTTTTTGTAAAGTTACAGCCTATTTACATCCCACAAGTGTGCATAGGTCATCGCTTATTTACAAAAGGATTTTTGGAACAATTAGGCATTTATTTATTGAACAAGGATGACAAACGACCACATAGTCCACCTGATGGTAAGTGTATTTGCATTTTAGATAGACATCTACATCTATCCTCAATTAAAAATCAAAATGCAGATGTGTCACCCCTGAGGACTAAGATGAAATGCCACGTTAGCAGTAATAAGAGTCATCGTTTCTCTAGACTCACTATACGAAACGAAACATGTCCAGAGAAAGCGTGGTTCTATTCCGGTCGAGCCGACTCATTGGTGATGCAGGTATGTATAGCTAGCATGGCTGCAGCACAGAGTAAAGAGTAAGGACCTAGGGCAATTTGGCCGACTTCCTAGAGAAAGAGGGACTCTATGATGAACTCATTCTTCCAGAAGCGGCCCCACAGGAAGTGGACCTGGTCGAGCCCCGACAGTTAGGCAAAAAATGAGACTGACTTCATTATGACGACCAGATGATAACTGTTCAGTCAGGTCTCAGTGATCGCGAGGGTGAAAACTGGTAGCGATCACCGAATGGTTAGAGGCACACTGAACATAATCGTATGTTGGAGAGGTCACGTCTATTGAAGTTAACGCTCCGTCCCCCTCGTGCTCTAATCCAGAGTCTCGAAACCATTCAGCTCGAATTACAAAACCGTTTTAAGTGCCTAGAAGATTGCAATGCAGTGGACGATATGAATGACAAGCTCGTGGAAACTGTCCATGCGGTCGGAGCCAAGTTCTACAAGACCCACCGCCGAAGAACACAAAAACTCTCCGATCGCTCTCTTAATCTCATGGCTGTTAGACGGGAAATGAAGCTGTAGTCTTCAGCAGATTTGACAGCGTACAGGCAACTGAACAGACAGATCTCCAAATGCATGCAGCTGGACTTACGCAACTTCAATACAGCACGTATTGAAGAAGCGATCGAGCGGAACCAGGTCTCCAAAGTCTTTGCTAGAGATCTGTCAGCCAGACAGAGCCAACTGTCGAACCTGAAGACCGAGTGTGGCACCGTCGTTTCCGGGGCACCTGAGATTTTGAGTGAGATTGAGAGGTTCTACGGGCAGCTGTACACATCATCGTTGGAGCCACATGCAAGTGTGAGTAACGATCCAAGAGCAAGTCTTATCCGACACTATTCAGATGATATTCCGGACGTCATAGTCTGAGCGAGATTAGAATGACTCTCCAGCAGCTTAAAAACGGCAAAGCCCCAGGCGAGGATGGAATTAAAGCGGAGCTTCTGAAAGCGGGTGGAAAACCGGTACTTAAAGTCCTTTAGAAGCTCTTTAATTCCGTCCTCCATGGTGGCACTACACCGGAAGCGTGGAGCGGAAGTGCGATAGTCTTGTTCTTCAAGAAAGGCGATAACGTGGTCTTGAAGAACTACAGACCGATTTCCCTTCTAGGCCTCGTCTACGTGCTGTTTTTAAGAGTCATTACGAATCGTTACGCACGCAGACTTGACGACTTCCAGCCTCCCGAACAAGCCGGTTTCCGAAAAGACTTTAGCACCATAGACCACATACATACCCTTCGGCAAACTGTACAGAAGTCCGAGGAGTGCAATTGGCATCTATGTCTGGCGTATGTGGACTATGAGAAGCCTTTGATTCTGTCGAAATTTGGGCGGTGCTGCAGTCCCTTCAGCGGTGCCAAGTTGATTGTCGGTATATTGAAATACTGAAGTTTTTGTACGGGCTACGATGGCTATCTGAGTACAGAACCAGAGTACGAAACTCATCCAACTGCAGAGAGGTGTAAGACAGGGTGACGTTATTTCCCCGAAACTCTTCACCGCTGCATTGGAAAACATTTTCAAGCTACTGGATTGGAAAGGATACGGTATTAACGTCAATGGCGAATACATCACTTATCTTCGATTTGCCGTCGATATAGTCCTTATGGCAGAATCGCTGGAGGACCTAAGGACTATGCTCAATGACCTCAATAGTGTCTCCCAACGGATAGGTCTTAAGATGAACATGGACAAATTAAAGATCATGTATATAACGTCCATGTTACCGGCATAGGTGTGAACCTATGCCGGTAGTTGTTGGGAGCACGAAGCTCGAAGTTGTTGACGAGTATGTTTACCTGGGACAAATAGTCCGACTAGGTAAGTCCAACTTCGACCGAGAGGTCAGTCGACGGATTCAACTCGGCTGGACAGCGTTCGGGAAATTACGGCATATCTTCTCGTCAGGTATGCATAACTCTGAACTTAAAAACTAGACTGTACAACCAGTGCGTGTAGCCAATGATGACCTATGGAACTGAAACGTGGTCCTTCACTGCTGGCCGTATGAGGAAGCTCAAGGTCGCTCAGCTAGCTATGGAGAGGGCTATGCTCGGGGTTTCTCAGCGTGATAAACTTCGAAATGAGGATATCCGCAGTAGAACCAGAGTTACCGACATAGCCCAACGGATTAGTAAGCTCAAGTGGCAATGGGCCGGCCATATAGCTCAAAGAACCGACAACCGATGGGGAAAGAAGGTTCTTGAGTGGCAGCCTCGTACCGGTGGACGAAGTGTAGGGCGTCCGCCCAATAAATCAAGTAACGACCTGGTAAAACATGCAGGTGGCTCAGGACTGTGCTTTGTGGCATTCTTTGGGGGAGGTCTATGTTCAGCAGTGGACTTGTAAAGGGCTGTAATGATGATGATGATGTATCTGCAAATCGAACAGAAGTGTTAAGCTTACCTGGAGTGGTTAGGGATTATTAGTAATGTTAATAACATTGCTATTATTTTAAAAAATCCATACCTGAATAAGAATGATTCCAGAACGTCCATATCCTGAAACGTTTGTAACGGCAAGTCGATGTTCTGCACCGTGTCATTTTTAATAGTCGCTTGTACGTAAGACCACGCGATCGGAGGTATAAGAGCAATGTTGCTTACAACTTCTAACCTAAAACAGAATACTTTTTAACGCGCTTTTATTAGCTTGGTATGTATCTTGTGTAACGGAATTTTTCAATATGATTTTCATCCCCTTCAAAACGTCGGATTGATTTGAAACTTGGCACACTTTTCAAGGACCGATGACGCAATAATTTAAATAGTTTGTCCCATTATCCTTGTCAGGATCCTCGGGATTTGCGAATAATTCATAAAACAATCTACGATTTCAAGTTCAATCTACTGGAAACTGCGTAAAAGAACTTCGTTCCAAAAAAAACACGCTTTTGTAGTTAGTCGCCTAAAAATAGAAAATAAAAAAATAATAATTTAAAATTAAAAATCTTGTACAGCCGACTTCAATATAAGTTATTAAGAATAACTCAAAAACTATTGGTCTGACCTTGATCAAATTGGGACCACGCGAGAAGTACCAGCTTTCAAATAAAAAAAGAATCATAGAAATCGGTTCACCCAGTAAAAAGTTATGAGGTAACACACATTAAAAAAACATACAGTCGAATTTAGTACCGCCTCCTTCTGAAGTCGGCAGAAAAAGTGGGGTGCTTGATGTCATGTTGTAAATATTATTGTGGATATTTGTAAAATTAGCGTCGTCATAAAAATATCTCAAAAAGCACCTCACGCTTATTTACAATAAAATTATTTTTTATGTATATCACTATTTTCTTATTATATATATTAAATTTATTGGTAATTATTTTTCAATAAATTTATCGGTTTTTACAAAAGCGTGTTTTTTAATTTTTTTTAACTATTATTTATTTATAGAATAAGGGTTACAAGCATTGAGTTATATGTACTACGTACTAGAGAAGCTATTCCAAACAAAAATTGTGCGCTACTCTATGTCTTCGCGCATGTGCGGGATTTAATATAAACTAAGATATTAAGATAAAATAAATATAAGAATTTAATATAAAATCCTCTTATTTTAATCTAAACAAACATATTTCTAAATAAAATGTAATAATAATTATCTTATGGAATTCACAAATCTTCAATTTACGCAATATTTAGTTTAGTGTACGGATTGCAGTACAGTTCAGTTGAACATAGTCAACGTTCGCAATGCGAAAGCTAGTGCGTAGTACATATATATTAATATTTACAAGCGAGCCCACAGTCCACCTGATGCTAAGTAGATGCTGTGGCCCGTAGGTAACTACATCTATCCTCGATTAAGAATTAAAATGCAGATGCATCGACACCCCTGAGGACTAAGATGGAATGCCTTGTTTGTAGTAAAAAGGATCTGGGCACATTAAAACGTGGCGCATTATTAAATAGAATAAAGTTGCTTATCCACGTCTGTTTGTTTATTCGGTTAAGTGCCGCTATTTTAATCTTCAGATTCAGAAATTTATTCATAGTTAAAATTATTTATCATATATATAGATAAATTAATAAAACAAAACGGAAGTACTTTAATGTTGCCCATTGAAACTTTTGTATTATTATATAAACTCAACAACGACGTTTGGTTTTGTTGTGTTGATTCTTAATTAGGAATAGATGTACGTGTTTATAACCTTTATTATGTAAAAATCTTACCTGGATAAACTAACGAGCAAGCTCTCTATCGGCTTCTGGTATCCCTTAGCGAGTATATCGTCGATGGGTTTCGCGTAGAAATTCTGCTCCCAATACTGGACCATCGTTATCAATTTGTCCGAGGTCAGTATAAAGTCGGGCTTTGGACCAGAATCGTGCAAGGGCACGTGTGATTTTAAGATTAGCGGCTTCGTATCCTGAAACGTGTGATACATAAAGCGAAAAAAAAACATACAAACAATCCACTATCGGGAATTATCCTGTGATATTAAAGTCGTTACAACTTAATTTGCTTACATCCACATAGTGGAATAAAATGATATCTCTCATCTAGACTGAAGAGAACCTCCCGCCCTCCCTCAATTGCGTGCACTATCCCCGTCACCACTACCCCCAACACCACTACCCCCAACACCACTTCCCTAGGAAAGACACACCACCGTTGATAATGCGACACGTGTATTTCGCCTCTACACGATCATCCTCAGGGGAAGTAGACTCAGTGTTGACTGACCACTAAGTCCGCTCTTAAGTTCTAAATTGTGGTCTATAATGGATTTCCGCAAAGTAACGCCTGATTCCTATTAATTATTATCTTGTGATACATTGTGAAGAAAAACTGAATATAGAATTGCCATTTCGTCACGTAGGTGTTCCCGGTATTATATATATATATATATATATATATATATATATATATATATATATATATATATATATATATATATATATTCAATGTATACTACTAGATCGACAATTCAGAACAAAAACTGTGTCACAATGGTGGGCGGCTAACTGGCTGTTGTATTTTGATTTACGACAGTTACTGTTTTTAGGGCAAATACGAAATAAAGTTACATACTTATCTGAAATAAACTTCGAAACACGTTGACAATGTGCGCACATAAATAACGACAGCGTTTTCTTAGTCACGTTAAACAAAATCAATGTCGAAAACAACGTTCGATGTTTACAAAACAAAGAATTTCTCTTCTCGCGGCTCGCAGTCGACTAAAGGAGTTACGGCGAATTGACCGTGTCTTAGTGAGCAATGTATTAAGACCGCTGAGCACGTCTAGTAGTATACATATTAGTCTTTGGAAACACCAGGAAAATCTTATGGCTTCCGATAGATGGCGGTGTATCATATCGTTTACGATAGACGTAAAATTTCCAGAGTGACGACAGGGGGAAGGGTCAAAGAAACGATACGTCTGGATACTGCGATCGTAAATACGCCTGTCAAGTGTTCGCACCACTTTGCACTGCCACCTAACGCTTATGAGATTCGTTAATTATTATCCAATAAGAGTACTGCCAAGCAAATTTCCGGGTTTCCTATATACCGCCTTTTATACCTTTTGCATATGCACTCTTGTGTGAACCCCATTAGCTCACATAAGTTTAAAAAACACGAAACCAACCCCATCGCTCTTATCTCACGTCATTGTTTCCGTCTTTGTGTAATTTAGATATTAAACTACACAAAAATGTAAAGTATATAGACTATATTTCGATACTATAATTTCGCGATTATCTGTGAAGTTTATATGTGTGAAGAAAGCCGGCGTCCAATCATTGAAGCTGTAGCCTTTGAGACACGAGGCAGATTAGCAGAAGTGCAGGTGAGTGCACATGCACTCCTTCACATCCTTCCTGTAGCCCGAATTTAGGGGCATTTGCAGTATCGCGAAATATTAAATTCGAGCCGCACCCTACAGTCCATTAATTGACGTATAATCATCCTTTAAATAACTCTAAACCAGCGATTGGACATTTAAACCAACACGCCAATTTCTGCCCTTCTCGCCAAATTATAATTAATTAATTAACCATTTTGGTCACTACGGCCGGGATAATTTTATCCAAAGGGTAACGATTAAAGCAAAAAACAATATCATCCCTACAACGGGAGAGGCCCGTGTCCAACAGTGGACTTCAACGGTCTGATGATCTTGTATATATACCTATAGTAAAATACTCAGACCGGTGAAGGATGCAACGTCAAAGGTTCGAGAGTCTGACACTGTTATCGCCAAACGATGGTAGAACCATGCTGCAACTATATTATGGTTGTAGCACAAATGTGTCAGCTCCACCGCGGACGGACCACGCTCTCCCAGAATACCAGCATGAAATAGCAGCTTTCCGGAGACCCTTTTTACTGGAAACGAGGCATTCCATCTTATTAACAACGCATCTGATAGCATAGACATGAAATTGTTTCAGCCACGGTTCTTAATACAACTAGAAAATTTCAGATTATTCACATGTCCAGCTGTAGATGAAGTTAATAAAAACGTGTTAAAATAAAATGCAATAAAGAACAAGAAAAAAATATAAAAAATACCTTAACTAAATACTTCAATACTGCAAACAGGCAACTAATGGCAGATTGTATCCTATTAAAATTGCTATCCACGTTCAATTCTGACCAAATCTCATCGAAGCTCAACGCCTTGGCCACATTATCTACAGTCACTGAAATCAAATGGTCGACCACTATATTCTCACTTTCCGTATTCGTCACTCGGAAGGACACGTCCGCGTGTATCGGACTTTCTACCGCTTTCTTATTCTTGATTAAAAACGACAGATACTGCAATGAGACCACCGAGAAAATGGCTATATTTCTTGCCACGTTGACGGGGATAATGTTTTCAATGCATTTCTCTAATAAATCGCAATCCGACTCGTCGATAAGGGCTATAATCCTGTGCAGACAATCCAAAAATCCAGTCATAATCGTTTGAAGCGTTATAAACTCTTGATAGAACAATTTATCTTGAAACACTTGGTGACAACGCCTCGTATATCTGTCGATAGTTTGTTCTATATTCAAGTTGAAATTCTCGGATTGACTGAGCGGACGATTTTGTTTCGGGAACAATCGTAAGATGTCGCAGATCGATTTGTCTAAAGTTGATAAGGATATCTGGTATAGATCTGGCAGGTCAGGCGATGTTAATTCTAACTCTTCTTCGGATAATTTTAAGTTACCAAAACGCTCTCTGGTCTCGATTTCATTTATCGGAATGAAAAACTGTGATTTCGACTCCCTACTGTCGCTTCTCTTGAAAACGTGTAGAGAGTTAACCATGTTCAGTTTGTTGCTGTCGATTGATGATGTCATCTCCTCTTTCACTCTTACGATCTCTTGCTCTCTTGCGATTTCCTTCTCAATCTCTTTGGATTCGGAGACCGACACGATGTTTAGGAACTCTCTTGTGAAAGCATCGCATGCCACTTTAAAACAGGACGTCAGAATTTTCCTGTCGAACTCCGGGCACGACATGACAGTTAGTAAATCTTGTTGTGACAGGTTTGACAAAAGCTTAGCTAGATCATTGTATTTCGACACTTTAGGGAATGTGGAATTCGTTCGGCATCTATAAAATATAGTTATTACATTTTATGTTCAAATAGAAAAAAAAATAAAAGAACGCTATACTTTGACAAAGGCAATTGTAGTACATAACATACATAAATTTATAATATATAAATATATATTACGTCATCACCTTAACATGTATTGTGGTTTTTAGTTATGACCAAATACTTCTATTATACTATTAGACCGGCTCTGCGGCCTTAATACATTTTGTACTAAGTTATGGTCAATTCCTCGAAACTGCTTTAGTTGACTCACACTCTCACACTCACACACACATACTCGCACTCGCACTCACACACACTGTCACACACAATCAGACACACACACACACTCACTCACTTACTCACTCACACACACGCGCACGCACGCACGCACGCACGCACGCACGCACGCACGCACCCACACACTCACACACACACACACACACACTCACACACACACACACTCGCACACACTCGCTCACACTCGCACACACTCGCACACACTCGCACACATACGCACACACTCGCACACACTCGCACATACTCGCACATACTCGCACAAACTCGCACAAACTCACACACACTCGCACATACTCGCACATACTCGCACAAACTCGCACAAACTCACACACACTCGCACATACTCTCACATACTCACATACTCTCACACACTCACACATTCACACTCTCACACGCTCTCACTTGCTCTCACTCGGTCTCACACGCTCTCGCGCTCTCACATGCTCTCACGCGCTCTCATACGCACTCACACGCTCTCACACGTTCTCACACGCTCTCACACACATTCACCCACTCTCACAAACTCTAACACACTCACACACTCGCTCGCACGCGTACTCACACGCACACGCACTCAAACACACACTCACACAATAACCATTATAAATAGACCAAAAGGTTTTATTAACCACAATAAAAACAATTAAAATTCGAACACCTCAGACACATTTAATTAAGTTATCCACGTAGAAGATTACCTTATTTTAACTTCATTGAGGAGCCAGTTGGCGTCCACACTGGTAGTTAAGACGTTATTAGGGTTTACGACGCGGTCCAAAGTTAAATCTAGAGGCGAAAGATCGAAAGTGCTCGATGCCAGCTTGTTCAATTGCACAACCAACGCTGAATATCTGAAGATATAGTTAAATGAAAAGTCTATTCAAACATAGTAAAGTAAATGTTCATATAAATGTTTTTAAATCAATAAATAAAAATCAAGTCAATTTTTTTTTCTTTTTAGTGGATTGTGGCTCATAGATATTTACATTTATCCTCAGTTAAGAATCAAAATGCAGATGCGTTGTCATCCCTGAGGGCTGAGATGGAATGCGTCGTAAAGTAGAAACGGTATCCGGTTCTCTAGACTCACCATGCGAAATACAGCAGCATTGACCTTCTATTTCATGCTAAGGGAGCGTGGTCCTTCCTTCGGTAGAGCCGACCCATTCGTGCTGCAATCATAATGTAGCTGCAGCATGGCTCTTACGTATAAATACTTCCTCTTTGTACCACAGTTTGTGGCCACAGTTCGCGAATCGTGCAGCTTCTTTAATATTTTTCTTAATATAAATATATGTATATATAAGAGTTTACTTAATAGTAACTAACTTAATAGTTTATAGTTACGTAGTTTAAAGTTAAAAACGTTTAAAGTTAAGACGATTGTACGTAAGTAAGAATGGCGCATAAAGTAAGCACACATGTTGTTACTTTAGCAGTTTATTGCACAAAATAAAAAATTTAATTTTTAGTTAATCACGGCGGGGCGGTTCGAACCGTGTCTCTTTTAAATTATGTTAATCGACTACCACGTTGGTCTAATGATCGTAAACGCAACTGCTGATTAAGTTGTCTCGTGTTCGGATCCCAGATCGGACCAAATAAGTTATTGGGTTTTTCATTCCAGAAAGAGTCAGCCACGTTAAGCCGTTGGCCCCGCGCCTGACTTCCGGTCGTGTCGGATTACCATCCCATCAGGCTTGCGCATACACGGGCACTATAATCCTGTCCTGCTCAAATGGCTAGTCTCCGTAGATACTGGCCGCCGATATCATAACAACGATGGCAAAGGTTTCCCAGTTGGAACCAACATTTTTTGCAACAACACAAATTCGTCAATATTTAGGTTTGAATTAATAAAATATACTTTATTGTACACAATAAAAAGATAAAAATAGGCGATATAATACAAGGCGAATAACCAAATGTAAAATTGGCGGCCTTTAGCCCTTCGCATAGAAGCGATCTCTACCATGCAAACACGTTGCGGAGGATATAATGAGCCGCGAGAAGGTGTAAGGGTGTACGTAAATTTTTGAAAAATATATTTTACAACTAAACATGCATAAACACATATAAATATATAATTAATAAATTCATTCATACAGGCTGTCCCAGAAATCGACGTCAAGTCGGAATCGGGTGATAGGTAATAGTTAACAAACAAATATTGAAAATTATCTTTTTTTTATTTTTCTGTTCATAAATATACAAATATGTATACAAAATCATAAAAGAGTGAATGTCTTTTATTTTTCATATTGCAAAATATGTAAAAATGCCGATGCCGTCATTCCACTCTCTCAACCTAGTACTATAACACTCGCGATTACATTACATAACGATAACAATATCCAAAGAAGAAAAGGCTTTATATAAGTAGACATAAGGTTGAGTCTATTTTTATGCCTACACGTTTTATTACTTGACAGAGGTCATTGATCGTTATTGAGAACGTTCCCGTCTCGTGCAATATGATACAATACGGCTGTCGTAACTATATAATCAAAATGGTAGGTAGACACAATAATAATTAAAATACCAGCTTTCGTTAATCTTGTGTCTACAGGACTTATTTCCTGTTCTACTCTGTATACATCTACGTCAAGAGATAATAAATCAAAAGAAACACTTACCTGACATGAACCCCGTCTCGTTGCAGGGATTCTAATGCAATTTGTAAATCCTCTTTTGAAAGCTGCGAGTTAATTTTATCCGCTGCGAGTTCACCCAGCGCCTTACACCTCTCTATTGCTAAACTGGTAAACCTAAAAAAGAAATGTGTTGCAGACAAATAAGTGGTCAGCCTTGGGAAAGGCCTAGGCAGACTGCCACAAGCAGCTCATGAAGATGCTGATGAGTGTCAAACTGATACCCAATCAGGGAAGACTTCTATGTATAATACTGGATGGACTCTACGGCCTTATATAAATTGCGCACTGAGTTACGGACTATTCTCCGTAACTCCTTTAGTCGACTGCGAGCAGACGAAAAAACTAATTCTTTGTTTTGTAAACCGCAAACGTTGTTTTCGACAATCTAACACATTATTTATGTGCGCATTTTGTAAACGTGATTTGAAGTTTATTTCAGATAAGTATATATGTAACTTTATTTCGTACTAACTGTTCCCCGCGATTTCGTCCGCGTGGTATTAACGATTGGATTACATGGGTTTTAATTTTTAGCACGGAACTCTAATCCTTTTTCTAAAATAAAAGTATTATAAGTTACTCTTTATAACATCAGCTATCTGTCAGTGAAAGTCCTGTCCTGTCCTGTAGAGGAGTATGTAAGCAAAATAATTGGTATCGCTCATAAGCTCAGAAACATAGGCTTTAAGGTAGATGATGAGTGGCTGGGCACGCTGCTACTCTCTGGTCTTCCTGACACATATCAGCCTATGATAATAGCCATTGAGAGCTCTGGAATGAAAATTACCTCAGATTCAGTTAAGGCAAAGTTATTACAAGATGTAAGACTGTCTGAAAATGACTCCGAGGTATTTTTTGTAAACAAAAAGTCTCAGAAAAACTATAAGAAGCCACCAAAGGACCTAGATCCTATACTTGCAATAAATATGGTCATAAAAGTTCAGAATGTAAATTTAAAGCTAAAGACACACAAACACCAAGTAGTTCGTCTTCTGTATTTGTAGCATCACTCTCACAAAATAATGCCTGGTATGTGGACTCTGGGTGCAACCTCGCACATGACCAAACACAAGGATTTGCTTCAGAATATGTCAACCTCTTCCATAAAGAAAATAAGAGTTGCAGACAATATGGCGTTATCTGTGCAATCCTCAGGGCAAGTAAGCTTGGACACTTATAATGATAAAGGTCATGAGAAAAAGGTCCTGTTTAACAATGTTTTATATGCTCCCGAACTAGCGACTAACTTGCTCTCTGTGAGTCAGATTATTCGAAGTGGTGGCGAAGTAAGATTTGACGAAACCGGCTGTGTTATTATGAACAGTAAAAATCAGATAGTAGCAACAGCTAATTTCATCAACAAAATGTACCGGCTTAACACTCCTGGAGGAGACTATGCATGCATTTCTGAAGTTGGAGAACAAGATATTTTCCTGTGGCACCAAAGAATGGGACACCTTAATTTCGACAGTTTAAAGAAAATGCCTTAAAATGCTGACCATGTAACTTTCTCAGCAAATACAGAAAGTCTGACATGTGTCACCTGTAAAGAAGGTAAGCAAACACGGCTACCTTTTAAAAGTGAAGGAAACAGATCAATGGTTCCTCCTCAGCTGGTACATTCCGATATATGTGGCCCCATGAAAACACAAACAATAGGAGGTGCCAAATATTTCCTGACCTTCACAGACGATAATACTAAGAAGGTTTATGTGTATTTTCCTAGCAAAAAGAGTGAAACACTAACAAAATTCAAAGAGTACAAAAATGAAGTAGAAAATCAATTAAATAGCCACATAAAGATTCTAAAAACAGATAATGGCCTAGAGTATGTCAGTAAGGAATTCTCTGACTACTTAAAAAGTGCTGGCATTATACACCAGACTACCATACCATATACTCCGGAACAAAACGGGACTGCAGAACGAATGAACAGGACTCTCACTGAAACAGCAAAATGTATGCTGCTTAAAGCAAAACTTCCAAAACAATATAGGGGTTGATGCAGTGCACACAGCTGCCTACATAATCAATCGTTCTCCGACCAAGTTCCTGTTATTTAAGACACCAGAAGAACTGTGATCTGGACGAAAACCAAATGTAAAACACATGCGCATAGGCTGTGAAGCCATGGTACACTTGCCACAAGAGAAGCGTAAAAAAGTGGGACCCAAAGGCACAGAAAATGATATTCATTGGCTATTGTGAGCACAGTAAAGGCTATAGATTCATAATACCAAACTCTAGAAAAGTGATAAAAAGCAGGGATGCTACATTTCTTGAATATACTGTCAAAAGACATTATGTGCCTGTACAACTGACCGAAAAGAATCCTGTAACGAAAATTGATGATACTGAAGAAAATATTTAATTAACAGTGGTAGAGCCACGCGGCAGCTTTAGCTGTCGCACGGATGGGCCGGCGAGAAGCGGGGTGGTACCACGACCTCACAGAAAACCAGCGTGAAGTAGAGGTTTGCCTCTGCGTTTCGCTAGGTGAGTACAGGTGGCCGGAGGCCCTTTTTACTGGAAATGAGGCATTCCATCTTAGTCCTCACGGGTGACAACGCATCTACATTTTGATTTGTAATAGAGGATAGATGTAGATGTATATGGGCCGCAGCAACCACTTACCATCAGGTGGACTGTGTGCTCGTTTGTCACCTTTATCCTTTAAAAAAAAGCCACTGAAATAGATGCAGAATCTTCAACAAGTTTGTATGATACTGTATGTGAAAATAAAACATCTTCAGACAGTGATTACTCACCCGACATCAGTTTAAAATCTCCTACAGTTAGTAACATAACATTGAGACCTCGAAAGAAAATAAGTAAAATAAAACTACATGATTCTGAAGAAAGTACATACCTGTGTCAAAGTGAAGACATTCATTTAGATGTTCCAGTAACATATAAGGAAGCCGTGAACTCAATAAAGATAAACGGATTAAGTCCATTGGTGAGGAACTGGAAGCCCATCAGAAAAATAACACCTGGACATTGGTTGAAAAACCTCTGAATGCAAAAGTAATACCATGTAAATGGGTATTCCGAATTAAGGATGAACCAACAGGTCCAAGGTATAAATCAAGACTTCACAGACTAAGGGTATTGATTACCATGAAACTTATGCTCCGACAGTCAGGTATGATTCTATACATTTACTTCTTTCAGTTACAGCACAAAATAATTTAAAATTAGACAACTAAATGTCAGAACAGCATTTCTTTATGGAAAACTTGAGAAGACCATATTCATGAAACCACCAGAGGGTCTGCAACATGAGGACAGTATAGTAAGCAAACTTAATAAATCATTGTATGATCTAAAACAGGCTCCACGGTGTTGGAATAGTAAATTTGACTCTGCGCTTAAAAAGTTTAGCTTTGCCAACAGCAAAGCAGACCAATATGTGTATGTTAGTGATGTCATTAAAAGAAATGCTATCTATGCTTATACGTAGACGATGGGTTGTTATTTTCTTCAGATGAATTGGCTTTACATGAAATAACTAAAGAATTGAGAACCATATTTGAAATTAAAATACTAACCAAACCTGGTAACTTTGTGGGAATGCAAATTGAACAGTCTAGTAAATGCATAATAATTATCCATCAGACTAAATATGTAGAACAAATGTTGGCCAAATTCAACATGACTAATGCTAATTCCAACTGTGTTCCAGTTGACCCCCACATGAAGTTGCAGAGAGGAAATGAAGAGGGTGAGAAGGATGTACCATACAGAGAAGCTGTGGGCTTTTTTTGTTTGACGTCAGTCTGGTGAGTCGTTTCCTTAATTGTTACAATTACACCCATTGGAATGTAGTCAAACGGATTTTTAAGTACTTGAAAGATACAAAAGATTATGGGTTGTGTTATACACAATCTCCACAAACATTAGACGTCACAGGCTACAGTGACGCAGATTGTGCAAACGATATGGATACACGCCGTTCAGTCACTGGCTATGTATTCATCAAGAATGGGGCGGCTGTGACGGCAACAAACAGTGGCTCTGTCTACTACAGGGGCCGAATTTATGGCAGCCTGTGCTGCTACCAAAGAGACAATGTGGATCAAACAGTTTTTAAGTGACATAAATGAATATAAATAGGACTCTATGTATCTTAATTTAGATAACCAAAGTGCTATCAGTGTCATCAAAATATAAAAGATGTAAGCATATTGAAATTAAATATCACTTTATAAAAGAAAAGTATCATCAAAAGTCAATTGTATTAAAGTTTGTTAGTAGTGATTTTCAGTTTGCTGATGTACTTACAAAAGCATTATCTAAAGTTAAATTTCAATATTCAAGGTTAAATCTTGGAATATTATCATATAATACAGTTTTCTGTTGATTCGGGACTTAGATTTATAGTTAAAGCTTAAAATATTATTATATAATTTGGAATAATGTATAACTCGTTTTCTTTACTTTGCCAATTTGTGAGTTATTGCCTAATTTAATTAGTTATTATTGTCACAATGAGGCTTAAATTCAGGAAGGGTGTAGAATGTAATACTCTACTTTAGAATTTCGCGCCTTTTTGGTGCAGTTGCGCACTTTAATACATAGCTGTCATTCTCTACTCTGTAACATCAAGTGACCATGTACTCTTTTGTAACTCGTGCTCTTTTGTTTAATAAATAATTAATAAAACCTGAGCAACGTCTATTTAATTTAACAAAAGCATATTTACAAAAATACATTTTACCTGATCGCAATCGCCGGCTCGAGTTTGCCGATAATTCGGCAAATGAGAAATAGCACGGCGCCGGATTGACTTTCGTGGCACAGCGACAACACTTTGTATGTATTTAGAGCGAATTCTTCCTAAACAAAAAACAGATGAAGAACATATCACCATCATTCAGTCACACACAAATCATCCGTAGCTTGCTGTTGGCATAGGAGAATCCATCATCTCGTTCCGCCTCGTATCATTAGAGGCTACTTCGAGACCATATAATTTTGTATATGACAGATGTAGATTACTCGAATCGGTCGAGGACTACCTCGTTAGTCTAATGGTGGAAGCCATTGCTGATCTCATGATCTCTCATGTCCCGGGTTAGAATTCAGTCGTGCCAAAATCAGTTAGTGGGTATTCTGCGAAAATCTCGGTAGCAGCCCGATGTCAGCCAAATGGCGGCGTCTCACCCCTATGCCTCGGAAAACACGTAAAGCTGTTGGGTCCTCTGCCTGATCTCTCTCCGGTCGTGTCGGTTTACCGTCCCATCGGACTATCAGACTGAAGGAATAGAGTGTGCACCTGTGCACCTAGCGCATACACTTGGGCACTATAATCCTGTCCTGCGCCGATGGTTTGCCTCCGTTGAGACTGGCCGCCGTGACCGAAATTCGGTCTGGAGAACATTATTACTCAGATCAATGACAAAGAGCAGCTTCAAATGTGCGTTATATATGGTAGGTATTATGTTCACCAAGATCGAATTAGGCAAATCCTTTTTTGAAATTTAGTAAGTGCTGGTAATTATAATATAATAATAATAATCTAACTAATCCTTTTCAGACTCGGAGTCATTCTATGGAGGTACCACCCTCTTACCAATTTCTGCTGGCAAATAGCGTTAGCACACACTGCTGTGTTTCAGCCCAAAAGATATAGAGAGCCAGTATAAAGACAGGCTGTGAGGCATTCCATCTTAGTCCTCAGAGGCGATAATGCATCTGTATCCTTCTTTGTTTCCAGATGGCCGCGAGTGTCCATGGACTGCAGTAACCACATACCATCAGGTGCACTGTAAGTGGTTATTGTTACGAGCTTGGGGTTGGAGACAATCAAAAACTGCCGATTGAATTACCAAAATTGACACTTTTATTACACAACACTAATTACAACTTAAAACAACACTAATAATAAAACACAATTGTACTACTGTTCACTTTAGTTCGCAGTTTTATCGCTTCGAAGTATTCGCTTGTATCGCCAATTCAACACTGACTCGGTCGTGGTCTATACTGGCTTTATATAGGGCCTCAGATAGTTTCCAGAACGTTCTACTGTAGAAACATCTAGAATGTTCGAGTACATATCGGTCCCGAAATTTCTAGAAGGATCTTGATACTCCTAGTTCTGCTACTCGACACTAGAGCGCTAGTGTTGCCATGTACAAGACATTAATAGTGATGCGCAACATTATTCTGTTTTGAAAGAAAATCTTTCCTACATTTTGTTTAAATTAGTGGGATTATTTGAGCGCTAAGAAAATAAAGATAAAATTAGATGTCACTTGGACTTTGTACTCGTTTGTCACCCTTTTTTTATTAAAAAAACATACCTTAAGACAACACTGACATCTAGCAGCGATCGCCTGCAACAACAACCCTGACGCTACAGAGTTCTGCTGCACTTTCGCTATTAGCTTCTGCACGATTTCCTCTCCATATTGACTGATTAGTATATGAACTCTGTTCACGAGCAGCCATGTTAAATGGACCGCTTGGGTTAAGCCATTATCCACCTGTTGTGAAGAATAAATGAATAATAAATGTAACTGTGTATTGACGGTATAAGAATATCCATTACATATCATCTCGTTGGTATCGTAAGAGGCGACAGAGGGAAACAAATCAAGAGATGGGCAGAAGCGTCTTCCTAATAACGACTAAAAATTAAAAAAAAACTGCGGTTACCAATCTTTTTATCTTTCTTTGGTAATAGGCTTGTACGGTTGTACTTTTGCTAGTATCAAGTTTCTTAATTTTTTTATTAGAGTTCCGTATCGAAAGGGTAACCAATGGGATCCTATTACGAAGCCTCCGCTGTCCGTCCGTCCATTCTCCCATCCGTCCATCCGTTTTTTACGATGGTACGGAACCCTTCGTGCGCGAGTCCGTCTCGCACTTGGCCGGCTTTTTTATTAATCTATTCTATTCTATTCTATTGGGGGATTTTGACGGCAGCTTGAGCCAGCAGATAGTCGATGACTATAGTATCTCAAGCCTAAGCAGACACAACAACTTGAGATTCACATCGCCATCGGACCATTTGTTTCATCGTTTCCACTAATAAATAGCTAAATTCTTAATACACAAAATCGCACCACTTTTACGTATCAAAATCCACTTCAATCCATTATTGAAACAATAATATAAGAGCAGTTATCCGACAGCGGTCTAATCCCCTCCAAAACCCCAAGAATAACTATTTATCGGTATTATATTACACAGCTGGTATTCAATAAACACATGATATTATGAACTATTTTGTGAGAATCTGTCACCCTCTCAGAAATGAGAGGCCTGTGCCCAGCAGTGGGACGTAAATAGGCTGCAACATTTACTTTTTTTTTACTGTCCCCCATTTCATCCCGTCGGCGTCGCAAGAGGTGACTATGAGAAATGACAGAAAGCTTCCATCGCCTCCAATAGATGGCAGTATAACCAACTCGTATATGCTTTATTTAAAATACCGTGTGCCAATAACGCCAAATCCTCGGCTCTATGGAGAAGGCTACTAAGAAATTGTGCTTCTTTACCGACTAGTATTCCGTCAAATACTTACAAAATATTCGCAGTAAGCGACAACGCAGGCAGTCTGAAGTATGTCGACTCGGAGAAGTCGGGTGTCGCCGCTATCGGCACTTAGCGGCAGGTTGCGAGCGAACCCGATCATAAGCTTGTGCCAATATTTCTGCGAGAGGAAATTCAACCTGAAACACCACGTTCACATAGTAAAAAAAAATTTGGAAAATCCAAGTGCACATCTCGAACAGGACGGTTTACAATAGTGAAATTCAAAAGGCTTCCTAAGGACTAAAATTTAAAGCTAATAAAAAAAAAACAATCAAAAAATCAAACTTATCATCGTACAGTTTTTCGAAAGATATCTTGTTCACATCTTTACCAACCAACTGACGTCCAAGTGAAATTATTTTCAATTAACTTTTTTTTTAATAACGATGGAATAAATAATGTTATAACTACGTCAGACATATTAATTGAAATCTCCTCTTGCTATTGGTGTACTTTTTTTAATATGTAAGTGCAATATAAAGCTGGTGGAAGTGATTTAGTAGTATGTTCCGATATACAATGTGACCACCGTTAGGTGTGACGTCAATTCAGTATACTGTGAAGTCGTTCCTTTTTAGTTAGCTTTACTGGTTACTGTTTAACGGAACGCAGTCCAGTCCATCAGTATCACCATTTCATCCCCATTTTTCGACTTAATGGATTGATGATCTCAAATATGCCGGTTTTAAAGCATCCAATGGGTTGCAGCGATAAAGATCTAAGACTTCTAGCACTACGATCACCTATTCGGCTACCAAGTGTTTCCACAACATGAACAATAACTGTCCAGCAGTAAACAGGGTCTAACATTAAATATACAATGTATATATATATATATATATATATATATATATATATATATATATATATATAAATGCTGACGAAATTTCACTTTTTTAATTTTATTCAACTATTAACAGTAATATTTACTTCTGTCTTAATATTCCTACTATAAAATATAATATTCTTCTGTTTTAATATTCCTTCTGTCACCTCTTACTACACACACAGGATGATATGGGGTAGTGGAAAATAAATAATTGTGATGATGAAATGATATACCATTTATTAAAGAGGTCTTGGAATTATAGAAGTAACAATAGATGGATTATCTCATTATCAGTAAAAAAAGTTGTCGCGTCTCGTCACTCACCATATGAAACACAAAAACAATATGCTGCTATTTCACCAGCATTTGGCACATTTGGCCGAAGACGAACCACCAATTCCTTCCCCGGTCGAGCCGACCCATTCATAATACAGCTCCAATGTGGCTCTACCACGTAGGAAATTTCTTAATACCTTATCAACTGTACTTCTATTCCCAAATCCAGGAAATACGGGTCTCATTTGTTAATAAGGTAACAATGTGGCCAGCCTCCACAAAGTCTACTTCACCTGAGGATACCTCGTGTAGAGGCGAAACACGTGTCGTGTTTTCGAGAGTGGTGTGTCGTGCCTAGTGTGGTGGTGCTGGGGATGGTAGTGCTGGGGTTGACGGCGACGGGTATAGTGCGCGCGATTGAGGTAGGTTGGGAGGTCCCCTTAAAACTGGGCAGGACACATCACTTTCTTTCTTTACGCGGAATTAAGCAAATTAGTTTATAACAACCCCAGGTAATATGTCAACAAACGGGACCAGTGTACAGCCAGTAGCACCCGACTCCAATCAAATTATAATGAGCTGATCATGCGGTATGTTGTTTTCGGAACTGTGAGGCCCGTGTTTAAAACTGCTCTGCTCATTGAGGATGTACCCATAATACAGCTTTATCGTGGTTCCTCTACGTATAAAAATCCAATTACCTTATCAACAAATGGGACCAGTGTACAGTCAGCAGCGGAATTCGATGCGCGGATTTCAAACAGATCATATTGAGCTGATCAAGCGGTATGTTCTCTTCGGGACTGTAAAGGCCCGTGTTCAAACCGCTCTGCTCGTTGTGGAGAATATTCTGAGCGGTTTTCGCGGTCAAAGGAAAGAGGCAGCCGTCTGTAAGAGGTGAGTTATGTGTCAATAAAAGTTAATGTTTCAATTTAATGACTGCTGACTGAAGTCATCAAACTCTTTGCGGAATAGTTTACCACCGGCGATTTTTCCGGATCGATACGACGGACCTTCAAAAAAAAGAGCTTACTCCTTTCTAAAAAGCCGACAACGCACAGCAATTCCCCAGGTGTTGCGGTTTCATAGGCGGCGGTTGTCACTTACCATCTGGTGAGCCGCACGCTCATGTGCCCCCTCTTGTATAAAAAAAAATCTATCCGTTCCCATAGTATTATGTCGTAGAAGTATTAACAGCTTTCGTAAGACCCATTACTAAGTACATGCTCATTCTCACTTCTGAGAGGGTTCTGAACCAAAGCAGGATTCCCCACGCAGGCCCAATTTTTTTTTTATAAAACTAAGGTGACTAACAAACTTACAGCATCTGCAGCCAACTTCAAACAAAGAAGGCTACAGATACGTTGTCACCTCTGAAGACTGAGATGAAATGCCTCGTTTCCAGTAAAAAGGGTCTCCGGTTCTCTAGACTCACCATACGAAACACAACAGCATTGAGCTGCTATTTTACACTGGTATTATGTGAGAGCGTGGTCCTACCCCAGTCGAGCCATACGTGCTACAACCACAATATAGCTGCAGCATGCTGCAGAGCCATGGCTCTATTACTTAAAAAAGGAAATCATTCTTCAATCCTTAAATCCTTAGGAAAATCCTTAATCCGCGATCACGGAATAAATCAACACATTGCAAATGCCATAAATAACTGCAGTGTTCCAGATCGAAATCAGTTTGCTCACGCACTATATAATTTAGAGGGAATTGAGAACTGGGATTCCAATCAGTGACATAACAACTACTAAACCAGGTTTTAATTATAACATGAATTACACTCACTTGTCAAATGCAGCATATGTTTAACATGGACGACTATATTCACGCAAACAGCGTAAAGCAAATTGTCCTTATTTTCGTTTACATTATGGTCCAAATTCGCTCGGCAATCGTCCATCTCGATTATCGCGTACGTCAATGTTTTGAATAGACACCTGACGAGAATAACATCGGGCGACAAGTTTGCGCAATTCTCGTTCACGTTTTGAACGTTTAAAGGATCCACGTTCGGTTTCACGTTGAAGAATATCGATTGTGGCGATACACTAGTCGACTTTAGATAGTTTATCGATAGCAAGATCTCACTCTCTGGTATCAGGACCAGCACTTTACGTAGCAGGATCATTATTATTGCTAGGTATCTCAACTTTAATTTTAGTGGTGTGGTTGCCTGTAAGAGAAAATTGTGAGAAAGGTTTAATAGTGTTTAATTGTTAGATATTGTGTTGTGTACATTCCGGAAAGTGTATTTCTTCTTCCTGATCTTATCTCACGTTATTTGGGGTTGGCATGGCATGCCAGGCACAGTTATAAATTTATTCAAAACTTATTATTGTACACCTGAAATAGGTAGAGACGATGGAGCACAAATGTACATAAAATATTTCTAAGATCTTATTTAATTGTACCTGTAGTTATGCAATAAATCATTTTGATTTGACTTGATTTGTCTTCCTTTTTTTATAATATAGGGTGACAAACGAGCACACAGTCCACCTGATGGTAAGTGGTTGCTGTGGCCCATAGACATCTACATTTATCCTCGATTACGAATCAAAATGCAGATGCGTTGTCATCCGTGATGTATTGCCTCGTTTCCAGTAAAAAGGGTCTCCGGTTCTCTACACACACCATACGAAACACAGCAGTGTTAAGCTGCTATTTGACGCTGGTATTCTGTGAGAGCGTGGTGCTTCCCCGGTCGAGCCGATCCATTCGTGCTACAACTATACTACTAATATAGCTGCAGCATGGCTCTACCACGTATAAATCTTCCTCTTCCATTCTCCTCTATTAGCCGTCATCTTTTCACTCACTTCTTCCTACGCATATCATCCCTAATACAGTCCATCCATCTTTTCTTATAGGCTTCCTCTACTCTTATATCCATCTACTTTCAAAGAAGGAAAGTGTACGTAGAGATTTAATTTCTCCTTCCCATCTCCACCATGGAACAACCAGCCACTTGGCGAGTCCTCTTTTGTTATCGACATTCTACGCGTTCTAAATAAACTGTTTATCTATCGTAAAACATACAACCAAGCAGTGGAATAATTTACCAGCGTCTGTTTCTCTATCCGATTACAAAGAGGTTGTTTTAAATACAAGAGTGCATAGACTTTAACACCACTCACCACCAGTTGGGATTGTAGTTTTATTTCTAGATGGTAAAGCGTATTAGTTTAGTTAAATAAAGGTTTTTTTTTATTATTATTCTAAGCCACCGCTTAACTACAATCCCACCTGATGGTAAGTGGTGATGTAGCCTAAGATGGTGAAGCGCACCGACATAACAAAAGCCTATTCACTCTTGGCTTAAAGACACCCACATCGGATCGGATGGAAACAGATGCTAGCAACTTATTCCACTCCTTTCCTGTACGCATGATGAACGATGTAGCAAACCGTTTGGTTCGAATGCGTGGTAAGTCAACAACGAAAGGGTGGGGACTGACCCGAACGTCTGGTTGTCCGATGGTGAAACGGAGAGGAAGGAATCAAATTATGCAATTCCTGCACACACTCTCCGAAATGCATCCTGTAGAAAACCGAAAATCTGGCTACTTTGCGCCTGTGTTCGAGGCTGGTAAGACTGGTTTCAACCAAATTTGGGTCACCAATAAGCCTCTTAAGCTGGTAGGTGGTATTTCGCAGCACCAGCCCACATATGGCAGCAATATTCCATGCACGACCGGACTTGCGGTTTATACAAAGTAAGCAGCTGTCCCGGCGTGAAGTATCGCCGCACCTTTGCAAGGACTCCTAGCTTCCTTGAGCTTTGACTTTGGACTCAATGAACCGCCCGAAGTTCAGATTTGAGGATATCTCAACCCCCAACATCAGAAGGCGGTCGGTGTTTTCCGTTCTATCCTTTGAATTACTCTTATTCAAATTATATTTATTCTCGACTAAAGTTGAAGCGGTCAGTAAAGAAAGCTACAGGTGCCTTCTCACCTCTGAGGACTAAGATAGAATGCCTCACAGTCTGCAACTGTACTGGTCCTCTATACTCTTCTATACCCTTCAGGAGAGCAAGCACTGTTATTTGGCAGCAGAAATTAATACACATATTTGATGTGCAAGAAATAATATTAACAATCAATAAGCTGAAGTGGCAATGGGCCGGCTATATAACTCGAAGAACCGACATCCGATGGGAAAGAAAGGTTCTCGAGTGTTAGCTTCGTGTCGTGTCGGGCCTACTAGATAGAACGGCGACCTGCAGTGGCTCGGCAACGTGCTTTGTGGATTCCTTGGGGGAGGCCTATGTTCAGTAGTACACTTGTCACTACATCATTACAGCCCATCTGTAATGATGATGGTGATAATGATGATGAAAGAGTGTGTTCATTGATTGGTTGAACAGCATATCTTATATTTACGCGAATACACATTAGGACACACATGACATCAGGACGTGCTGTTAAGTGTCCAAAACGTCGGGAATTAAGAAAGTTAAAATTAAACGCGATAAAATCCGTAAAACTATTTTTATACTATGATTGAACGAAGCTTAATCTCTATTATCTTAAATACGTTATTATACTTCACTAATATAATATTGTCACCCACAATATCGCTTTGTTTGTCGTCATATTACTCGTAAACATCTGCCATATTATTACATTAAGTTTTACCGCCATCTATCGGATGCCATTAGAACTTTATGGAATTTCCCATAGCCTCACAATATCCACGGGACGAAAAAAGTGATGGAATCTCTTATGTGCCACAACAATGCATACTATTTAGATATTCATTACTTTAATTACCATACTTCGTCACACATAAAATACTTACCTTACCGTGCATATACATTTTGTAAATCTGCAAATTCATTAAAAAAATACCCAGAATTCTATATCAAACGAGGAGAAAGCAATACCAGATACCAAATATGATGCCCTAAAGAAATACTGACTCTACCCATATCTCGCCTTAAGCTACATTCATCAGGTGCCTTCGTCATGTCTATCAAAACTTTTAACAAACTCCCAGACTCGATAAAAAATATAGAAAAAGAAACTATTTTTATAAATAAAATTAAGGATTTTTTAATTTGTAAACATTACTACACACTAAACGAATACTTAAATGATAAATTTTAAATATCTACCTAGTATTTCAATTCTATTTTTATTTCAAAGTGTATTTATCATCATTATTGTTTCACTATAATGGCCCTCCTCTCTCTTAATTGCCGTGCCCATAATGATCTCATAGTTTTAAGTTAAAACTTAAAATGTTCTCAACACCTTAACGTAACATTATGGATGCAATAAATAATATAAATATGAATACCCATGAGACTAAGAACATTCCACCTCTCCCTCACTCATTTGTCATAAAATAATTAAAAAAGCTAATACTCACTATGGCAAAATCCTCCCTAAGTTCAGAAGTGGACTTTTATAGGCTGTAATGGAGTATCAACTATAAAAAAAGCAAATAAAAAAAGCAAATGGAGTGGGTATGGTGAGTGTTATGGAAATATAACAAATAACAATTGCAAGATATTCTATTAAATATATTACCACAGTGTTGCCCGCAAGCAAGAACAGTAAAATAAAGTTAACACAATATGAAATTCTTACACATACTCTAATAGGATGCAATGGAATAAAAAAACCAACCTGATCTGGCGGTGCTTTAAACAAAATTTTCAACAATATTTCCACTCTACTCTGCTCCAGCAAAACGTCCTTGTATACTGAGTCCAAGAGCCTTTCCAAAGACTTTATCGCGTCACCGGAGTCTATCTCTATAGTCCTCTGTGTGAGGAGGTTAAGAAGAGTGTCACTGGCCAGTTCGGACCAGCGGTAGTAGCTCTCTGGATGCTCTTGTGATAGGGAGAGGACGCACGAGACGAGGTCTAGAACCTAAAAAAGTAAAACTTAAATCATAAGTTAAAGAATTAGATTGCCGTTCGTAAAAGCCCTTTCAATCAGTTTGAAGGTAAAAATTATTTTCAGGCTATTATTGATAATGACAGATATTCACTTTAATTCGTTGAACCTCACGACCCATAACAGATCCATAATAAGTAACCAAATTACTTCTCAATATAACATGTAAATAAATACTTATCATATCATAATACCAGCGGTCCGGCCCAGCTTCGCACGAGTGATATTTGGATCTCGACTACCACGCCACCTACCGAGTCCAAATATAGCTAAGAACCATCCAACTAACCCCATATAAATTTCATCAAAATCGGTTAAGCTGTTGAAAATATGTATATAGATAAACGTACTTTCTCCTCATAGCTGTCCCATACTTACACTCACTCACACACACGCACACAAACACACAAACACACATTCCTAGAGTAAATTAGGTTTTTTTCTTTCATCCTTCCATTTATACTACGTGTAACATTTTAGCATTATTTTAATTTAATCGGAGTCCTATGTATTAATCGGTGTAAACGCTGTCAGTCAAGGGTCTTGGTTCCTGCGATACAGAAACCTAGAGCTTAGTGCAGAAACCAGTGTATTGTTTAATTATATAAGGTCTTTTTGGGTTAAATAAATATATTTTCTATTTAAAAAAAAAAGATATATAGATATTCAGACTATAAAAAGGTTGATTTTTTTTATAGGATAGGGTGACAAACGAGCACACAGTCCACCTGATGATAAGTGGTTACTGTGACCCATAGACATCTACATCTATCATCAATAAAGACTCAAGATGCAGATGCGTTGTCACCCGTTAGCAGGCTGGTGCAACTTCCATAGTAAAAATTATATGTACTACAGGGGTCAAATTTTAATGACGGTTATCTCTTCTCTCTGTTTTTCGTAATATGTCTATTAACGACATTGTCAAATTAAATAGGTTCAAATGTCAAATCAAACAATTATATTTGTATATATTTTATTTATTAAGATTGCTTTTAATTTTGCTATAGGAGCCGTTGTTCATTTACAGAATTGTTAAAAAATTACATAAGCATTATAAAACTTTCCAATTAAATGGTACAAGAAGCGGAAAAAATGATAAGAAGAAAAGGCTATTCGTAGCAATATTTCCCTTAGATGATGAAAGGTATGTGGTGATTTCAACTTTAATAGTAATATGATATTTAACGCGAGTACATTTTTGGACTAGCCATCTACGTAGGACAGGTTTTTATAGTGTACGATTGTGTGCACAAATACAAACACACTATTTCCTAAATCTGATAGTTCGATGGTATGGCAATCCGAAACGAACTATACTTAGAAACTACACAGTCAATTGTGACTGCTAACATTCTATTTGTTCAATAAATATTGTGATTTTATTTGTTACGACCTACGGCTGCTCCCTTAAAGGATCCAATCCCCTGGGGCCCATCAGCAGAAGACTTCCCGAGCAAACGTAGGTCGGGCCTCCTAAGGCCACGTGGAATCTCTCTAATTACACTAGAATATATGGGGGAGCGTTATACTACGGCCAGTCGACCGGAAGGAATTTGGCGGAGTTCACTTACCTCTATCCAAGGCGACTGGTCCCTCCGGAGTCGGTCAGGTCGCATGTGGTTGTGTAGTGCAAGGGAAAGAATGGTGATGTGGTGTGTATCTGGGTGTGACTGATGGTGATTGAACCTAGACCTTAGCCGTCGGCAGCAGCCCGAGCGTCGACACCGCTCCAACTTGAGGGGGCCTTTCGAGGTTATCCACAGTCACTTTCTTGGTTCACCACGATGACAGTCACTTAACTCTATCGTACTATTAACTAGCTTACCGAAGCCACTAACTATCGCGGGGTATAAGGTTACCGCACAAAACACGCCCGGAGTTTCTGGGTCAATGGTCACTACCGGTTCGCGTGGCAACAGATAGTTCTAAATACGGAGGCCGCACTAGCTTATATTGTCGAATGCACTTATACAGATTCTGAGTTGGACCCAATAAGTCCCGGGAAAGGCTATCCAAACAGGGAATGCGCGTTATAATTCCTAGACAGGATATTTACTAGACGCCCTAACTATTCCGCGGTTCCCGCACAAAATTAACAGCGTGCAAACATTAGCGCATCTGGCCGATGACTGACTCGCTTGCGACCCGCGCGCCACTCTGCCACGCTCGGAAGAACTTCAGACCGGAATCGCGCCGAGCCGAGTGACATCTGGTGTCGATTCCGACAACAGAGTTTTGCGCGAACAAACCCCCGTCCCGGACATAAGGATTTAGGTCCGCGAGCAAACCGGTCAGCGGGACAAGGTCGAGACTGCAAGTTGCAAGACCGAATCTACAACCAAACTAGGCCACCTTAGGCGATCCATTAGGTCTTGCAACCCTAATCAACGCCTCAAAGATATCCCTAATGTGGCAAGCCGGAGGGTCAGCCTCCACTGGATGCCCCTCCTGGGCATCGCAGCACTTTAATAAGTCCTGTACTGGACAGAAGTCCGACGACCTCTTTCAAACACCTATCTGTGCCCCTATGATTAGTCCCGCAATCCGACCGGATCAGCTCTGCAAACAGCGACGCTACACGAAGCTGCCCCGACAAATTTTGTGCCAGCAGTTGCTTCAGTGCAGAGCGCACCCACAAATTCCACATGAACGTCGTCTGTGGAGAGCCAAACGAAACGCACAGATAGTCCCTAGTATGAATTTTCAACAAGTAGGCCTAGCCAGGCCACACACCATATTATCATTTACTAAAATAGCGCGGCAGCTGATTTCAATCAGATAATCTCCAAAACTAGCTAGCCTGTTAGGCAAGTAGTCCTATGCTCATATTTCAACTAATTTCTCAAAAGCATCAATGTTCAGCTACAGAATTAATTCAACCAAATTAATCACCGATGCGCATAGGTCAACTTGAAAATTAAAAAACAATAACGTAAGGGACAGCCCTACTTCTTCGCAAAGCAAAATGATTAAACACTATCATAAACATAAACATAATTTTTCAAATAGTGCGCCATTCCATTTCAGATGAATTCAAATTTTCCTTTCAGCAAACAAACGCAACAATCAAATACAGTGATTAAATATATGTACAAAACACATGCAGTAGCATTTAAAGGAGTAGATTAAATTCAATTCTTTTAATTTAAACCGCTACAAATAGGAAAATTTCGCGGAAAGCCCAAAGCAATTTTTAATTTTAATTCAAGTATTTTTTGACTAAGTGCTCGACCAAACCAAATCTAATACCCCTTGACAACGTGATTCAACGCTCCAGAGGGGGCCCTAATCTTCCCACCACTAAGGGGAGGCCACATGGCGTGAACCCGAGATAAATAGAGCACAACCTTTAACAGTTGCCACTCGGGTTGTACGCCTTCACTGAGGCCGTCGGCAACAGAACATTTTGACAAGTGGACTGTTGACGGCTTAAGGCTCAGTGGAGGCGGCCGTGGTGGGAACTAGGCAGCAGCTAGACAGGGCCGCCTCCATCAAATGGGGAACAGTGGTACACCAGTCGCGGCCACTCAGCTAACGGAAGTGAGAAGGGTCCAGCGGACCGATGAGTGGCCGTGAAGTTCCTCTCCACACGCTTAGGGGGGGTGATGACACCCCCGCCCCTGGGGGAATTACCCCCCAACTGCTTGGGGGAGGGGCCCCTTTCAAACTTAGGGGCCTGGTGGCTGGCCGGCGAGCGCCGATTGTCGCCCAGCAGAGGGCGTGGCTGAGCGCCCCCGCCCGTGGGGGTTGAGGGCCTGGCAGAGCCCCGAGAGGAGACGCCGTTCGCACCCAGGCACAAAACGGCATGGTGATTGCCCTGGCAATGCAGACAGGGCCGTCGATGCGGACAGTCTCGCTGGAGGTGCCCTCCCAGACATGACCAGCACCAGCGGCGCTCCTTGGCGATAGTTCGCCTCGCAGGAACCGGCTTACCTAATAATTTCGGGCACGACGTTACCCGGTGATCAGATCCTCGACAATAGGAGCAGGGGGGGGTTGACGACGACTTGCCTGGCGGGTTCAGCCTCTCACTGGGCACGTCTCGTAAGTCGTCAACGGTGCCCGCCGCGTTCTCGATCTGCCGGCACTGCTCCTCCAAAAACCGCAGCAGGTCATAGAAGGGCGGAATATAGGAGGCCTCGTCCCCGCCGTACCTCTCCTCAAAATGGATTCGAAGGTCGAGAGGTAGACGGGACAGCACGATGCGGAGCAACAAGAAGGCCCATTCGCCCACTGGTAAACCCAGCCGCCTCAACGTATTACAGGCCACCAAGACTGGATCCAACAGGTCCGGACGCAGTCTGGCCCGGTCACTAAGCAGCGGGAGGCTTAGAAGCTGCTTAACATGCTCGTCTGCAATTCGCCGGACGTTGGCGTATCTTCTGGCTAGGAGGTCCCGAGCAGTCTGGTAGGCGTCGTCCGACAATTTCAAGTGGCCGACGACGCCCAGGGCCTCCCCCTCCAGTGAGGCCAGGAGGTACGCCATCTTTTGTCTCGGGGTCAAGTCACTCCGGGCGTCCACTAGGCTGTCGAAAAGACCAACGAAGGTCAGCCATTCGGAAAGGACCCCGGAGAACTTTGGCAGGTCCAGAGTTGGGAGTCGTCCCAACAGCTCCGGCTGAAGCTGCTTCAGAGAGGACTCGGGCAGGTTACTCATCCGAGCTTCACGCGCCTCCTCGGCATACCTGCCTTCAGCCTCGATCAACTCGTCCGTGAGCCACAAGAACTGCTCATAGTCCGCAAAGCAAGAGTCCAGGACTCCCTTCTCCACATCCGAATCCTCGAGCTCAGCGTAAGCTTCCTCCACTGCGGCCCTTCGAGCATCCACCTGCTCGAACCGCTTCATCAAGTTATGGACCCTATCCGGTCGACCTATCAAAGCATGGGCACTTGTGGCCCAACGTAGCTCAGTCCGCAAACAACGGATCAGTAGCTTGGGCGATGTCATCACTATTAAATGCAAATTACGACGCGGCTTGAGCACAGATTACAAAAATAACAAACAAAAAATACAACAAAAATTAACAGTTAATAAATGCAGTTCCTATCAATCGCGTTGAATAGAAATTACACAAATACGAATTACTACGTATCAACCAAATACAAGTTAGCCCAAAAGAAAAGACACAATCAAACCAACAAACAACAAATACTAGTGCGATCGAATCAAGTTAAATTCAAATTGCGCAAATACAAATTACTACTCTTTAGTTCAAATACAACTTACAGTATAAACGAAGATACACATCACGGTCGATCAACAAAAAATGCCTAGCTCGGAAATCGACCCTTCGATAAGTAATCCACTACAACTATCCGACCACGATAATTAACCGATTACGTAAAAATAACCATCTACCTACATGACGTATATCTCTAGAAAATCTCCCGCTTGCACAACCTAGGGCGCGGCTTTTCAAATTACCCTCTAACCAAAAAAGAGGCAAGCAACAAAGCAACAAAGGAAAATAATTCTATTATTACGTACAAAAAAAATATTTTTACGTATTACGGACGGGCGTGATTGTAGATGCAAATTAAACCAATCACACCAACGCTCCCTGCCACCAAAATTGTTTAATGTTTATCAAACACTATAGTCGGGATCGACCGGGAATCGAACCCGGAATCGCGCTCTGCTACCAGTCTGTTACGACCTACGGCTGCTCCCTTAAAGGATCCAATCCCCTGGGGCCCATCAGCAGAAGACTTCCCGAGCAAACGTAGGTCGGGCCTCCTAAGGCCACGTGGAATCTCTCTAATTACACTAGAATATATGGGGGAGCGTTATACTACGGCCAGTCGACCGGAAGGAATTTGGCGGAGTTCACTTACCTCTATCCAAGGCGACTGGTCCCTCCGGAGTCGGTCAGGTCGCATGTGGTTGTGTAGTGCAAGGGAAAGAATGGTGATGTGGTGTGTATCTGGGTGTGACTGATGGTGATTGAACCTAGACCTTAGCCGTCGGCAGCAGCCCGAGCGTCGACACCGCTCCAACTTGAGGGGGCCTTTCGAGGTTATCCACAGTCACTTTCTTGGTTCACCACGATGACAGTCACTTAACTCTATCGTACTATTAACTAGCTTACCGAAGCCACTAACTATCGCGGGGTATAAGGTTACCGCACAAAACACGCCCGGAGTTTCTGGGTCAATGGTCACTACCGGTTCGCGTGGCAACAGATAGTTCTAAATACGGAGGCCGCACTAGCTTATATTGTCGAATGCACTTATACAGATTCTGAGTTGGACCCAATAAGTCCCGGGAAAGGCTATCCAAACAGGGAATGCGCGTTATAATTCCTAGACAGGATATTTACTAGACGCCCTAACTATTCCGCGGTTCCCGCACAAAATTAACAGCGTGCAAACATTAGCGCATCTGGCCGATGACTGACTCGCTTGCGACCCGCGCGCCACTCTGCCACGCTCGGAAGAACTTCAGACCGGAATCGCGCCGAGCCGAGTGACATCTGGTGTCGATTCCGACAACAGAGTTTTGCGCGAACATTATTTATATTATTTTTTCAGATGCAAGCATTGGGTGAAATAACTGGCACATGCACCAATTGAAAAGATTCACATTTCAAAACATATTTGTGGCAAACATTGCTTTTGAACCCAACTATAACGAACTGTTATTTCAACAGTGGACTTAATTTGAACCTCCACAATTATGTGTATGTTAATTAGGTTTCATTTATATGTAGCAAAAATAATATCCCTCTAAAGTGACATTTTGGTAAGAATTCGATTATATAAATAAACTCGAAGTTATTTGTAATTACCTGATTATAAATATTTTTTTATAGATTTGTCTATAAACATTAGCTATAATGAGCACTCATTTTGAAAACTACAATTAGTAAACGATCTCTGCGAATAGTACGTACCTCTGTGTAGAAGCCTAGCGATTTTTTCATAGTATTTGTTACACATAAAAGCAATTTAATCCAATCAGTGTTAAAAACCTAATATTTTTACCCTTACAAAAAAAAACGTTGAAAACAAGCATCCAGACGCAGACTATTTATTTTACAGCATAGCAACAATTGTTCAGTGCGGGAACGAAACCTCGGTCATGCAGTGCCCCAGCTAAACGCTTAGCCACTGTGCTACGGAGTCGTCGTTTATTTTTACTTAATTAATTACTAGTATAATATTGCGTTTTTTATTTTATATTTTCTTTATACTTATTTTTGTACCTAATTTTAGAGATATTATTACAAATTGCTGTGTGTAAAATACATTGATTTCTTATCCTCATCGGCATTTTTACTCAAAACGTGGGGGACGTTAAAAAAATGTTTCTAATAAATAATTCAGTATAGAGATCTAACCTTTATTATGTAAAAATATCGATAAAGAATATATCGATATGTCGGTTATGTCGATAAAATTATTCGAGGATAGACATTTACAGCACTATTGCAATTCGTCAATGTTGTCAACACTGTTTGTCAAAACTAAATGTTATATCTTGATGTAGGTAGAGTAGCTTGGCGTACTTACGTGCATTTATTTTTACTATGGAAGTCCCGCCTCTTAAACGTAGTGGTTATATTCTCTTTGCCCGTTAGGACTAAGATGGAATGCCTCTTTGCCAGTAAAAAGGGTCTCCGGTTCTCTACACTCACCATATGAAACACAGCAGCGTTAAGCTGCTATTCTACGCTGGTTTTCTGTGCGAGCGTGGTCCTTCCCCGGTCGAGCCGACCCATTCGTGCTACAACTATACTACTAATATAGCTGCAGCATGGCTCTACCACGTAATATACAGAAATAAGACGAAATACTTACTTTGTGCTGATGCATCGTCTTTTGTAGCATATAAAAGAGAACTTCTCTCGTGGCCTGTGCTTCTTGTTGCTGTGCTCGTCCCAGAACGCTTCCACCTGCATAGAATTGTTTTTTTAATGAAGTGACAAACGAACTTACAGTCCACCTGATGGTAATGGCCCATGGATCCCGGCAACCAACTTCACTGATTTTCACTTTTGAAGGTCAAGATGGAATGCCTAACAGAATGTAATTTTACTAGTTCTCAATAACCTTTAGAATGGAACACAGCAGTTGCACGCACTGCTATTTGAAATAAATAAGTGATATCTAGCGAGTCAGACTTCGAGGCAGAAAAAAAGTATTACCACCTATAACAAGGATATAATCATCATAATGAGTAAAGAATATGCTAATCCGCCTACCAAGTGGCAATTATGACAAATCTTCTCTACCATGACAGTTTTCTATATCCAGTAATGGACTTTTACGATTCGCAGAAGAAGACATGCAAGGTTTCATTCGATGTATTACTATAAAATAGTGAGAAACCAGTATAGTATGTTTGCTTAGATACGGTCGTCTTTGTGTCGCGCCGCCTTGGCAATGCCGCATCTTGTCAAAGGCGCCGACGCGACACTAAAGTTGCGTAGTGTGCTGCGTACACAGCAGGAGAGTTTGGAATTTTAAAACGAATCACCGTCATGAAAGGTTCTTTGCTACCTACCTACCTTTTTTATTATCTAACCTAACCTAACCCAACCCGTGTTTATTATTTATATTCGTATTTTATTAGAATATCCATAAGAATAAAACAGTATTCTATTTTATTCTGAGAATAGCAAAACATTTATTTAACAAACACAATAAAAAATAATAAAATAAAAACAATATAATAATTAAGCTTCCGTGTGTACCGACACTATTGTTACACTAAGATTGTGTACAGACTATAATCATTTATATCTATATATGCTTAAGATAAAGGCCAGGCTATTCACCTGGCTTTTCTCTTAAGCATATATTCCTCACCTCCCATGTTACTGAACACCCGTACAGCCACCGGCTCCAAGCCTGCTATACATTCCGAGTGGGCCCCTGACGCCATCAAGCCGTCGCATAGTTGTATCAACTGTAAACAAGCCAACCAGTAATTTATTTTTAATATAGGTTAAAACGGGCTAAAAAGCATAAAACTTCTTCGTCTTTTTTTTTTTCATAATCTTACATTGTCGTCCGATTCAGAGTTATTTACAAAATTTCTAGTCATCAGGAAGTTACTTTAAAATCAATTACTAAATTCAACTGGAACAGTCATACACGAAAGCGAGTTAATAAAAACGTGGAATTAAAATAAATTTTATTTTAATTTCGTTTATAAATGGAATTTGAGAAGAATTAAGTTACCTTTTATTGGAACACCCAGTGCAGGTGTTACCACTGCACATGACTAGCGGCGAACAAGTTGAGACTATTATCATCTCTTTCTAATAAGCTAACGGCAAGAAGATGATTAGATGATAAGATGGATTGTTTTACACCACCACCACATGTCACTATCATAAATAAAAGTTACAGCCTATGTACGTCCTACAACTGGGCACACGCCTTCTTCCATCTTTGAGTGGTTCTTAGGGCAATTAAATGTCCACCGTGCCTGCTCCATTGCGTGTTCGGTGGATTTCACACGTCTTCGAAATATTTTGTTTTAATTTCTCAGACAAGCAGCAGGTTTCCTCATGCTTTCCTTCACCACCGTGAAGTGGTAAATCGGCACAAAAAATGCTGTTAACAATTTCATTTGTGCCAGCGGGGATTGAACACGGGTTGTTCGCGTATTGTAAAATTGCGCAAGCACCATGGCGTAAGACGTGAGTCCTCACTATTATAAACTACAACCTATCAAAAGTCCACCACTGCTGAACAAAGACCTCCCCATAGGTTGTCTCATGGGGGTGATATTTGCCATAGTTGCCACGCTTGGCAGGAAGGTTGGCAAGTGTAGTTTTTTATTTTTTAGTTATTATTAGCATGACGTTGCTGACCATCATCTCCTGGTTTACTTCTCTGTGTCGCCTTTTAGGACACCTACGTTACGATATGAGGTATAAAGATATGCCATAAACCGCAACTAAACCGTCAATCATAAAATAATCAGCTAAAATTCTAAACTACTAATTTTATTAGTTAGAAGTTATTGTCTTACCTTAGGTATCTCTATTAGTTGCTTCGTGTGATGTTTCGATGAAGACAACTGAACCAAAAACAGGAGGATGCTATTGACCAGCATGCAGCAGTTTCTGTAGATAATAAGTATTGTGTCACACTTTTGAAAATCATCACTAATATGGGTTTATTTTATATTTTGTATATGATTTATAATGTGCAACTGAAAGTGAAATATCAAAAAACCCCTCGAGACCAAACAGGTCGCCGATTTATTTTTAAATTTATTATTTTAAAGGACTTTGTCAATGGGCGACCACATCGTCCCGTTCCGACTATAATTCGAATATAATCGAAAGATATAATCACTATAATCGAATAAGAAAATAAATATAAAATGTATTGTAGCAACAAACAGTTTTTAATAGTTCTGTGAAAGTACGTACGACCATAAATAATCACACCTAAGGAATAAGTAGAACTATAAACAATCACACCTGTTCTCTACACGGAATCAAGTCTGCTAGCTTTACCAGCATTTTAGCCTCCTCCGACTTTGGATAAGCCAAAATACTGTTCAAGGTGTCAATGTGAAAATTCCTATCACTACTAAAACATAACATTCTAATTGCTTCATTCCAGACACATTCTATCTAAATATTATGTTGGATATCTTCAACTATTCCGCATACGTCGCAATTTTGAACGCGGTAGAGACATGCTGCAGCTATATTTCTGGTATAGTTGTAACACGAATGGGTCGACTCGACCGGGGAAGGACCACGCTCTCACAGTAAAATAGCAGCTTAATGCTGCTGTGTTTCGTATGGTGAGTATAGAGAACCAGAGACCCTTTTACTGGAAACGAGGCATTCAATCTTAGTCCTCACGGGTGACAACGCATCTGCATTTTGATTCGTAATCGGACAAGTAAAAGGACAAGGCGCGCGACATCAAACAGAGTGGACGTGTTATCGGTTGTAATTACAAAAATAATAAAATACGCTTATACGAACTTGATTCTTAAGTTAATTAAGTGCATAAAGTAAATCGGCATACACTGCCCTACGCTATTGTGACATTACACTGTTGGGTACGCCGCGAGTGAATATACGTGCCACGGATCAATATGATGCCAATACGCTCACCTACTAGAAGCGGTATAGGCTCTGGACTTAGTGGTTCACAACCTAGTTTATTTACGGGAGATTCAGCCACAGACGTTTCTACGGCAACGCAAGTTGCATTTCGTAGCAAGCGGAAACATACTAGTGACCAGGATATTAAAGATGAACTGAGCGAAATACGAAAGGGAATGGCAGAAATGATGCAAATTTTAACATCGATTAACAAGAATCAAACGGAAACTATAAACAAGATATCGGAAGATGTCAGTTTACTAAAGGAACATGTAAAAGATCTTAAGACCGAGATGGATAGTCTTCGATTCGAAAATGAAAAAATGAAGCGTAACATAGATAACTTGATCAGTAAATATAATGAAAATGACAAACAAATGGGAAAGTTAGACTCTGAAATTAAAAACCTCTAAAGTACAAAACTAATAGCTCCAGTTACCACAACAACTATTAGTAACACAATAGAAGAAACTGTAATGTCAGAACTTTCCGATCGATTGGTTAGAAGCAAAAACATAATAATAACTGGATTAATAGAAACAAAAACATCTGATTACAAAGAAAGAAAAGAGACTGAAAAGAGAGAAGTACTTAGTTTATTAAGAAAGATCTCCAATGATTGTACGGAACCAAAAAGTATTATACGCCTGGGAAAGTATGCGCCAGATAAACAAAGGCCACTCAAAGTGTGTTTCTCAACATCAGAAGAAGCTGTTTTTGTATTACGTTCTAAAAGTAATGAAAAACTGAATCCCATTAAAATTTTCCCAGATCAAACGCCTCGACAACAATCTTTTTACAAAAAACTAAAAGAAGAGTTGAAATATCGAAAGGACAATGGAGAGATAAACCTAACTATCAAATACAATAAAGGTATACCTAAAATAGTTGAAATTGCGCCAAAAAACTAACAAAATTTCATGATAGTCAAATCCCAACCTTTAAAAATATCTCTCACCAACTAGCTTCTCAGTAAGAGAATATTATAATGACAAAAGACTCCTTAAAATGTTTTTATATCAATGCACGCAGTATAGTTAAAGCAGGCAAATTTGAAGAGCTTAAATGTATTTTAAAATCTTTTCAATTTACGATACATTTAATTTTAATTACGGAAACTTGGATAAAGTGTGAAGAGGAAGCTAAACGATTTCAAATATGTGGTTATACTCATTACTATAACGTAAGACCCAGTAGCATAGGAGGTGGAGTATCAATCTTCGCTCACAACAACTTGAAACATAATCTTATAGAAGAACAATGTCTTGACGATAATCATTATCTATGGATTCACGTTGACAAGTATTCGCTGGATGTGGGTGTAATCTACAGAAAGCCCGACAACAGCAATATCAATAAATTCATAGAAACATACTCAACAAAATTAGAATCGCGCAGAAGGGCAGTGGTATTTGGTGACTACAATATAGATCTATCATCCCATGAACGTACAACTTCTATGTATATGGAAATGCTGGAACAGTGTGGCTACAAATTGTTAAATAAAATTGATCCAAAATACTCTACCCGTGTAACTCCTTCTTCGAATACTGTCATTGATCACGTTAGAACGAGTCTCAAAGAACATCAATTTCACCTTGCTATAATAGAATCATCTATGTCTGATCATAGACAGATCTATTTTGAGATCAAGAAGTATAAGCAAGATGTTTTATCAAAATATGAATATAAAGCAATAAACTACACCAAATTGTATAATACAATAACTGGAAACAGTAATAATCATGATTATGTAAAACTGGAAGAAAAAATTCTATCTAGCATAAATAAAAGCAAAAACACTAAGATCAAAGTTCTCAATCTACCACGAAGGGATTGGATTAATAAAGATATCCTAAACGAAATAAACGCAAGAAATAAATTATGGCATAAATATAAAACTAATTCAAGTAATGAAAGTACAAGAGATAATTTCGTGAAGAAAAGAAGTGAAGTAAGCAATCTAATACAAAAAACTAAAAGCGAATACTATTATAAGGCGTTTATTGATTGTAAACACAAACCAGCAAAAATGTGGAAACTAATTAATAATCTATCTAATAATAAGATCAAAGAAACTACTGCTCCGAATAAACTAGTCACGCACAAGGGTTATATTATTAGTGATAGTAGAGCTATCTGTGAATGTTTTAATGATTTTTTCTCGAATATCGGTTCGATCCTGGCAAATCAGATATCTAAAGTTAACCAAACAGTATTAGACAAAATAACTAACGAAACTGGAAGTGATGCTGTATCCTATTGGACACCTGCAACTGTACACGAGGTCAGTAAAATTATAGACGACTTAAATCCTAACACTAGTGCTGGATTAGACGGGTAACTACAAAATTTATAAAATGCATCAAGGACATATTTGTTGAAGAACTTGTAAATTGCATTAATAACTGCCTTGAACAAGGCGTATTTCCAGACAGTTTAAAAATAGCAAAGGTAACTCCGATATATAAAACAGGAACTAAATCAGATCCCGGAAATTACAGACCAATCTCAGTATTACCAGTACTATCTAAAGTTTTCGAACGTGCATTATACAATTGTCTCGCATACTACTTAAATTCTAAAAAAATACTATACGATAAACAATACGGTTTTAGACCGAAATCGAATACTCTTTCGGCAACAATAGATTTAGTCACAAAAATCAAAGTTAGCATAGACAAAAAACAATTAGCACTAGGTATTTTTATAGACCTTAAGAAAGCGTTTGATACGGTTAGTCATGAACTGTTACTGAGTAAATTAAAATATATTGGTATCTCTGGTTCTGCTTTGGATATTTTTGCATCATACTTATCCAATAGATATCAAGTTGTAAAAATTGGTTCTAATCAAAGCAAACCAAAATTAATAACTTTTGGAGTACCCCAAGGTTCTATATTAGGGCCGTTGCTTTTTCTGACTTATATCAATAATATTAAGGGTATAGGATTAAAAGGTAACATAACGTTATATGCAGACGACACATGTTTGTTTTACTACGGATATTCGATTGATGTATTGATTGCCGATGCTCAATCAGATCTTAATATATTGAATACTTGGTTTCAATCTAACCTTCTTACTATAAATATTACCAAAACTCACTACGTAATTTTTACATCAAAAAACAAAAAAATTGGTAACTATCAGCCTTTGACAGTAAATAGTGAACTAATTTCTAAGGTAGATCATGATAAATACCTTGGTCTGTTGTTGGATAATCATATGACATTTAAGTCTCATATAAATAATATTAAATCTAAATTGGTTTCTCTTACTGGTGCACTGCGAAATATAGTGAAATGTTTCCCACGTGACGTGCGTTACACTATTTATAATTCGTTAGTCAAACCACACATTGAATACCTTATAGAGGTCTGCGGCACAGCAGCAAAAACCAATATAGAAACGATACAGGTAGCACAAAATAAACTGGTTAAAGTACTATTTAATTACGACTTTCTTACTCCAACGGCCCAAGTTTATAAGGATATTAAAATCATGACTATATCACAAACATATAAATATTATACTTGGATTTTAGTACGTAAAATACTAAATAAAAGCATTCGTACAGAAATAACATTTACCAAAAATAAACCTATAACAAAACTAAGACCAAGACTTTACAGAGAATTAAAACTACGTACAGCACGTACTAACTACGGTAAAAAATGTATATTGAATGAAGGTGCCTTAATCTACAACAAACTACCAAAAGAGATAAGGGATGCCAAATCTATGACAACCTTTAAAAAATTACTAAAACCTTATTTTCTAAACACATAATCTAGGTGGTTTGGTACTTCGCTTAAATTGTAGTTAATCATTGGATGATTAAAATATGAATACGTAAACTAAAATGCTAAAATGTTATTAAATTGGCATAATAATTGATTCAACTTAATACAATTATTATGCCAATTATATTTAATATATAATTAATATCACAAAATAAGGTTTTTACATAACTTTATTTTGTGATATACCCGCATGGTGTTTATAAAATGTGTGGCTGTCTTATGATTGTTTCTTAAATATGTATGTATGAAGTGTGTAGCAAATATTGTTATAAATAGTTTTAATTTTTATTGTTGTATATCGACGGCGTGGGGTGTACGGTAAAACTCAAAAGAGTTTATATTTACACCATATTAATTGTTATACTTCCTACTGTCTATTAAATAAATAAATTAAAAAAAAACTTGAATGTGAATATGTGTGTGTGTATGTGTATGTGCATATATATGTATTGGTATGTAAATAATGTATTCACACATGTATATGTACGTGTATGTGTATATTTATGTGTGTGTATGTGTATGTATGTATATGTGTATGTATGTGTGTGTGTATATTTGTATATATGTATATACTGGTAAAAAGTTTAAAAAATATATCTAAGAAAGCTTATATAGCATTGACCAAGTAGTAATTGCGCTCAATTAGGGATGCATATCACTTCCAGTCTCGATAGTTCAACGTCAATTCGATTAAGCGAAGCATAATGTCGGTATATGAATATTTTTGCACTCTGCGGTCGAACCAAATAGTTTAAATGAATGCTATTTTTAATCGTTGCATTTTACGTTTATTATTTTACTTTGCACTTAAAACTTTTCTTTTTGTTACATTATTTACCTTAGATTTTAAAGAAAACTGTGTCATTTTGTTTTATTATCACTTTGTTTGTGTGTCGTGCCGTTTGAATTAAGCTATGTACATTGTGAACATTTCTCATGTAAGTGAATTATAATTCTTTTGAGAAATAAATATCTTAAACCACAATCGAGGATAAATGTAGATGTCTATGGGCCACAGCAACCACTTACCATCAGGTGCTCGTTTGTCACCCTTATCCTATAAAAAAAATCGGTGATGGCACTTTTTTTTATTAAAAAGGCAAACTTTTTCGATGGATTTGCCCAAAAATTTGAAAGTCAAGTTCACAGTGACCAGTTGAAGGCAGACCTTCGTACGAAACGGTTGTGTACTTTGCGCGATACCTGCATAAAATTTTAAAAATCACCTATTCGTAAGAATAAAAGTTTAAATATAGCCAGCATCACTCCTGGCATTATTCTCTATCTATATCTGGCATTATTCTATATCTGTTCGTAGTTTAATTAAAATCGGTTTAGACATTTCGAAGATTAGTCCAGATAGACAGACAAAAACTTTAATGGTTATGTCATAATGGCATATAACTTACCCAGTTAGCTGAATAAAAGGCTGTTATTTCGATAGTACAGACACACACTTCAATTTTATTTATATGTGTAAGTATAGATTATGTCAAAAACTTCTGATTCTATGCAAGTTCTAAACAATGGACGTGAGTACTTTCGTTGGAAAAACAACTTACGGTATCTCATGCTGCTCCACTAAGTCAAGTTGCTTCATGAGAAATCCGATGAAGATTTGATCGCTGTCCAACATGCAGTAGTTTACTCTTAATGCCAGTAGTTGATTCAGTAGGGATAGCACTTCGCACTGGAGAGGAATGTCGTTCTGCATTGTGTAACTCTGGAACAAGGTAATACTTGTATTGTAACGACAGTATGTTACATACTGCGTCACGTTAGAGCGAGAACTTTCCAAAAAATCGGTATTACAAAAGAAATCATTATGATATATGGGAAATCAGTTTTTACGCCCCTATAAATAAAGATCAATGTTCCACTGTCAAGTTAAAATGTTAATGATCAAGAACTGTACGAGCAAAATTTAACCTTATTTAAATATTTTCTCTTCTTCGGACCAAATAAGAAAATTAGACGGAGCACTCGGAATTTATCCGAGTTACACCAATACCATATTCAATTTCTTGATACACGCTCATTTTTTCTTTCTTTCTTTGGCAATCTGTAAAAGTTCACTGCTGCAGACCGCACCTAAAACCATGTTATTGGTTGCAAATGATTTTAGATGGTGGCACACATGCGTAAGTGCGTATTTTTACAATAAGTTGAGCAAGTTTTGAATTGGTTTCGAAGCTACTTGAAATGTATATCTTTTTTTTTTGAAAACGTTAGCCACATACTAGGATTTTCCCATGTATCGTGGAGGCAGTTTACAAACATAGATTTCACGAGGACAAACATCCAGACCCGGAACGATTATAATGCAAACGACGTACGACATCTGCAAGTTTAAGGACCTCTGCGTAGAAGATTAGCGATTTTTGACCACGGTTTTATACGTGGTAGAGCCATACTGTAGCAATATTAATTGTACAGTTGTAGCACGAATGGGTCGGCTCGACCGGGGAAGGACCACGCTCTCACAGAATACCAGCGTAAAACAGCAGAGAGCCAAACACTCACCATACGAAACACAGTGTTTCGTATGGTGAGTGTAGAGAACCAGAGAGCCTTTTTACTGGAGAACAGGCATTCCATCTCAGTCCTCACGGGTTACAACGCATCTGCATTTTGATGCTTTATTGAGGATAGATGTAGATGTCTATGGGTCACAGTAACCACTTACCATCAGGTGAACTGTGTGCTCGTTTGTCACCCAATCCTATAAAAAAAACGTAATTGTTCTGTCGCTGTGTGTATGTGTGAAAAACACATAGATTTCTTATTCTTAACGGATCTTACCTTGCACGTAACAATAAAATACCAGTAAACGACGCAGTTTATAATAAGCAAAATTACAAACAAATTCAAGCATTAACCAATAGATACCCAATTTCGGTGGTCAAATATCTCAAAAAGTAGATTTTTGAGGGTTCATCGTTATTATTACAACCTATCAAGAGTTCCCTGCAGAGCCTTGTCCTCCCTCATGAAATGGCTCATTTGACATAAATTTGACATAAATTTGCCATAATGAGGGCTAATAATTTTCTGCTCACCAGATGTCGCTAGTTGACATTGAGGTAAAGTTTTTTGCAATGTAATTAGATTGAGAAGTTGGTTTTTAATAAAATTTTATCAGTTTCTGGAGTATTATATTAATACACAAAACAATGCGTCAGTAGTTTTCTCTTTAATTTCTTGCATATTTTTAACACTTTTTTTAAATCTTTCATTAATTATGAATATCTGTGGTTTGGTTCATTTATTTTTAATCTTATTAGTATAAAATATAGCCAATAGTAATGTCCTCCAGACCGAATTTCGGTCACGGCGGCCAGTCTCAACGGAGACTAGCCATCTGCGCAGGACAGGATTATAGTGCCCAAGTGTTTGCGCAAGCACAGGTGCACTCTCTATTCCCTCACTCTCATAGTCCGATGGGACGGTAAACCGACACGACCGGAGAGAGATCAGGCGCAGGACCAACGGCTTAACGTGCTTTCCGAGGCACGGGGGTGAGACACCGCCAACTTCCTGACTCCGGGCTGCTAATGAGAATTTCTTGATAGAAAAACTCAATAACTGATTTTTTTTTTGGCCCGACCCGGGATTCAAACCCGGGACCTTATGATCAGCAGTCGCACTACTACAGCCACTAGACCAACGAGGCAGCCAATAGTACAGAAAGAAACAATAACCTTTACATTCTCCGGACAAATTAACTTTTCGGCTATGAAATCTGTCAAATATTATACCTTACTTTCCAGTGGCGCCGCCCTGGTGGTAGAAAATGAGTAGATGCCCTCATTGCCACGCTTGCTAGGCAGTTTGGCAACCATAGGACTTTACTATTTCGAGTTGTTATCAAATAAATGCTGGTGCCCATACTTTCTCGTTTCATTTCTCTCTATCACCTCTTATGACACCCACGAGACGATATGGCATAGTGGATAATCTTAAGCCGCCACTAAACGAAATACTTTCAAAATACAAACACTACCTTCAAAGCCTGTATAACAACAGGCTCAAACAATCTTATATATCTCTCCAGCTCTTTCTTATTAGTGCTCCATTTCCTATCGGTCTTGTTCTTCGAGAAGTTCTCCATAGCCATTAGTAACTGCCTCTCGACCAGCATCCTCGGGTTCTTGCTGTCCAGCGATAGTTTTTGGCTCGCGTTCGAGCAAACGCTACTCCTTCTGGAATCTTCTGTCCTATCTTTAACAGGATTCACTAACATAACATCGTCGTAAAAGCTAGTCTTGGACGGAACGTCTGGAGTGTCGGATATACTCATAAAGTCGTTGTACTGGTTTATCATATTTGTACCGAAAAGGCATTTCAGTAGTTGCGTGATGCAGTAGACTGTTGTATTCGGACATAACGGCATCATGACTTTCATATAGTAGAGGATCTCCTCGGTAACGTGGCCGAACTCTTTCTCTGTTGCCAGTTCAAGTTGTATCGCGAGACAGTTCAGTACCGTAGATAGGAAATCGTAGAATATACTGCTTTTTGGATCTAGATTTATCTGTAATAAACAGTTTTTGAGTTGTTTTTTTTTATAAGCTAAATACTTTATATACACTAGGATTTTGTCATGTATCGTGGATACACATTACATACATAAATTGTTGAAGGACAAACATCCAGACCCGGAACAATTATTTGTAGGTCATATTGGTTCCGTACGGCATTTAAAACAGCTGCAATGCGCAATGGAGCAGTCATGTTATGAATTTTTTTCACTATTTTCTGTTATGAGATTGGAAGGTTTAGATAATATTAAATTGTCACCATCTTAACCTTCACTGATAATGACGTTGTTTTCTTGATTGGTTTTGACCAATGCGACAATGTCAAAGAAGCTATCAAATGCGCAGAAGTTATGCCGCTGCCCCTAAGTAAGAAGTCCAGTACTGATTTGTCAATGCATTTATAAAAATTATTGGTAAATTACGTGTAATGGCGGTGTAAGAATATGTACTACCCCATATCGTTCCGTGGGTATCGTAAGAGGCATGGAGGGTAACTGAAATATGAGATGGACAGCAGTGTCTTCCTGATAACTCAAAACTATAAAAAACTGCGGTTGAAAACCCGATTGCCAACCGTGACAACTATGGCAAAATTCCCGTATGAGACAATGCGGTGAGGCCTATGTTCAGTAGTGTTTTTTTAAAGGTTGTAATGGAGGAAGGATGGATGGATGGGAGAATTCAAAGTGCCTTGTTTGATGTGCCTTACGAAAAAACCAAAATAAAAAGGTTTGTGGCATGTGATCCCCATAGAACATATTAGCCGTAATCGACACGATTAGCATTTATAGTGGGAATAACTTTTGCAAATTTTTCGTAACTTCGATGCCGTTTGGACATCGCTATTCGAAGTCGAATATCGATTATATATAGTTACTTTTACATTAACTATTGAAATTTAAAAACGATTAATACTACTCAAATAATTTTAAATCTGCAAAAGAGTATAACCCACCTTATGATTAGAGTACATAGCCCTTAAATTCTCATACAGCTTCATATAAAAGGGCTCATTAAAGAAATGCCCTGCAAAGTTAGCCTTCAGGCTTGTAGCAGGGATTGGCACTTTCTTCCTTAGAGAACCTTTCTCGTCTACATCTTGTGGAGAGCTACTGCCTTTTCTTGGTATAGGATCTGTTTGAGTTAAAAGGTGATAAGAATTTATTTTTGTAGGAAATGGAATCTTATTCTGCCTACGAGTTGCCACACCTATCTTATCTATGAAATTACCGTTTTGTAGCTATGATTTGAAATGGAATTCCAAATTTAAAAAAATATGCATGAGTGTCGTGGAACACTCGGTTGCAACAAAGTTCCTTTCGTAGTATATTATTATTATTGATAAACGTATTATATTATTGATTAACAAATACAAATAAATTAATTACTAGCGTCTATTAAAATGAAGCGTCATTTAAAATAAAATAATATTTCTTTCATGCCGAGGTAAGAAAAAGTGCGAGAGAGATTCCTTATAGCTGCCATGGCTATACGAAGTCAGAAGGGGTCGTCACGGAAAAATCGTACACTATTTTTCGCCTAGCCGTTTCCGCCAAATTCGTACCGTCCGATAAGGAACTTCGTTCCAATAAATTTTATTTGGCATATTTGTACATTTTATGTTTCAAATTCTGTTATTATTTTGTTTCTTTGGGTTTTGTATAATAATGCATTCAGAATGCTAATGGGGCTGGCCCAATTTCGCAGCGCGTTAGGGTTGTTCGAAGATGCGCGTGTAAACCTGTTTTTACACTACTATGCGAAAGCGGTGCACATCCTTGCTGCAGAGAGTCCGGATCTGCTCTAGAAGCATCCTGAGGGCATCTGCTAACAGGTGCGTACTTGAACCACTGCTGTATGGTTCATGTGATGTCAAATTGTTCCTGTCTTAGTAAGTAAGCTTTAGTTTCTTTTTAAAATTCTAAAATTTTCGCCGCAACGAACTATTAAAATTTGGGTTGCAAGCAAAACGTATCGCTAGCAACGCAGTGACAATAATAGATATACGATAAATATTAATAGCAAGGAATAATTAAATTTTTAAATAATATTTAAACTTGGTACCTAATTAGCACCTAAAAAGCCCATAATTTGGGCTTTTTCTAAAAGCAATTTTGATTAAATTCTGATTTTCAGAAGAAGAGCTGATTTTTGCATCTGCTTTGTTCTGAATAACAACTTTATTTTTTTAGGAGCGCCTTGTCGTTGCCTATACTTGCAGCAACTAATAAGCACTTAATTCCTTGCTATTAATATTTATCGTATATCTATTATCGTTACTGCTTTGCTAGCGATACGTTTTGCTAGCAACGCAAAATTTAACAGTTCGTTGCGGTGAACATTTTAGAGCAGCTAAGTTTTAAACTTTTCACCTATTTAGCACCTAATAAGGCCTTAATTTTGGGTTTTTCTAAATGCAAATTCCTGACTTTGTGTTGCCAAGACACAGCTGAACCCGGGACCTCATAATCAAAAGTCGCGCTCACAACCACCAGGCCAACGAGCTAACTATAATACGGCTCTACCTCAGTACGTTCTATACGGTGGTTCTACCACGTTAAAATGTCAAATGTCTACTTTTACTAACTTTATCACTTTTTTCAACGTGATAGAGCCATGCTGCCGCCGTATAATGGTTGTAGCACAAAATGGTTAGCTCGACCGGGGTAGGACCACGTTCTCACAGAATACCAGCGTAAAATAGCAGCCTAATGCATGCAGCTGTGTCTCGTATGGTGAGTGTAGAGAAACGGAGACCCTTTTTACTAGAAACAAGGCATTCCATCTTGGTCCTCAGGTGTGACAGCGCATGTGCATTTTGATTCTTAATCGAGGATAAATATAGATGTCTATGGGCCTCAGTATCCACTTACCAGGTGGACTGTGTGCTCCTTTGTCACCCATATTCTATAAAAAAAACAATATCTATAAATAAGGTGGGGTGATGAATTCCTTATCTTATCATGTTTGAATATACTTTACCTTGGGTCTTTCTTCTTACCGGACTTCCCGGCAATGCAATGCCGCTCTTATTCAAATGCACATTAGGATTAACTTCCTCTATTAAATGCACAAGGACATTCAACATTTTCAAAGTCACTTGTAGAAATTTTTCCGCAAGACTGGCAACTTTTTCGCTCTCCAAATGTTGCCATTTATCGGTAGTATTCTGGTAATCTCTTTCGAATATATCTCGGTTAGATGTTTTGTGACGCATAATATTATGAATTTCCACTGAGAATTAAATATAATTCTTTATTAAATATGTCGGTGACATGGTGATATAATGGTGAAGATATATCAAGATAAAAGGCAGTAATCGTTAAAGTAACTCACAAAACTTAGTAAATGAATAAGCAATTGCATTACTTTACTTCCTGAACATATAAGGAAATAATAATGTCGTTCAGACCGAATTTCAGTCACGACGATCAACCTCAATAGAAACTAGCCACCTGCACAGGATAAGATTATAGGGTCCAAGTGTATGCGTACACGTGTTTACTCTCTATTCTCTAATTCTCATAGTCCAGTGGGACGGTAATCGGTACCACCGGAGACAGATCAGACGCAGTGCCAACGATTTTACGTGCTTTCCAAGGCACGGCGGTCGAACACCGTCAACTTCCTGACTGTTCCTAAGAATTACTTGGCAGAAAAACCCAAAAATTGATTTTAGTCTGACTTCATGATCAGCAGTCGCTTACGACCATTAGACCATCGAGAAAGTCGATATCAGTAAATAAGTGGGTAAAAATTAAGAATCTTTTGGCAGGAGGGGGGAGGGCTGGGGAGAGAGTGTCTCCTACACCTCGACACCACTTCCATGAAAAGATAATATACCGTTCTTGAGAAAAATTTGAAAGAAAATCCCATAGACCTAACCTCAAAATGATAACATTTATCTCTTTCCGACAGGAGGGGGAGGGGGAAGGGGAAGCAGAGGTGTCCCCTATCACAATCCCCTATGTAAGGATTTCTAGATGCTCATGCATAAGTAAATAAACTATTCTAAATCCAACTCAATAAGTGAGTAATCAGTATCCATTACCATAGTCTCATACCTTAATCAATAAGATCATTTTATATCGCTGACTATCATCTTTTGGGCTTAAATGTTGTAAATGGCTTAAATGTTGTAAAATCTTCTCGTCAGGTATACCTCAAAACTTGAAAACAACATGGTACAACTAGTGCATGTTGCCAGTGATGACATGGATCTGAGACGGATAGTGATTTCTCACTTCTGGTTGTATGAGACGCTCAAGGTCGCTCAGCGAGCTATAGAGTGGGCTATGCTCGGAGTTTATCTGCGTGATACATTTAGAAACGAGGATATCCGCAGTAAAACAAGACTAGCAGACATTTACCGAAGTAACGGATTAGTAAGCTGAAGAGGCAATGGGCCGGCATATAGCTCGAAGTACGGATAACTGATGGGGAAGAAAAGTTCTCGAGTGGAAACATCGTACCGGTAGACGAAGTGTAGTGTAGAGCGGCCCTCTACTAGATGAAGTGATGACCTAGTGAGAGATGCAGGAATTCAGTGGATGCATATGGCTCAAGACCGTGCTTTGTGGCATTTGATGATGGTGATAGTTATGGTGATGATGATAATGCAGAGGAGGAGGAGGAAATTCTGCTGTCCTTCTCCCATTTCAGTTTCCTCTGTCACACCTTACGACATCCACGGGATGATATTGGGAAGTGGCTCTGTTCCGCTGCCACTACATTGCAATAATAGTTCGATGGAAATAAGTGATGCTTTGCTAGTATTTTTTAAATAATTCCTTGATACCTTACAAATTATTATCTATAGGAAATTTCCGAGATATCTATACCTCAAAATTTCAGACACATCTGTTACAGACAAACAGACACACACAACAGGTGATAGCAATGTTCGGTTTTGCTAATATTGGTACAGCACATTTAAATTATTAAAAATTTAAACTCGAAATACTTTAATATAGTTGCTACCTGGATAGATCATGCAGCACAAATCCATCAACACTGTCCTTGCAGCTACAGTCCCGTTGCAATAATCCAGATTATGTAGACAGTAAGACAAGATTCCTTGATCCGTGTATGCCTCTTTGTGCTTCCATGGCGACCATAACTTACATATCGCTTGTAGGGCCTCTAAAAGTCCTTGCTGAAATGGAAATTAACTTTGATATGGGTTTAAAAAGTACTTACCATATATCCTCTCAACTGTCAACCAGCCTCTATAAGGTTGGAGTAAAATAACGCGCGTATGTCAAGCGCCTTCTGGAGGTCGATCGGTTCCGACGTATTTCGATGTGCTAAATTGCCTCTTAAAACCATATTTATACTGCTCACTTTAGAATAATATGCAGGAGAAATGACAAGGATGGTATATTATTTTATATAATATATTATTTTAAATATAATAATATGCACTATACATATTTTTGTCCGGCGCTCAAGTTGCTTAAATAAGGCTTGTTGTTTCAGAGCTTGTGGGGTGAAAAAATGTATAGGGAGGTGTGTTATTTTAATAGATTAATGTTAAATAATGTATGTTTAAGTAAATAAAATAAAATATTTATCAAATAAAGGTTCGATTTTATAATTTTAACGACTGTGAAGTAACGACAATGAAGTAGGAAAAAATGGCTTACACTAATTTTTTTCTGTTAATAAAAAAAGTTGACAATATGTTACAAAATAAAACTGTTCTGATTCGTATGTATATTGTTAGCTTAACAATTCCAACGACGTAAGTAAGACGTATAGCTCTCATACAAAACTTTAGGGAAATCGTCAATTTAGTCACACGTGCCGCAATCGCGCGAGTTCCTTCAGAAGTGGCGCGACAGATTCGCTTAGTCACGTAAAAGTGCGGTGACGGACGAGGGGATATAGAGAAAAACTAAAGTACTTACAGTATAAAACTTGCAACTAGACGAAAATAAGCGCTGTACCAAATCACCAACGAGCATCGTCAGAGCTTCTACGTTTTTTAACATTCCGCCCACCCTCATTTGCTTTGGTAGGTCGTTGTAAAAGAATATATTCCTGACCAAGTTCAAGGAACAGCTCTGATGGTCGAAGTTGAAAGCTTGACTCTGCTCTTTGGCCACCTCCGCCATCATTGTAGTTGGCGTTTCCCTCCTCATTGGATATATTTTTGGTATTATGCTGAAGAGAAAATTCATTAACGGATAATTAATAAAGAATATTTGGAGGGAAAACTATGTACACCTTTTTAAGCATATTGCACACACGGAGGAATGTGAGATTTGGTATAGTCAAAGTTTATACGGAGAAGGAGTACAGAAAACTTAAATTTATATAATGTGTTACCAATACATTCTATTAGATAATATAAAACATTCATCGTTTACGTTTCTATTGCCAAAGTCAAACACATAACAGTCTGTGCCATATAGTCACATAAAGTAGAGATTGTCGCCAAAGAATTTTCAAATATTGCCAACTGTTGCTAAATTTTGTGTCATTTCAAATATTCCATTTTTAATCATTTATAATATTATGTGGTGTGTACGTCAAGACAAAAAAGCGTTTACTTTATATTTTGTAAATTGCATATCTGTGTTTTAATGTGTATTTGAAAGTGAAATATATTGTTTAATATACAAACTTAAAAATTTAATGAATTACGGTCGAATTTTGACCAATAGACGACCTGAGACCTTCAGAACTAAGTGTATGATCAATTAACACCCAAATTTCTGACAACATTGATAATTTTTTTTTTAACTTAAAGCATTTCATCAAGTTTTTTAATTAAATTAAGTGTGACTAACGACCACACAGTTCACCTGATGGAAGTAAATTTTTGGTCCTCAGACACCTACATCCATCGTCAGTTAAGGATCACAATACAGCTACGTTGCTACCCTTGTGGACTGAAATAAGAGGCCTTATTACCAATAATCTATTTCGCGCAACTCACCATACAAACATATCAGTATTATGCTGATATTTTACGTATTCTGTTCGACCGTGGTCTTCTTATGGTTGAACCAACCCATTTGTTCAGCAGTTTATACTTGGTAGAACCATGCTGCAGCTTGTTATGGTTATAGCAAGAATGGGTCGGCTCGACCGGAGTAGGACCACGCTCTAACAGACTACTAGCGTGAAATATACGAAAGACAGCAGCTCAATGCTGCATTTCTAATGCGCATTTTAGTTATCTGCATTTTTATTCTTAAACGAGGATAGATGTGAATATCTATGGGCCACAGCATTCTTTTATCATCAGGTGGTATACGTGGTAGAGCCACGCTGCATACTTGGTAGAGCCACGCTGCAGCTATATTATGGTTGTAGCACGAATAGGACGGCTAGACTGGAGTAGGTCAACACTCTTACGGAATACCAGCTTGAAATAGCAGCTTAATGCTGCTGTATTTCGTATGATGAGCGTAGAGACCGGAGACCATTTTTACTGAAAACGAGCCATTCTATCTAAGGCCCGAGGGATCTTAACGCATCTGCATCTTTATTCTTAAACGAGGACAGATGTAGATGACTATGGTCCACAGCATTCACTTACCATCAGGTGGACTGTGTGTTTGTTTGTCATTCTTATTCTATAAATAAAAGTTATAATACAGCTGCATTTAGAAGTCACTATTAAAGAACATCGAATGTATAACATATAACTATTTTGTAAAATTAATATTTATTATATATTTTACGAATCTCTCGGGAATCAAGGAAAATTCGGGAATCAAGGAAGTGACACTACTTCCTCAATCAGCTTACGCACAGCATCAACGTTTTCTTCGGTGACTGCAGTTTTTGGACGACCTTGACGGGGATCATCACTGAGCTTGATACGTCCACGTTGAAATTCAGCAAACCAGCGATAAATTGTGGTTTTGGATGGGGCTTCATCACCAAATGCAGAAATCATCCGGTAAACCCACTGTTTTTGTGTTAAACCACTTCGAATGTCATAATAAATCATCGTTCTTGAATTTTCTCGAGTCAATTCCATTTTCTCAACGACTAAACAAGTTTGATAAAACCTTGTGGCAAGACCGAGAATCTTTTTTTAAATAAGTAAATGGTATTCGATTTTTAAAACCAAGGACTTTTCAATTAAAAAGATTTTAATATGACAGGAACAGTGTAAATATTCTATTCCCGATACTTTTAGTGCAGCCCTCGTATAAAATTTTTGGCTCTACGCAACTCTTCCTAGTAATAGAAAAACTAATTATTCTTAAAACTAATAAGGAGTAAGTCCTTACTTTGCAATCGCCTGAGCAGCTGCACTCCTGACCTTCTGATCTTCATTTGCTAGAAGACGAAATAGAGTATCCATGATATGCTTGCTTCTTGCATTATACTCAGGACATAGCATGAATAATCTGAAGGACAAAATTATATTTTTTTTAAATAAAAGCCCAAGAGAATCCATCACCCCTACCTAACCCCTTGAGTGTTGCAAAAAGTGACTATGGGAAAAGCCAGAAAAGTATCATAGTCTCATAGATAGCGTAGGGATAAAGCCATCTCATCTACGGACTTTTCCCACTATATGAGATCAACGTCCAGATGTGGAACGTTCTCAGTCTATTAAGAGAGAGTTAGAAATTCGCATACAAAAATACTTTTAATAATAATTTAAAATTCAAAATTTTGTACAGCCGACTTCAATATAAGTTATTAAAAATAACTCAAAAACTATTGGTCTGACCTTGATCAAATTCATATGGGACCACAAGAGAATTACCTGCTTTCAAATAAAAAAAGAATAATCGAAATCGGTTCACCCAGTAAAAAGTTATGAGGTAACACACATAAAAAAACATACAGTCGAATTGAGTACCCTCTCCTTTTTGGAAGTCGGCAGAAAAGTAAAAGCCGTCTTCAAAGAACTAAAAATAATTTCACATTCCGAAGTGACATAGTGTGTAGAAGAATTGAAGCCCTGACTTCAAAATGTGAATTTATTTTATTCTTTTTAGTTATTAGAAAACAACTTTTTCATTTCATTAAGTTATTATTTTACCCTTTTCAGTGGACAAAGGAAAATCACAATCTGAATGTCGTCTAAATATTTACATTAAAAACTTCACCCCCATTTGCCACCATTAGGGGTGGAATTTTTCATCCAAAAATAATCATCAGAGAGCAAACAATAATCTGCTCATCAGATGTCAGTGGTTGGGACCGAGATTAAGTTGTTTTTACACAGTCACACCATATAGCAAATTTACGTTTCTAATTTTTAAAAAAAATCGGTTTGTAGTATATGGACCTAATATTCACAAAACAATACCTCAGTGGTTGCTCCTTAATTTTTGCACATTTTGAGTGTCTTTTTAATTCATTTACTTTTAGGAATAACTGTAGTTTGGTATAACCATTTTAATCTTATTAATATAAAATATAACTTGTATTTCAGAAAGAAACATTACCTTTATATTTTTCTAACAATTTAACTTCTCCTATGAAACCTCATCCTATGAAATCTGTCAAATATTTCACCTATTTCCTAAGTGGCGCCGTCCTGTGACGTGGCAGAAAATGTTGTGGACAAACTCTGTTCACGCTACTGTATCCTTCGATTCAGCCTTTGATAGCTAATTCAGTGGTGAGCAAGGTTGGCCCCAGTTTTGCTCGCTTGGCGTTCAGGCATCACAATTACTCGAAATGTCAAGTGGGCTTACCTGCTTTCTATGGCTTGGTGGTGGTATTTCTGAAGACGCCTCCGGCCGGAGGTTATTGTATGCTGTAATGTATGTATATAGATTTAGGTAGCTAGCATGAGATTGTCCGTGCGGCGGCAGTCGGGAATTAAACGTCTTAGCGAACGCACGGTGTATTATTTAAACATTACAGTGGCTAACGAGTAAATAAGTAAATCAAATAAAAACTGAGTTAAAATTACCCACACTAATCGCGGTAATCGGCGATGAAGCATACGAATTGTTGGCAAACCTAGAAAGTCCAAAGAAACCATCCGAACTGTCGTACGATGACGCAGTAGAACTCCTACGTCAGCATTTACAACCGATACCGTCCGTGCACGCTGAGAGATACCGATTCAGACAACGCAGGCAGGCTAGCAATGAAAATATAGCGAGCTACGTCGTGGAATTAAAGAAGGCGCGGGAGCGGGGATCGGCGGAGCATCGTCGAGAAGCGGCGCGGGCGTGGCGCACGGAAGGTGCGCACGCGCAGTAGCGCACGCACCAATTCCGCCGGTGACCCTGGGGCTGGAGGTCGTCAGTTCAATTGCGGAGGCTGCGGAGCGACGGATCATGAGTATTCGAACTGTCGTTTCCGGGACTATATATGCAGCATGTGCAGGCGCCCGGGCCACCTGCGACGCGTGTGCCCAGACGCAGCCGGTAAGATACGTAGAAAATAAACGGAGGCCCCATTACACTATGGCGGGGCGGAAGGAGCAGTCGAAAACGAAGAAGTACCGGAGGCAGACTTCCACCATCTATGCCTAAACTACTACCAACCGGTGAGTTTACCCGTAATAATTGACAATAAAACAATTAAAATGGAAGTGGACACGGGTGCGGCTGTGTCATGTATTAATAGGCAAACCTATGAAAAGTATTTAACCATCATCCAATTAAAAATAGTAAAATAGTGTTAAACTGTTATGGTGGCTCCAGAATAAACCCTTTAGGTATAATTAAACCGGTCGTCCACCATGCGGGCCGAACCAAACGATTAGAATTATTTATTATCGAAGGGGGCACTACATCATTACTCGGCAGACAATGGTCAACGGAATTAGGCATAAAAATTCCCGCATTTAATAATAATTGTTATCATTTATCGACTGAGAAAGGGTCTAGGTCAAATGAAATAAAAAAAATATTTTCTAGGTATAAGGAAGTATTTAGCGGCGGGCTCGGGCGGTTCACGGGTGTTGCGGGTGCGAGACGGGGCGGCGCCGTTTCCACCGCGCACGGCCGGTGCCCTGCGCACTGCGCGAGCGCGTCGACACGCAGCTCGACGCAATGCTGCGGGACGGCATCGTTGAATCCGTCCACTGCTCCGACTGGGCCTCACCGATTGTTCCGGTAAATAAAGCGGATGGCTCCTTGACAATTTGTGCTGACTATAAAGCAACCCCTAATCCGGTATTGCAGAATGATCGATATCCCTTACCACGAATTGATGACCTTATGGTAAAATTGAGCGGGACATGCTATTATTCCAAAATAGATTTATCACAAGCATACAAACAGATCGAGTTAGATGATACAAAAAAATATACAGTCATAAACACACACAGGGGCTTGTATAGGTATAACAGATTGGTCTATGGCTTGTCATCGAGCCGGGGAATATTTCAACGTATAATGTGTAATGTACTACAGGGGATACCTAACGTAGAAATATTTTTAGATGACGTCATCATCGGAGAGAAAACCGAAGACGAACATTTAAAGGCTCTGGAGACAGTCATATGTAGACTACATAAATCAAGTTTCAAATTAAAAAGTAGTAAATGTGTATTTCTAGTGGATGAGGTGAAGTATTTGGGATATATTATAAGTAGCAAAGGCATTAAAACCGATCCCTCGAAGGGAGAAGCCATTTTAGGGATACCCAGGCCGACTAACTTGACGGAGTTGCGGTCGTTTCTAGGTATATTGAATTTCTATGGTAAATTCATAAAGAATATGAGTGATAAGTTATTTACGTTGTACGATTTGCTAAAAAAAAAATAAACAATGGCACTGGTCATCGGATTGCGAAACATCGTTTACTTTACTCAAATTAAAAAAATACTGTCCAGTGCCGAGGTTCTAGCGCATTATGACCCTAAGAAACGTTTAATTGTTACTTGTGACGCAAGCGCGCGAAGAGTCGGGGGAGTCCTTTCCCAGGTAGATGACGAGGGCCGGAGCGAGCAGCCCATAGCTTTTGCATCGCGTTCGTTAAATAACGCGGAAAAGAATTACTCCCAAATACATCGTGAAGCGCTGGCTATTATTTTTTGCATGAATAAATTTCACCAATATTTATACGGTAGGAGTTTTACATTACGCACCGACCACAAACCTTTAGTTTCCATTTTTGGCCCGAATACGGGAATACCGACCATGGTAGCTAGCCGTATGCAGAGATGGGCAATTATTTTATCTGCTTATTCGTTCGACATCGAGTATGTCCGTACAGATGAAAATAGGGCGGACGGTTTATCGCGGTTACCGCTTAAAACTAATGAACAAAACGTGACAACCCCACCCGAACAAACGTACTTGCATTTTGTGCAACAAGCTCTGTCATTAGATTATAACGACATTAAACGTGAGACATTGCGGGATACATTATTATCAAAAGTACTAAGTTATATTCGCGACGGCTGGCCATCACACTGCGAAATTACGAATCTTCAAGCTTATTGGAATAGACACAAAGAATTATACGAGGAGCTGGGCTGTATAATGTGGGGCCATAGGTTAGTAGTACCGGAAAATTGCAGGGACAAAATCTTGTCTATGATGCATGAACCTCATATGAGAATAGTGAAATCCAACGCGCTGGCTCGAAGCTATGTATGGTGGGCAGGCATGGAGGAGGCGGTGGAGCGAGCGTGCCGTGAGTGTATAACGTGCGCGGCGCAGGCAGATGCGCCGGCGCGGAACACGCCGCGAATGTGGCCCTGGCCCGCACGGCCTTGGAGTCGGCTTCATTTGGATTTCATGGGACCCATCGCGGGAAAAATATATTTGGTAGTAGTTGACGCCATGTCGAAATGAATTGAGGTTCATAAAATGACGAGTATCTCTGCCAACTGTTTAATTGACCGCTTAAATGAATTATTTAGTAGATTCGGCTTACTTCGACAAATAGTAACGGACAATGGAGCACAGTTCACATCGAAAGAGTTCGAATATTTTAACAAGCACAACGGCATAGAGCATGTTTTTACGGCACCCTATCACCCTTCCTCGAATGGTCTGGCGGAAAACGCGGTAAGAACATTAAAACGAGTAATAAAAAAGGCTTTGCAAGATAATCAAAATATAGATAGGGCGTTGTGGGCATTTTTAATGTATTATAGAAATGTCGAACAAGCAACAACGGGTGAATCCCCAGCAATGCTTATGTTTGGTAGGCGAATCCGTACACGATTGCATGTCATCAAACCTGATAGGGAATGTCGAGTGCATCAAGCTCAGCGACGCCAGCAGGACGCGGCCGCAGGAGTGAGTAGGAATTTCGGCAAAGAGGAAGAAGTATGGTATAGGCAATACTTAAAGGGGGGGAAATGGATTCCGGATCGCATTGTAGACGTTCTAGGCTCTAGTAATTTTAAAGTGGAATGTAAAGACGGAGAAATTATACATAGGCATATCGATCAGCTGCGTAAACGACAAAGTAACAGTAGACTATCTCTCGCTTCTACTACGCCCAATTTGGATCAACAGTCCACCAGAGATTCTCAAGAGGTTCATTTGCCGATAGGTAGTACTAGTCCCGCCCGCAGATCGAAGGAGCCGACGGAGGCGACTAGCTCGTCCCCCATAGAGGTCAGATCAGGAGTAGATCAGTCTAAGCTAGAGGGGACTATTCCACAGTCACAGGAACGGCAGTTCTCTTTGCCCCTTGGTGCTACACCCCGAGCTCGCCCTATTAGGAAATGTAGATTGAATAAACCTAGTTATAAGGAGCAGTGTAAGTAATTGTTGTTTTAAAATATAATGTATGGTATCTTTAGGGGTAAGAAATAGTTTAAGTAAAGGTAATTTAAGTACTACTTATATTAAAATTAGTTAAGTATCATTGTTAGGATTGGTTTAAGATAGTTATGTATTATTGTAATGGTTGACTTAGGGTAAATATTGTATGTTATTATAGTCATAAGTAGTGGAGTGTAATGTATGTATATACATTTAGGTAGCTAGCACGAGATTGTCCGTGCGGCGGCAGTCGGGAATTAAACGTATAACGAACGCACGGTGTATTATTTAAACATTACATTCTCGTAATTTTCTTCACAATGGTGGCCGTAAAAGGCAAATATGCTTGAATGTAAACAATACCACCGAATGTATATTTAGCACAAAATCTACCAAATAGTTATATAAGTCTATATTTTATTAAAGGCGCGTGCTCCGCGTACACCGATCAAGACGCAGTCAACCGAACCGACCGCCGAAATCAGAATGGCAGATGTCGCTGCACTACAAAGCCCACCGACAATCCGAAGTAATTATAACGCCTGAACACTATGAGCGCAATGAGAGCCTTCTATTATTTATTCTATATAATATATACTTACTTCTGATAAGGAAGTTTCTCATACAACTTGCAAAGGTTAACCCGACACAACCAATAGTTGTTATTCTCCACATTGACTAGTGAATTCAGCTCGTTTATAACTAAGGTCCAGTGGGCGCTGTTAAATAGCGCCGTCGATAAGTTAGTGAGAGAGGCAAGTGTGTGGTTAACCGTCGAGTGGACTTCATCGGACAAACCCTAAAACATGAACACGCAAATTAAATTAATTTTTTGTGTGATTATTGCCGTGTGGTGAAGGCGTTAGAGAATCCATCGTCATATTTTGTCCCGTGGGTATCGTAAGAGGCGACTATTGGAGGTTCCAAAAGGTTCTTGAAGTTTCCGATGAGGTTCCCGTAAAATACCCAGACTGGTTACGGGTCGCAGCGTCAAAGGTGCCGGTTGGCAACGGCAGTTTTTTTTAATTATTTTTAGTTGTTATCATAAAAAGGTGCTGCTCATCTACTGTTTCAGTTTCCCTTTGTCGCCTCTTACGACATCCACGGTATGATATGAGATAGTTGATATTCATATACAGCCACTACACGGTTGTACTGAGAGGTCTGTCTAACATTAAAACATAATTATGGCTGAACTTAACATCCTTATTATTCTTACCTTCAAAACGATATCCATCAATCTATCTGCACTGAGATTTTCAGTGACTTCCCGCGGCATCACCGCATAGTTCCTCCATCTATTGTAATCACCATGGGATATATCTAAGGCCGCGTTTAAATAATTCCCTATACAAACCCTAACTAACCCCCTAATCTGAGGATCACTGTGACCCTCTAGAAGAATGAAACCGTCGGACATATGCTGAAACTCGAAATCTCTTTCACTATCTTTGTCATCTATGTAATTTTTTTGAGATTTATCTTGACAGCTGTCATCTTTTGTTTGAACTTCGTCGGTCCGTTTGAGCGGTTTCTTTCTTTCGTCCTTCCTTTCCAAATCTTTCAAAACGTCCAAATTGTCCAAGTTAGTCGTCGATTCGCCGAAGTGATCGAACTTCATGTCCAAGTCGATGCTAGATGACGGAACGTCGCCGCTACTTGACATGGGATAGCCCGACGATATTGGATCGTTACTGCCCGTCATATTGGAGTTGGACGTAAAATTACTATTAGTCATGTTAGGGTTGGTGCTATCGGCACTCATCTCACTAGCAACAAGGTCCATTTTTCCTAAAATTCTGCTATCCAATACATTCGACACGACATCCTTCGAGCTCTTTCGTTCGGGACTTTCGAAGAACTTCTCGGTGGATTTCTTCGACATCTGTTGCTGTGACTGGGTATTCGCCTGACTGTCTGTGCTTTTGTTCAATAGCTCTTGACTAGTCGAATCAGTTATTGAATCTTGGTAACAAACGTTCCTTTCGAGTATGAAATCGTTAATGTTTTCGTGAGCGTTATCAACGCCCTCTGATGAACCTGGAAGAAAACAATTAAGAGGGGGCATTCCGCATAAAGGCCAATCATTATTAAGTTAGCCACAAACAAAACGTATGTCCAAATATGTATGTACTTTTTGTATATGCATGGCTTTATCACGTACAATTACTTATGTCACATATTTGTTGAGTTATTTAATAAGGGTGACAAACGAGCACACAGTCCCACTTGATGGTAAGTGGATGCCGTGGCCTATAGATATCAACATTTATCTTCGATTTAGAATCAAAATGCAGATGCGCTGTCACCCCTGAGGACTAAAATAGAATGCCTCGTTTTCAGTAAGATGGGTCTCCGGTTTTTTACACTGACCATACGAAACAGTAATATTAAGCTGCTATTTTACGCTGGTATTCTGTAAGCGGATGGTTTTTCTCCGGTCAAGCCATCTCATTCATGCTACAACCATAATATAGCTGCAGCATGTCTCTCTCCATGTACAAAAATTTATGTAACATATTTATTTACTATATCAGATGCCTATGTTCAGCGTTACACTTTGATAAGCTGTAAGGATTAAATAAATGAATATGAATAATTGTATATAATATACATACTATGTCTAACCCCTTAGGTTTGACACACCAATTTGACCCTCTTCTGTAGTCTTCATAGTTCGGATATGCGAAAGCCATAAATTTTAAAGAAATAAAAAAAACTTTAATCTGAAATTTGAGTAACAAACCCAATCAAGATGAACAGTGTACTTACCCGAATAATTCTGAAACTTCAAGTCGGCATCCTTATCTAAATACATAGTCATCGCTTGAGGGTAGATGCGAAGTATTTCTGAGAGACAGGTAAGGCTCGATGCCTTAACCGATACTCTGACTGACCTATATTTAAAAAGAATGGATGCGTCTATCAAATTTCAATTTGGTGTCTCTAAATTCGATTTTTATTTAAATCGATTTTAGTGAAAAAACAATTCTCACTATGCAAAAACCACAATAAAATTTATTGATACAAATTTCAGTGTCAAATAAAATTTGTTAATACAAAATATTATCACTCGAAATATCATCATCCTCATTACAGCCCTTCACAAGTCCACTGCTGAACATAGGCCTCCCCCAAAAAATGCCACAAAGAAGGTCCTGAGCCACCTGCATCCATCGACTTCCTACATGTCTTACCACGTCATCACTCCATCTAGAGTGTACGCCCTACAGTTCATCCGCCGGTACGAGGCCGTCACTCGAGAAGTTTTTTTCCCCAAAAGGTTGTCCGTTCTTCGAGCTATATGGCTGGCCCATTGCGACTTCAGCTTACTAACCTAGACTGACTAGGCTAGTAAGCTATATAATGCCCACTCTAATTCCCATAGAACTAGAGTGGACACTCTAATTCCCATAGAAATAGAGTGGGCACTCTAGTTCTATGGGAACTAGAGTGCCCACAGAACCTCTCAATCTCACTCAAAAATCTAATCTAATGCGTTGGGCCATGTCGGTCACTCTAGTTCTATTATTACATATAAAAAAATTAACTGGCGGACCCCAAACTGGGCATGTAACTTGGGGACCAGTTGTACTTTTTAATTACGTAGTTAAAACTACCGAACCAACGAATTATTATTGCTTTAATTAAGAAGACAGTTTTTAACTTTTTGTACCTTACATTATTATTTACAATTTTTTTGTTTTAAAACATAGAGATTGTATATGATTTGATATTATTTACGATTTAATATTAAGTTTTCAGTGTCATTAGAGTTTATTGTGGTGAGATACCTTTTTACTATTTGTTTATATTTTGATGTGGTGTAATATTTGATGTATGTAAGTATTTTGTTACAGATATGGGGATGTAAAAACTGCAGGAGGCGTTGCGCAAAAACAGATTTGACAGCTAGAATTGTGATTTTAAATACACATTATGTGATCCTAATTAGGCGACTAAGTTACTTGTCCAAGTGTTTTTAATACTGCGCATAGAATATATAACTGGCGTACACTCAAAAACTCGGTATCCCGATAAAGATCGACCATAGAGTACCGGTAGGGCTTTTTAACATGACCGTCATAACTACTCTCTGTGCCCTCTCCAACAGAATCATGGTAATTTTTGAGGGGCCACCCCAAGCTGATATACTAATATCGTATTATTGATTGGCAAAGAGCTTCATGATAACGATTCTGCCACCTAGCCACTTGACCCATTCCGTTCTCGGCCAGCTTTCTTACTTTTTTCCAGGATCGACCATGAAATAAGACAACGGTGTCATATGTATTTTGAGTTCCAGAAAGTCATTTATATACAGAACAAAAAGGGTCGGCCCGAGAATACTGCCCTGAGGCACCCTGAAGGTCACCGGGAGCTAGGATCTAGTGTGATCAGGCCCTATTTATCCCAGGTAAACAAACTCGTCAACAACTTCGAGCTTAGTGTTCCCAACAACTACCGGCATAGGTGTGACATGGACGTTACACATGATCTTTGTTTTGTCCATGTTCATCTTAAGACCTAGCCGTTGCGAGGCAGTATTGAGGTCATTGAGCATAGTGCTTAGGTTCTCCAGCGATTCTGCCATAAAGACTTAAGGATCGAAGGTGAGTGATATACTCGCCATTGATGTGAGTACAAAAAAGAAGAAAACCGTATTCTTCCAGTGGTGAAGAGTTACGGGGATATAGTGTCACCCTGTCTTACAGCTCTCTGCAGTTGAATAGGTTTCGTCTCGGATAGCCACCGTAGCCCTACTGTACAAACACTTCAGCACTTCGATACACGGACAGTCAACTTGGCATCTCTGAAGTGACTGTAGCACCGCCTAAATTTAGACAGGTGCAAAGGCTTTCTCATAGTTCACATACGCCAGACATTGTGGCAAATTCTACTCCTCGGACTTCTGTACAATTTGCTGAAGGATACGTATGTGGACTAATGGCCTTGTCAGAAACCGGCTTGTTCGGGAGGCTGAAGTCGTCGAGTCTGCGTGCGAGACGATTCGTAATGACTCTCGAAAACAGCACGTAGACGCGGCTCAGAAGGGAAATCGGTCTGCAGTTCTTCAAGAGAGCTTTGTCGCCTTTCTTGAAGAACAATACCACCGTACTTCTGCTCCACGCCTCCGGTGTAGTGCGAACATGGAGGATGGAATTAAAGAACTTCTGAAGGAATTCAAGTACCGGTTTTCCACCCGCTTTCAGAAGCTCCGCTGTAATTCCACCCTCACCCTGGGACTTGCCGGGTTTAAGGTGCTGGAGAACCAATCTAATCTCGCTCAGACTGACGTCCGGAATATCATCGGAATAGTGTCGGATAAGACTTGCTATTGAATCGTTACTCACACTTGCGCGTGGCTCCAACGATGATGTGTACAGCTGCCCATAGAACCTCTTAATCTCACTCAAAATCTCAGGTGTCGGTATTAAAAATCAAAAACGTCACGTTTCCCAGTAACGTTTTAACGCCAGGCCTACATGAGTATACTATTATTTAACCTACTTATGGAAAATATAAAATGAATGAATATATGTCTTAAAAAAAAAGAAGTTTCACTTCGTTCGTGGGTACATATTTTTTTAAATTCTCGACATTTTGTGTGCTTTGGAGCACCTATAGCTACCGGGGGCTTGTCCATAGTTACATAACCATACATTGAGGTGTTCAAATAAGTTTTATTCAATGTGTAATATTCACGTTACCGTTAGTCTACTGCACATAGGCCTCTTCTATAGATTGCCTCATAGGGGGATATCTGCCACAGTTGTCACGCTTGACAAGCGGGTTGGCAACCGCAGTTTTAAATTTTTAGTAGTTATTGGGAAGACGCTGCTGCCTATCTGATTTGTTTTCCTCTGTCGCCTCTTACGACACCCGATGATATGGGGTAGTGGATATTCTTACACCGCCACTACACGGTAAGTTTTCGCGTAATTATAAGAAATATTTGTCGCAAGTTGGCGGCGTACCCCATCCTTCTCACCTATTACCCTATTTCCTCACATAGGTGTCGTAAAAGACAGCTTTAAGAGAATCCAAAAAATCATAGCTTCCGCTAGATGGCGGTAGAATTGCTTCGTTCATACCTAACGTCAGATACTCAGCTCAGCGACGGGCAACTGCGTAAAAGATGTGAGATGGCTGTTACTGCGGTCCACTTGCCAAGGGTCGATTAAGTTAAATGCTCCCTACGACGTGAGAAGCCCGTGTCCAGCAATGGACAATAAATATAACTGAGCACCGATGCGTGATACACCCATAGGTCTCACAGGGTAGGTGGTACAACTCATTTTCTGCCTAGAAATCAGTCTAGATAGGCACCACCCTCTTACCTATTCCTGCAGCCAAATAGCAGTGCAACTGTGTTTCGGTTAGAAGGGTATAGAGATCAATGTAATTATAAGCTCCATCTTTGTCCTCAGAGGTGACAATACATCTAGACTGTAAATTCGTTTGTCACGACGTAAATAACGACGATGGTATGAGCGTTCCTTTATGATTTTCATTTTATTAAAAAAATTAAGTAAGAGGGTAGTTGTGTAAAAACTACCCTGACAGACTTCTAGGTAAACAATAACTTAAATAAAAAAAATTAAAAACCCATAAAACAAGAGAGCTGATCATCTTCAAACGGCTGAAAAATGTTTCTTGAATCATAGCTAAGAAATCTAGATCAAGTCACCTTTCAAACAAAAAAAAACATCTAAATCGGTTCATGCGTTTGGAAGCTACGATGCCACAGATACACACGTTAAACATATAACACCCCTATTTTTCGTCGGGAATTAAAAAAGGGCCCTACTAATTAGACGCACCATATAACAACAATACAGTTTTAGAAGCTTACCTATCAGGGATAACTCCTCCTTTGTTTCCAGTCAACAGAAACTTGGAAGCAAGCAACCGTGCGCAATACTTCAATACCACATCATCGTCGGTAGACGATCCGATGTTTATCTGAAAAACAAAATAAGGACATCTTCCAATCTTTATCAGACATTTTTGGGCCCACATTGTAACTTATTATGGTTGCAGAACAAACTAGTAAATACCAAGTTCGCACAATTCCTGTTTCGTATGATGAGTGACGAGCTGACGAGATCTAGAGATCCTTTTTGAGTGTAACTTGGTCCTCAAGGGCGACAATGCAATTAAAATTTAATTTTTAATCGAGTATAGCTGTTGGTGTTGCCACAGAATTCAGTTATCACCAGGTAGACTATGTGCCCTTTGTGACCCTTACTTTCATAAAAATAATAGTCACCATCAAATAATAACGTTACCTCCACACTAGGATTTTCTCCTGTATCGTGGGGGCAGTTTACATACATAAATTTCACAAGGACAAACATCCAGACCCGGAACAATTATTTGTAGGCCATACAAATACTTGTTCCATGCGGGATTCGAACCCACGGCCCTTGGCGCTGCAACTCATTGCTAAGCCACTGCGCCACGGAGCAATAGGATTCCCTCCCAAATAGCTATTGCTATAATTTGACAGAAAAGGCCATGTACCTTGGGTGTTTTTCCGAATTTCAAACACGGTCGGAATATAAAAAACTATCAATTGTGCAGAAAATATCTTAGTGCCTTGTACACTTATGAACAAGTGTGTTTAAAAAAAATATTATGGGTATTTGCATCGATATATATATATATATATATATATATATATATATATATATATATATATATATATATTATGTACCACGTACTAGATTGCGCATTCTGAACATGCACTATGTTCCACTGAACTGTACTGCAATCCGTACAGTGTGTCATTTAGTGTGGTTTCAATCTACTAGTTAGTCTGTGGTAGCGCAACTGCGTATGCGCGACTTTACTATCTTCCGCGCATGCGCCAAGACATAGAGTAGTGAAAATTTTTTTTTTTTATAGGAGCGGGGGCAAACGAGCATGCGGCTCACCTGATGGTAAGTGACTACCGCCGCCCATGAACAACTGCAACACCAGGGGAATCGCAGATGCGTTGCCGGCCTTTTAAAAAGGAGTACGCTCTTTTCTTGAAGGTCCCTAAGTCGTATCGGTCCGGAAAAATCGCTGATGGTAATCGATTCCACAAGGAGGTCGTGCGAGGAAGAAAACATCTTCTAAATCGCACAGTGGTGGACCGCCAATCATCCAGATGGTGTGGATGGTATCGGGAATTCTGCCGCGATGTGCATTCGTGAAATTTGGCGGCTGGGATTAATCCGAACAATTCCTCAGAGCACTCCCCATGGTAGATGCGAAAGAAAATGCAAAGGGATGCAACATCTCTTCGCAGTGCCAATGAATCGAGCCGATCGGAAAGGGCTCGGTCGTCGACAATTCGAGCCGCTCTGCGTTGGATGCGGTCAAGTGGAAGGAGCTGGCACTGGGGAGCCCCTGTCCAGAGATGGGAACAGTATTCCATGTGAGGCCGAACTTGCGCCTTGTAAAGTAGCAGGCGGTGTGCCGGCATGAAATACTGTCCCGCTCTGCTGAGCACGCCAAGCTTTTTAGAGGCCAATTTGGCCTTCCCTTCCAAGTGACCACGAAACTGCACGTCACTCGATATGTCGACTCCGAGGATACCGATACTGGCTGAGGCAAGAAGGGGAGTGCCTTGAAACTGAGGAGATACGACAAAGGGGTTCTTTTTAGCGGTAAACGCGCAAACTTGTGTCTTCTGAGGATTAAATTGGACTAGATTTAGTCGCCCCCAATCCGAGACTTTGTTCAGCAAAGACTCGACTTCAGACACAAGTTTGTTCCGGTACTCAGCGACGTTTTCCCGAGAAATATTGGCACGGTCGGTGTATAGAGCATCACCAGTGCTGTCATCCGCATAGCAATGAATGTTACCAGTTAGCAACATATCATTGATATGCAGAAGAAACAGCGTTGGTGATAGCACACAGCCTTGTGGAACACCAGCGTTAATAGGCTTGTAGTCAGAGCATGCACCGTCTACAACGACCTGGATGCTCCGATCTGCAAGGAAGCTGGTGATCCAATTGCACAATTTCTCGGGAAGCCCATAGGAAGGGAGCTTCGAAAGAAGCGCTTTGTGCCAAACCCGATCGAAGGCCTTCGCAATGTCCAGACTAACGGCCAACGCCTCCCCCTTGGACTCTACTGCCTCCGCCCATCTATGGGTCAGGTAGACCAGAAGATCACCAGCTGATCGACCCCGACGAAAACCGTATTGGCGGTCACTAATCAGCTGGTGATCCTCAAGGTACCGGATGAGCTGGCAGTTAATAATGGATTCCATTATTTTGGAGAACAAGGAGGTGATCGCGATAGGCCGGCCTATAGTTGGATGGGTCTGAGCGGTCGCCTTTTTTAGGGATCGGGTGGACAAAAGCTGTCTTCCATGAATTCGGGACTACGCCTTGGGAGTAGGAGTACCGGAAAAGACGCGTTAGCACCGGTGCCAACTCCGGAGCACACGTCCTCAGCACAATTGGGGGGATTCCGTCAGGCCCACTCGACTTCTGGATGTCCAGGGAGAGCAGTGCTTTGCGAACCGAGCGCTGTGAGAACAGCACATCCGGCATGGAGCACTCACACCGCGGGATGGTCGGCGGTGTTTTCCCCCCGTCATCAAGAGTCGAGTTGGACGCAAAAAGGGAGCCTAAAAGGTCGGCTTTGTCTTTTGCGTCATGGGCCAGTGAGTCATCCTCCCTGTGCAGAGATGGTAGTGATGGCTTACAGAAATTCCCTTGGACAGCCTTGGCGAGAGACCAGAATGCACGGGTTCCCGAAGGAAGGCGAACTAGTTTCTCGCCAATTCTACCTATGTGCTCTGACTTTGCCTTGGCAATAACTCTTTTGAAGGACCTGGAGGCGAAGTTATACTTCTTTTTAAGTGTGCTGGTATTTACATCCCGAGTCGCCGAAGCTGCAGCCCATGCTTGATAACACTCCTGCTTACTGCGTAATGCAGTCTTACAGGAGCGACCAAACCAAGGCTGAGATCTGCCTCCGATGGGTACCACAGATGATGGAATAAATAGTTCCATTCCCTGTAGCACCACATCAGTGACAGAGTCAGCAACAGCGCTGGGATCATCCGGCGAGAAGCAAACCCGCCCCCATGGGTAGGATGCAAAGAAGGACCGCATTCCGTCCCAATCCGCCGACCTGTAATGCCAAACACGGCGGCAACCTGCAGAACGCAACCGCGAAGGGAGCGTGAGTGGCACCACACTCCGGATCAGACAATGGTCCGAAGAGCCGAGAGGGGCATCGACGGAAACCTGATATCCGTCCGGATGAGAGGTCAGCAGAAGGTCCAACAGGGAAGGTGTATGATCCTCCACATCTGGAATCCGCGTAGGCGAAGTAACCAGTTGTGTCAGACCATATGCCAAGGCAAAGTCATAAACAGATCTCCCCGCATGATCGGGGGGGGGGGGGGGGGGGGGGGATTGGGCCTCCGGCCACCTGCACTCACCAGACGAAACGCAGAAGCAAAGCTTCTACTTCACGCCGGTATTCTGTGAGGTCGTGGTACCAACCCGGCTCGAGCCGGCCCATACATGCAACAGCAAAAACTGCTGCGTGGCTCTACCACCGTTGTTTAGAATGGCTTCTCTAGTACGTAGTACATATAACTCAATGGATATTTGTGACAATTAAGTTTATTAATTTGGATTTTACTTATTATTCCTAAATTATAAACGTCGCAAAAACAAACGATAAAATGACAAAAATTAACCAAAATAAGAATAAAAGAAAAATTATACAGGATATAAATATTTTTGTACTTAACATTTTATTAATTTTTTTCATAAATGCTTAGGAAAGGCTGTAACATGGGCTATAATCAGTACGTAGTGTTGCCCCCTCTAGCTCTTCGAACTGCTTTCAGTCTCCTTGGCATACTCGTAATCAAATTATCAATGGTAAGTGGTTGCTGTGGCCCATAAACATCTACATCTATCTTCGATTACGAATCAAAATGCAGATGCGTTGTCACCCGTGAGGACTAAGATGGAATGCCTCGTTTCCAGTAAAAAGGGGTCTCCGGTTCTCTACACTCACCATACGAAACACAGCAGCGTTAAGCTGCTATTTTACGCTGGTATTCTGTGAGAGCGTGGTCCTTCCCCGGTCGAGCCGACCCATTCGTGATACAACTACACCGGTAATACAGCTGCAGCATGGCTCTACCACGTACAAAAACAAATCTTGCATAAAAATGCATTAAAAAAATCTTTCTCCTATAAAAGGGGCAAACGGCACTGCAATTTCTTTCAAAATCTCAGTTACATATCGTGCCGCTGTTAGTAGTAACCCATTCTCAATGACGCGGAGTTCCATACATATACATAAAAATACCATCCCATGACTGACCCTAAGCCAGATGCCTTTTTTCCAATGATGTTGCACTGAGCGTACCTCCACACACTATTCCTTCCATCATGTGGCTTCAGGCAAAATCTGGACATCTGTGAACTTCAGACTCCAAGCTTCATCATTGCAATATTCATGACTTGGAGCAAAATTAATTCGCGCTACTCAATACTATGTGGCAAGAAGGTGGCCTCTGGCAGGTATGAATTTATTTCAGCCGATTTTAGTATTTTTCTCACAGTTTTATGCTTACTGTAACCCCTCGAACTTCTTGGAGCTTCGTTCTTACATCAGATGTTAAGATCCAGTGCTATGCATGCAGGTAACGATGAGCTGATCATCTCTAACCGTTTACGTCCCTGTCCACGAGTCCCGTGTACTGTCCTGTCTGTTGACAACTCGATGTACCACAGATTTTGATACTCGTAATGTTTGAGCCGCATGTTTGTAGGTGTGCCCGGTTTCAATTAAATTAATAGCCCTTGCAACTTGAGTAGCGTTTACATCTGGCATTTTCAGTATTTGCCGTAACAATTCACACTTAACACGATAAACAAATCAGTCAGGTCAAAAATTTAAACAAAATCTAAATTTAAACTCAAATTCAAAAGAATGCAAAACTTTTCGCAGTTTGAAAGAATAAAATAATAAATAATAACATAAAATTGGTATTAAAAAAAAATTCTAAAACTTTATTTTTTAATAGCATTTACTAATGATTGTGGTCAGTAAGGACGATAATTACAACAAGAGAAATTAAAGCTTTTTTTTTTTTGGGATCCTCTAAAGTTTTCCATGAGTATATGTACTCTCTCGTCCTAACCTACTTGCGCCCAATATTACGCTTATGAACGAAGATAGGTTAGTAGGAAATGGCCGAAACACGGCGATGATAATATTACAAGGTCCAAAACCAACAATTTCCTGTCGCGACATGCAGACGTAGTCCTGTCTACATCGAGGCCATAAACCCAGAACATGTTTCCAATTAACCAAAGTAATTCTCGCATAATTAGCAGTGTCTAGTCGTAAGGGAAACGGAGACGAATATAATATACACTAAATATCCAATCTTTTCAAAAATAATTATAATACATTATAAAAAACTAAAACTACAAAATTATATTATCATACAGTCGTACTACCCGCGGCATAGTGCCAAGAACGCATTCAGCGAGGAAACGCAACTGCGTTTCCTCGCTGAATGACTACACTTGGCCTTTGAGCGAGAAATGAACCAGCCCTCTGATAAAAATCAGCGACGATATGTCGCGGATACAGTTCCTTTAAGAACTTGACCGCACGTGGACCCCACGGACGGACAATCTCTACAGCAAATGTTACAAATATGTAGTCATGTCTCAGAGACTTCTATAAAGTAATTCAATTACCTTAAAACCGCTTTCATGTGATAAATTGTTATCATCTTCACAGTGGTCAGTTTCTTCTATTTCTTGCAACTTTTCGGTTAAATCTTTCGTCAGTTGTTCCGTATCTGGTATTTGTATCTCTGTGTCGCTAACTGGTGAATCAGGGGTCTGTTGAAAAGGCAATGTTATGTTAAATGAAAGTAGAGATTAATTTTATGTTATATAAAGTATAAAAACAGTTGCAGCACTTTCATACGTTTTTGCCATTCGACTTACGAAATGCACTTTAAAAGTTTCATCGAGAAATAAAAAAAATATGCATAAAATTTAATTCCTAATATTGGTATGGATTACTAGGGGGATATTTCAGCATTAAAAAGTACAAATGATTTTTTATAATATACTTGCTTACACCCGGCGCGTGTCTGCCACAGAAAAAATAATTGTCGAAATATCGTTTCAAATTTGGAAGAATTATATTGTTTAAAAGGGAATTATAAGACATTCATGGAAGTTAAATAATGTATAACTTCAAATAAATTTGCTGGTACGTTACACGCGCCATCTATTGTCGGTTAATTTTACTATGCCTATAACCATGCTTGTCAAGCGTGGTAACTATGACTAATACTCTCCCTCCCCCCCATGAGGCAATCTATGAAGGAGGCTATGTTCTGCAGCGAACTTTATTAGGTTGTGAAAGTAACGGTAAAGGTATTTCTAAAATCATAAAGCACATATTATGGTGTGTCTCCTGTAGTCTGTGAAGGAACACGTCAAAACCAGTTTTTACTTCAACTCACGTGAATAGCAAGGTCTTCGACGCTAAGACTAGGCGTGGTTAATTGCAACAAACTCCCAAGTTGCAAAGCTCCAGTGAACGTCAGCTCAGGCTCGCGGGGTTCCGTTAGCGGACTAGGGGCAGTTCGAGTTGACATCGCACTAACTGAACCTGAAAACCAAGTTTTTACGTTCAAGTATGAAAGATATTTCTTACTATCTACACATATACTATGTATTGATTGATTATGAAAACTAATATTGATTTAAGTAAATATACAAGTATTATGCGTTTAATTTTAAAATATTTAAAAATTTTAATACTGCTGTTCCAAAAACCAAAATAGAACTAAGATATTTACGTATCGATGTCAAAGTTAGTGTGGTAGCTGAAAACGATATTGTTAAGTGATCTAGGATCCATTGTGCAGTGGTGGTGTAAGATAATCCACTGCTGCATTGCATTGTGCATTGTCTCGTCTACGTCTTTTTTTTATGTAGGATAGGGTGACAAAGGAGCACACAGTCCACCTAATGGTAAGTGGTTGCTGTGGCCCATAGACATCTACATCTATCATCGTTTGCGAATCAAAATGCAGATGCGTTATCACCCGCGTGGACTAAGATCCCGGTCTCCGGTTCTCTACACTCATCATACGAACACACACCAGTATTAAGCTGCTATTTAACGCTGGTATTCTATGAGAGCGAGGTCCTACCCCGGTATTTAAAAAAAACTAAAAAATAAAATACTGCGGTTTGCAACCCGCTTGCTTAGCGTGTCAACTATGGCAGATATTCGCCCTACGAGACGATATATGGTGAAGGCCTCTGTTCAGCAGTGGATTTTGATAGGCTGTGCGTAATCTTGAATAATCAATCCTTCGGACAAATTTTAGCTGTGTGTGTTCTTCTTATTTAACTAAAACTCCACACGAGAAATCTTTCCTGTATCGTAAAGACCTATCTAGAATAAATTATTGGCTCGCAACAAGACACTTAGTTGCAGAATCCTATAAAATTAATATCTTAGTTAAACGAGTAGCAGGTATTTTACATTGAATAATAGACATGGTTAAAAATCGGTGAATTTATTAAACACAGCATATAACTGCGTCTAATAAAATGTGCGTTTTATCTTCCTTGTGTAAACGCCATCTATTGGAGGGCATTAAAATTATCTCCGCTTACGTGACGACCGGAGTAGCAGTGCTACAGACTATGGGTCAAGACAATCAACGGTTTTTATAAGTTGCACTCTTCCAGCGCACATCTTTTGACTTACATACGTATACGACCTTTGTGTCCAATAAACCAATAAACGCTTAATTGACCAAGTTTGAACGCTGCAGACCACCTATCTAGGAAAACTAGCGGGAGACGTTCTCGGCGCGAACACTATGTGCCACAATTTAAGTGTATTGCAACATGTTTTATTTAAAAGGCTAATAATTAAAAATTAAAAATTTTGTACAACCGACTTCAATATAAATTATTAAGAATACCTCGAAGACTATCGGTCAGACCTTGATTAAATTTATATGGGACCACATGTGAAGCACCAGCTTTCAAATAAAAAAAAGAATCATCGAAATCGGTTTAGCCAGTAAAAAGTTATGAGGTAACACACATAAAAAAAATATACCGTCGAATTGAGTACCGGTGCCTTTTTGAAGTCGGTAGAAATATATTTTTACCTGCGAAATCATTGAACTAAATACTCACTAATATTCCGCCTATGCCCCTTCTCGCTTTGTCTATTGTCAAGACAAACGAGTCTTGGATGTCTCTCCAATAATACCCTCCTCTGTTTGCCATTTGCTTGTGACAAAAGGACGGCTAGACATTCCATAACTGCATTTTGTATATTATGTTCTGTTGTTGTTTGTTCTAAATAGTGAATGCAAAGTTGGTAGAGCTGGAAATACAATTATTAATAGATCATTATATAGGGAATATGACTACATTTTATTATTTCTCTTCTTTACTTATTTATTGTAAATTATTTTTACCTTAATACAATTAAATCCCACTCAAAACTTTTCAAAGATATTATATACCATAAAGGAATCCGAGTAGTATATAGATTTATATAATAATAATCTTTATTCAGACAAATTACACCCATATCCAGTAAAATCAATGAATTAAAAATCAAACTCCAAAATTTTAGCAATAAATAAATCAATGTCAATCGACTCAACAAAATAACAGTTTTAAAATATTAAATCCAGTCAATATAAATAGGCAGTAATGTCAGTATATAAAATAATATAATAAAATAAAATAAAATAAAATAAAAATTAATAATATAAATAACATAATTACACACTTTTATCAGTCAGGAGACGAGATCAATAATTAAAACTTTCTCCGAGGCAACTGTACTGCGATATGTCTGTCACAGCAATGCCGGATAATATAACAGTCTAAGCTTTCCGCGATTATCACCAGGAGAGTGTTGGAGCTGGCTCGCACACTGCGCATACGGGACGCGGCCCGCTTGCGCATGGAAGCAATCGATGCGCTAATCCACGAACTCACCAGAGGCGCTACAAAATCGAGGCAGCCCCATCACCGCCCTAAACGCATTATTGTAATTGACGCGGAGGACGCTGTAACTCTTCCTACTATAATTAACCCATAAGCTGCACGAGTAGGGCGATGTACAGAACACTCAAAAGAGCGTAACCTTAACCTCCTTTGAACACCGCGCAAACCTACGAGCGATCATGTTAGCTCTGACAAACTGCGCCCTCCGCTCCCGATCCATATCAACGTGATCCTTCAGGTCAACGGTGAGTAAATGCTCCAGATATTGAAACTGTTTAACCCCTTCCAGGGGTACACCGTTTAATTTTATTTCAGGTATATACCTAATATAATATGGTAATGGTATATACATAATGCTAATATAGCAGGACATTTCACACCAGCGGCCTCGAAGGTGATATATTGACTCTTCCTGACATTATATAATAGGCCGTGGCCACATGTATATTCCTCGCATATCCATATCAGCTTCCTCAGGCCGCAGACCGACGCACTCAGCAGCAACATGTCGCCCGCATAACTCAGATTGACACAAACACCTTCAATATGGCAGTCGAAATGCTGACTGCTAAATGCTACGATCAGCCCATTTATATATAGATTAAACAGGATTGATGATGTTAAGCCACCCTGGCTGACTCCACACACAAGCTGATACGGATCCCCCGCCCACCTGATACCATTGGACTGGTTTGAGTACCAGTACTGGAGCATGAATATAAGTTCTTGTGGCAAGCCTATGTTTTGCAGCTTGTCCCACAGCAGATTACATGCCACCAGGTCAAAGCCCTTGGATAGTACGCATACATGGGCTTCCTGCGATCAGTGTATTATTTGATGGTTTGCTTTAGACACAATATGGCGCTTTCAGTGGATAAACAAAGACGAAATCCGGACTGGTTATCATGGAGTATTACATGTTTATCCAACTGTGTGTTGAGCAAACCGTCAAACACCTTTGCAATTACGGTGGCAATAGAAATAGGCCGATAGTTACTCTTGTCAGTTCGCTTTGTTCTTCACTATAAGTACCACCACGGTGTTCATGAAATTCACGGGCAGATAGGAATGGCTCACACACAGAGAGTAGAACATAGCCAAGACCCTAACTAGAGGTCCAGCATGTTGCAAGTGCTCAACACTAAGTCATTCATGTCCCTAGGACTTGCCTCCTGAATATTTCTTATAGCTTTAGTTACGTTTTTTACCAGGAAACTAGTCCCCACCGTTTGTATCCATGTCAGTGCTGAACATTTCCACTACAGGATCCAACAGAGATTTTATTGACTAATGTCAATAAACAAGTTTAAAGGTTTTATTAAAGAAAAATTGTACAAAAAGGATTATTATAATATCAATATATGCATGAATGAAAATAACCCCTGGAAATGAGGTGATCGCCACAATGCTGATTCTATTGGAATACATTTAAAAAATTATACAAAATGATTGTGAAGTGATTTATGTTAAAAAAATCGCGCTGGGTTTTTGCTAGTTTTTCCTAGGATAGAGATACTTTCCGAACCAGTCCGTGGTAAAAAAAAAATATTACTTTCAATAAGTATTATGTAATAATCTTTATTGAATAATAAAAATCATATAAAATGAAGCATTGAACAGACACATTCAAATTTATTTAATCCAGTGCACATACCTCTAAATAATCTTGATCGCTGAACAAATCAGTATCGGTAAATCTCTCCATATCGTTTATCTGAAACATGGCTTTTATGACGCAAAACCATCCGATTATCGCTGTATCACTGGACGCCGTTGGCCATAGGTTCTCTATAAAAGTAATAAATCATTGAGAACTTTAATGGCATGCATTCAGACTTTTCTTTTACTGTATAGTGGAGGAGTAAGAATATCCACTACCCCGTAACGTCCCGTGGTTATCGTAAGCGACAGAGGGAAACTTAAACAGAAGATGGGCAGCAGCAACTTCCTGATAATAACTCAAAATAATAATAAAACTGCGCTTGCCACCTAGCGTGGCAACTATGGCAAAATCATCCCTATAAGGCAATCTATGGGGGGGCTTTCAGAGGGATTTAGACTTTTCTTATTACGTGGGTAAGATTGAAAGTTCTTAGAAAATCAAAAACTGAACAAACTAACAAGTTATTAGTATTATTATCTATAGTATCTTTTCAAAATAGTGTCCATTTACATCAATACATCGCTGCATCCGATGGAACCACTGAGAAAAGCACTTTGCCCACTCGTCCTTAGGAGTCTCTTAGACGGCATTTTGAAACGCAACCACTGCTTCCTCGGCGTCCATAAAACGTTTTCCTCGAAGTTTTTCTTTTATTTTCGGAAATAAATAAAAATCGCAGGGCTATATGCCCCGACCTAGCACCTTGCGATTTTTATTGCTCGCAACCCAGTAATTCCACGTCTGACGTCGCCAAGTAGTCGAGGTGTTGTCGTGGTGAAGGAGGATCCTACTTCGAGGTCGTTTCTCCCGAACTTTTTCCAAGACAAGTGACATACAATTGTTAGTGTACCTCTCTGCAGTAACTCTTTTTAGATCCTCTAAAACAATTGTTGCGTAATGACCTGTCTTTTACGAAGAACGAGGCCACCATCGTTTTTCCCACGCTTCGACTTCTCTTCACTTTAGTTGGCAACTCTGGAAGGAAGGAAACTCCTAGACAGCAAACTGTCTCTTAGTTTCAGGATCATAACAATAAATCCAGCTTTCGTCACCCGTAAGTATGTCGAACATAAATGCTGTGTTCGACATACGGGTCACCTCCGTTAAATCTTTGAACCATTTCACGACACCAATCAACACGACGGAGTTTTTGGGCCTCTGACAAATTATGAGGTATCCACCGGGCACAAAGCTTTCTGACCGCTAAACGTTCATGGAGAATTTTGTACACTTTTGACTCATACCAATGTCTAAGCTTGTCCGAATCTGCAGATAAGTCACTCTTTTGTCAGTCTCTATCATACGCCGCACAACACTGATGTTATCTTCAGTCGTCGTCGTAGAAGGCCGTCCCTCACGCAGATCATCGGTGAGATTAGTGTGACCACGTTTAAACTCGTTTAACCAGTTGTAAACAGTGGCACGACATGGGGCTTCATCGTGTAACGCCAATCGAAGTCTATCATAACTTTCTTGTTGGCTTAAATGACACCGAGTTATAAAAAAATCATTGTACGAAAATTTTGTCGCGTTAAATTCATGCTGATGTGACACAGACAATTTTCAATTTGCCGCCAAATAGTACACAAATTACAAATTAATAAAATACACACAATAATATTGGCAAAGAGTTCTATTTTCATAATTTGAACTCATTTTTTTATTATATCGTTTACATGTGGCCAATTCTTAAAACTTTCACTGTCACTCTCGTATAGTAATATTTAGCGGTGTTGAATGTACATATATTATTTTTTTATAATACTTTTGTAAATACTTTTGTACATTTGTTTCTTTATTAAATAAAATAAAATATTACTAATTAGTGCAATATAACACCAAAAAGGCAGCAAGTCAGTCCATGTTCACTATACAAATATATTTCTATGGATTTTTTCTAATCTACTAAACATACAAAAATTATTCCAATTTACCAAACACCCGTCCAAGTATATTGGTAAGCAATGGTTCCCTGTGAGAGCAGAGATGAGCCACGCAAGTCGCAATCCCGCGCCTTACTGCCGCTTCCGTACAATCCACGTGCGATAGCAAAGCCTTCGACAATTCTGAAAATATTACATAATTATTTAAATAGTTCATTCCATATATGTATATCGATGATATAGAGAATGTAATATACCCTAATTAATTAGGATATCTACTAGGTAATAGGATTTATCAGTCTAGGAGTGTGTTTGGGTAGGTACTACCCGTGCTGTTAAAGAATGGCATTGAAAATGGCTTCGCCTCTATTCACCTCTCGCTCATATACTGTCGCTATCTATACTCACACCCGCCGGTAAAAACTGCAAAAACAAAATACGCTAAAAAAATATATGCATTTTTCGTACATTCTATAACTTCAATCCAACTTGTCATTGAAATCAATGATAACGAAAAGCCAAAAACTCAAAAAAACCAGTCCAGTTTTGCTAATTTGTGACCTACGACGCGTTTTGAGTTTTCTTCATAATTATTGTTGATTTTTTTTTGTTATTATTTTTGTATAAAATATTTATATGACATTGAGACATGAGTAACCGTTTTTAAAATTTTCGTTTGTCTGTCTGCTAAGCTTCGGAATGGCTGATCCGATTGTAATAAAACTTCACAAACAAATAGAGTAATACTAGCAGTCTTGACAAAATTTTATCCAGAAAATTTTTAAATTTTATTTATATAGAAATATTGATAGGATAAAATCTTCTTCTTCTTTAATGATTTCTTCTTCGTCTTTAATGACTATCTTAAGTCTAAATAACGTCACATTAATAGATCCCAGCCAGACGAAACCAGAGCGGGCTGTTAGTTATAAATTCCATTTATTAATGATTCCAAGAAACCGAATAATATGACGCTATAACGATATACCGTTATTAGCGGGTCTACGCTAATGGTTGTACATGTTGACAGTACGAGCTAGATGAGCCATCATTTCTAATCCCATTCTTTACCCGTATGGACTGTACCACACTCTTACGTATTTCTACAACCAAACAGCAGCGCGTGCACAATTCTTTGTTCCGGTCTGTAGCGTAAAGAGGGCCCGTATAATTATAGGTTGTGTTCATCTTAGCCCTCAGACGTGATAACGCGATAATAACCTTCTTTGTTTGAAGTTTCTTTTGTCACTTAAATCTTCCACGTCACCAGTCTGAGTAATTTATATAAAGCGCAAGTCCGGTCGTGCATGGAGTATTATTGCCATATATGGGCTGTAAAATGCCACCTAGCAGCTTTGGACTCAATGGAAAGGCGTGCTAAGAGGCTTATTGGTGACCCGAATTTGGTTAAAACCAATCTTACCAGCCTCGAACACAGACGTAAAGTAGCCAGCCTTTCGGTTTTCTACAGGATGCATTTCGGAGAGTGTGCGCAGGAATTACATAATTTAATTCCACCCTCTCCCTTCCAGCATCGGACAACCAGACGTTTGGCCAGTCTCCACCCTTTCGTTGTTGACTTACCACGCATTCGAACCAAACGGTTCGCCACGTCGTTCATCATGCGTACAGCAAAGGAGTGAAATAAGTTGCCAGCATCTGTCTTTCCATTCGATTACAGTGTGGGTGTCTTCAAGGCAAGAGTGAATAGGCTTTTGTTAAGTCAGTGCGCTTCACCATCTTAGGCTACATCACCACTTACCATCAGGTGGGATTGTAGATAAGCGCTGGCTTAGTAGAATATAAAAAAAAAAAAGAAGTTGGTTGCAGATGTCCATCGGCTGCAGTAGTAGTAGGCTGCACTTACCATCAGGTAGACTTTCTTTTGTCACTTAAATCTTCCACGTCACCAGTCTGGATAATTTACATCTGTAATATATTGGAAGACCTGAAGTCTTTTTAGACTTTACCTTAGTCGCCTTTAGCGACACCTACAAGTTATAACTGGCTAAGTGCGAGTCGGACTCGCGCATGAAGTGTTCCGTAACATCGTAATACACATTTCTAGTAGGGGAGCCCCTTTTAATTTTTAATTTATTTTAATATTTTTATTTGTAGTTATAGCGGCAACAGAAATACATATTCTGTGAAAATTTCAACTGTCTACGTATTACAGATCATGAGATACATGCCCGCTGACAGACAGATGGACGGACGGACGGACAGCAGAGGCTTAGTAATAGGGTCCCGTTGGTTACCCTTTGCGTATGGAACCCTAAAAATGGAGGTGAATGTTAGATCCTCCTACTTTGCCACAACAGTAATTTCGTTAATAGCATTCCATCGACTAAATTTTAGAACTGGGATTGTATAAGCAACATATTACTATCCCGATACTATGATCCTTGGAAACTCTAAGATCTATCCTAAAGATGATCAGTTCCTAATTCTGAGGTTCTGTGTTTTTTTTGGAGACACATACATAAGTTTTGTACGGCATTCAATCTCTCTTAATTTAACGTCAGCCCAGGTGATGCCGGCACGTCCTCCACATGGAAGACCACCGTTTACCTAAAGCTGTCCTTTACTCAAAGATGGCAGAAGGTAAGCGAAAGCACGGTAGTCAGCATCTACACTATAAGAACATTTTCAAAAGACACCTGAATGCTTGCTATACAAAACCTGAGAGTTAGGAGGAGCTTGCTGCAAAAAGGTCATCTTGGCGATCTAACATCTTTAAAATAATTAAATTGTTTGAGGAAAGCCACCTCAAAACTCTAGATTTAAAACACCGATTGGGAAAAGAGAGACCCAAGCCAACTCTACTGTTATGCATGCTAAAGAGTATTTAAGATTGGTCTAACGAGCCATGCCTTGTAGAGGCGATGTAAGAATATCCACTACCCTTTTTCGTCTCGTGGGTGTCGCGTAAGAGGCGACAGAGGAAAACAAACCGTGATATGTGCACCATTGGACAACTCAAAATTATAAAAAACTGCAGTTACTAAACCGGCTGCCAAGCGTGACAACTATGGCAAAATTTCCCCTATGAGGCAATCTATGGGGGAGGTCTATGTTCAGCAGTAGACTTTTATAGACTGTAATGATAATGGTAGCGAACCATATAAGAGCAGATGATAGGCAAAATCCATGGTACCTAGGGTCACCGTCATCGAAATCAATGAAGAGAACTATATATGAATTGGCTAAATCTTTATAAATAAATTATTTAACAATAAACTTACCAGATATCTCTTCATCTGTTGTGTATTCTGCTAATGCATTTAGTATACGTGGCAAATTGGACTCTAAAGCTTCTACTATTAGTTGGGTCTCGCTTGTATGATGCACTATTTGGCTCAGCTTCGGGAATAATGTTTGTGCTTGTGTGCGTATTTTGCCTGGTCCCGGCCGCAACCAAGTGTCGCCAAGGCATATTCGGGATAGTGCTGCTCTGATCCATCTAGACCAAAAAGATAAATATGATGAAGTCCTTCTGATCACTTTCTACAATGGTGATAAGAGTTCCAGTTCTGTTAGAATCTATTAACTACACAAACTTTTAGTACCACAAGTGAATGTGCTTATACAGATGGCTCATACAAGCAGATAGTTGCAAAACAACTGTGGCAATGCTGTCATCGGGCCAAAACAGCATAGCATAAATGGACGAACAAAAAGTGAAGCCTAAATAACACTATACTTCTAAGCGGCTAAGGAACTTCTTTTGTTAGATAGTTTCGTTTTGTCTATAGTTTAATTTTAGCAACAGTTTTGTTTATGTGTGTTTTATAATACTCTTAATAAAATTTATCAGTAAGCATCTAAAATTACAGTAGTCTAAGTTACAGACACAAGAAACTTAACATCATAGGTTTCAAACCCAACAATGTACTGCTGTTGTAAATTACACTTAGCACACGCCTAAGAGATTGGTTAATATAAGCAATAGTAAATATACCATTATATTAATAAAACTATAGTTTTGTGGATTATTGAACTTCCAAAACCCAACCTAAAACGGAATTTTCAATGTTAATTAGAATTTAGATGTAACAAAAAAATCTGTTTTCACTTTACCTGGCATTTTTATTGCAGTCTATTTGATTCTGTAGTATTATATTTGTTTTATAGGAGTGGAATGCAAACCCACCAGCCACAGAACGATTTAATGCCTCATCTCCAACTAGACGCACCTCCGCCTGAAAAAGAAAATAACTAAGTTTATAGTTACAAGACAAAATTAAATAATGATTGCTATGAATGAAACCATTTTATATTCATTAATATAATGGATTTGGAAAGGTAACACTTGATTCTATTAAATATACATGAAAAGAATAAAAATATTTACTTTAAATTACATTCATATAATATACCACAACCACACAGACAGTCATATAATTCTTATATTATCTAGCAACAAAATCCAAAAGGAATTTTTTTATTTTTTTTTTATTTTTAAAAAATGTTACCCCCACACTAGGATTTTCTCCTGTATCGTGGAGGCAGTTTACAAACACAAATTGCACAAGGACAAACATCCAGACCCGGAACAATTATTTGTAGGCTATACTTGTTCCGTGCGGGATTCAAACCCACAGCCCCCAGTGCAGCAACTCATTGCTAAGCCACTGCGCCACGGAGCCGTCAATTGCGTGTTTGTTGCTTCTGTTCTAATGTGTGTATTTTGTACACATGCAATGATACTCATTAAACTTTTTAAATAACACATCTATGTATGTCATGTTTTTTTTATCTTTGGGAAAAAACTCAAAATTTTTGTTATAGAAAACTCATTTACACTATTTTTTTAGCATTTCCCTTTGAATTCAAGTTATCGTGATTCTAATGTGTTTTATATTTTTAATTTTTTATCTATGCAATATGCCTTAGATGCAGGTGGCGCAAGACCATGTTTTATGACATTCCATGGGGGAGTTCTATTACAACATTAGACTAGTGAAGATTAATATTCTAATATTCATTTTTTTAATGCCATACTGTTTACAATACCCTTTCTTTCTAATTCTTGCTCTCTTTTTTACTATTCCTTCAGAATTATTTGTGTGGATAAATATTCAATGTATTAAACGATAGATATAATTTACATGGAATATATGTTTTCAAACCCCAAATACATTCTTATATATTTTAAACCAGTATACTTGCTCTTTTATATTAATCTGACTAACATCCCCATGATTGTAGTGCATGGATCAAAAAAATATACTTTTTAATTTGTCTCACAGACAAAATATAAACATTTAAATGCATATTTAATATGAGATGTATTTGAATAAGATATGTGAATTATTGAATAGTTCTCTAAAAATAAGTCTAAGAAACTAATTCAGGCATAACTTACGTTATCATTACTAGCCAAAGACAGCAAAGTCGGGACGGCGGAGTGCAATAAGTTTGCGTAATGTCTAGCACAATTCGGACGACTTCCCAAAGCTCCTAAACAACGTCCAAGTGTCCCAGCCGCAGCTTGAAGCTCGTGTCCTCTGTAATATGGAAATAGTAACTTATACTTCCAAATCGCCAAGAAACACTGTATCGATGTAAGTAGTAGATTCATAAACTTACTTTGCAGTTCCTTCTCCACTTTTAAGATATTCTAACGATTTTTCTGCCTTTTCTAAGATGTTCATGGCTGATAACTTTACAATTTATTGAATTTATCGGTTCAAATCAAACACTAATAACATTTTTAATAGATATTCCAAATAAAAACAAGTAATATTTCGCAACACCGCATCAACAAACGAAAGGAAAATCAATTCATTTGACGTCTTAAAAACAGTGTTGCTAGCTAAAAGTACAGGAATATACATCAAAGTAGACAAGTAAGTATGTTTAGTAGGGCAAGGATAGGTAGAGAACATGAAGCTAATACAAAGGGGAGACGGCATATGCAACTGTGCACTGTGATTCTAAGTAGGTCCTGACGTCATCATAGTGGGCGTGGCTTTAGTTAGTATACTGTCAGCATTCGTCCTGTGCGCTTATGTGTTGACAAAATCGCAAATCGGTGTATTTTCGTAGTATTAAGAAGAAAAGGATGAAGTGTTGTGTTTTATTGTGTAAAAACTACTCAGATAGACGCTCTGATGTTATGGAATGCATCACATTTCATTTGTTAATATTTTACACCTAATTTAATAAAATAATTCTAGAAAATCTCTTTGCGTCGGGCTTTCAAATATAATTAAATATATTCGACACTAGATGGCGACACTTTGTGTCATGTGAACTAAAAATATAAAGGTCCGTAAAGCTCAGTATTCGTAAAATAATCATACGAAGGTGCTGAAATTTGTTTTACATTCAGACATAAAGAAACTTTAATCGCAAAATATTATTTTTATAGTTTATAATCATTTTGAGAACAAGCCGTATTCTCGTCAAGTAAACCTCATAAAAATAACAAAAAGACAGGGCCCTAATTAGAATTCAATTATTTTTCCCAGTAATCCAACTTTTAATATTAAAATGCAGGAAATTGTACTTAAGCTGATTTTTACTGAATTTCGCCTTTATAATATTAGTGAGATAAGTAGGATATTTAGTTCCAAATTAAATATCCTAATTAATATTGTACTAAGAATATTTAGTTTCAAGGAGACTTTATTTTATGGATAAAATAAATATTTCTTGAAGGTTGACTTTCACGAAATGATAAACATATTTAAATTGTATTTAAGCGATTCTTTGCATATAGAATGTCACTTAAATATAACTTAAACATTTCGTAAAAATCAGCCAAGTACAATTTCCTTCATTTTAATATTGAATGTTGGGTTACTGGGTAAAATAATTGAATTCTAATTGCGGCCCTGTCTTTTTGTTATTTTTTATGAGGTTTACTTCACGATAGATGGCGGCCTGTTCCCAAAATTATTAAGAAAACTATAAAAATATTATTTTGGCGATTAAAATTTCTTTGTCTGAATGTATTTGCTTCATGAGATAGACGCTCCGATGCTATGGATGGCATCACATTTCATTTGTAAGTAATTTTACACCTAATTATTAAAATAGTTCTAGAAAAATCTCTTTACGTCCGCTTTCAAATATAATTAAATATATTCCACACTAGATAGCGACACTTTGTGTCCTGTGAACTAAAAATATAAAGGTACGCAGAGCTCGGTAATGATAAAATAATCATACGAAGGTGCTGAAATTTGTTTTGCATTCAGACATAAAGAAATTTTAATCGCCAAAATATTATTTTTATAGTTTATAACATTTTGTGGACATGCCGCCATCTACCGTCAAGGTAGCTAAGCTACATTGCAACATCGATATGGAAAGATTCGAGTAGTTTTACTATTTATCAGTAGATGTAGATAGTGTAGTGGGCGGGGCTTTGAATCCCCTCACCCCGCAAATTGTCACGCGTTGTTACATAGTGAAATTTAATTACGACGTCTCCTCTTTGTATTAGCTTCATGGTCGAGAAGACGGATCAGCTTATTACTTATACTTACAAAAAATACTTATATCGAAATGGTCTTCACAGCAGTGCGCTTTAGTTTTAGGGCCTATTGAATTGAATCCATCATTTTTGGGTCCTCAGGCACATAAAAAAGCGTTTATCATGTGTTTTAACTGTTGAATTGAAGCACTAAGGCACAAACAGTATTTGTTTTCCATTTTTACCACAGAGAACTTTAAAATTCTGATTTTTACGGCGCAGCGGCGTACATACGAGAGCGCGATTGTTGTATGAGCGGGAGTGTGACGTCATCGGATAATGAGCGCCCGCCCGCGTTTTTAAAAATCTTCGCTGGGAAACACGCACTTTGATCGTTAATATCTCAGCCAATTTTTAAGATATGAAAAAAGTAAAAACACAGTTTTTCTCGTATTATTTTGTAGATTTATTTAGCATGAACGTTTGTCAGACTCATTATGGAATGGGAAATGAATGTATACATGTATCTCAAGCATGAGGTTGCGGGTTCAAACCTGGCATATACAGTCGAACGCACTTAGCGCTAACAGTTAAACCTGGAGAACGACTTTATTTCGTAGGAGTAAAGGCATTAATTTCGTAATTCAACTGTTACTACTGACGTGCTGATGACTATACTTATGTGACTTTTTAAGTATCATAGTGTATGCTGTCAAATTATTCATAAGTAAGTCATTAGAAATAGTCCGGATAAATTAATTAAGACTGGGTAATAAGGAATCACTTTATATAATTACTACCCGGCCGGTTAAAGAATGGGATTGATTGAAATTGGCGTCGCTTCTATTATCTCTCCCTCGCACACTGTTGCTATCTATAGTCACACCCGCTGGTAAATACTGCAAAAAAAATATGTCGCGATATGTGTTTTTCTTAAGTTCTGTAACTTCAGTCCAGTCATGCAAATATTTTATGCAAAAAAAATAACAAAAAAATCAACAATAACAATAAAGAAAACTCATAACGCGTCGTAGCTCACAAATTAGCGAAACCGAGCTGATTTTTTTTTGTAGTGTATTACATTTTGTTATCATTGATTCTAATAATGATAAGTTGGATTGAACTTATAGAACGTACGAAAACACATATCGAGTATAGATAGCGACAGTGTGCGATCGAGAGGTGAATAGAGGTGACGCCATTTTCAATCCCATTTTTTAACCGCACGGGTAGTAGGTACAAAATCACCACGTTTTAGTATTTAGATCACTACCTACGTTTACTGCCTAAAAGATTTGTAAAATGGAGTTTAAGTAGTATTCTGTTCCTGCCACAAGTACTTTGTATATCATCATCATCATCATCATTACAGCCCTTCACAAGTCCACTGCTGAACATAGGCCTCCCCCAAGGAATGCCACAAAGCATGGTCCTGAGCCACCTGCATCCATCGACTTCCTGCATGTCTTACCAGGTCGTCACTCCATCTAGTGAGGGGACGCCCTACACTTCGTCCGCCGGTACAAGTCCGCCACTCGAGGACCTTTTTTCCCCATCGGTTGTCGGTTCTTCGAGCTATATGGTCGGTCCATTGCCACTTCAGCTTACTAATCCGTTGGGCTATGTCGGTCACTCTGGTTCTACTGCGGATATCCTCATTTCTAAGTTTATCACGCAGAGAAACTCCGAGCATAGCCCTATCCCGAGCATCTGGCCAGCAGCGAAGGACCACGTCTCAGTTCCATAAGTCATCATTGGCAACACGCACTTATCGTACAGTCTCGTTTTCAAGTTTTGAAATATACCTGACGAGAAGATGTGCCGTAATTTCCCGAACGCTGCCCAACCGAGTTGAATCCGTCGATTGACCACTCGGTCGAAGTTGGACTTACCTAGTTGGACTATTTATCCCAGGTAAACATACTCGTCAACAACTTCTCCCAACAACTACCGGCATAGGTGTGACATGGACATTAAACATGATCTTTGTTTTGTCCATGTTCATCCTAAGACCTATTCGTTAGGAGAAACTATTGAGGTTATTGAGCATGGTGCTTAGGTCCTCCAGCGATTCTGCCATAAGGACTATATCGTCGGCAAATCGAAGGTGAGTGATGTACTCGCCATTGATATTAATACCGTATCCTTTCCATTCCAGAAGCTTGAAAACGTCTTCCAATGCAGCGGTGAAGAGTTTCGGGGATATAACGTCACCATGTCTTACACGTCTCTGCAATTGGATAGGTTTCGTTCTCTGGTTCTGTACCTTGATAGCCATCGTAGTCCTACTGTACAAGCACTTCAGCACTTCGATATACCGACAGTCAACTTGGCACCGCTGAAGAGACTGCAGCACCACCCAAATTTCGACGGAATCAAAGGCTTTATCATAGTCCACATACGCCTGACATAGTGGTAAATTGTACTTCTCGGACTTCTGTACAATTTGCTGAAGGGTATGTATGTGGTTTATGGTGCTAAAGCCCTTTCGGAAACCGGCTTGTTCGGGAGACTGGAAGTCGTCAAGTCTGCGCGCGAGACGGTTCATAATGTCTCTCGAAAACAGCACGTAGACGCGGCTCAGAAGGGAAATCGGTCTGTAGTTCTTCAAGAGAGCGTTGTCACCTTTCTTGAAGAACAAGACCGCTGCACTTCTGCTCCACGCCTTCGGTGTAATGCCACCATGGAGGACGGAATTAAAGAGCTTCTGAAAGAATTCTTTGTATATGGCGCATCATAAAATAGAATAACTATAATTGGTGTTTTTTTAGGATTCCGTACCTCAAAAGGAAAAAACTTATATCCTTATAGGATCACTTTGTTGTCCGTCTGTCTGTCTGTCTGTCAAGACCCTTTTTCTCAGGAACGCGTGGAGGTATCAAGCTGAAATTCATATCAAATACTAACGTCTACTGTCCTTTGGAGCTGTGAAAAAATCAAACTTCTAAGCCAACGCAATCAAAAGATACAGCCGTTAATACCGCAAATTTTCGACATTCCCGTGAACCCAGAATCTTAAAATTTGGTACAAAGCAACGTATTATAGCACAGATAAAGAAAAAATTGCGAAAAGCATAAATTTTTGGTTACATCATATAATAAAAATATTTTTAGTAATTTTAAACTTATATACCTACGGATTTGTGCGGAACCCTCATTGCGCGAGTCCGACTCGCACTTGGCCGGTTTTTTTTCTTTGGTAATAGACTTGTACTATTGCACTTGTCGCCT